TATATTATGACACGTGGTTCCTGCATGAAGGAGGGGTTAAGGTTGCAAAAATTTGATTTTGACTTCACTGTTGATGGGTACGTGGCGGTAAATGAGTGGAGGAGAATGGGTGAAAAAGTCAGTTGGGGGGCTATATTTCGATCTTGTCACTGGGGCGGTTTGACTGTTTTAACGTTTTCACCTCCGAAAATTATTTTTATTTATTTTCCTTTTTAAAAAAGGTTTTATCATTTCCTTTGTCGTCTAGTCGAAGTTAGAAAATTCAAACTTGAAAACTATAATCACTAAGGAAATTTTGTCTTCGAGTTGAGGAAATTTTTGGGTGGGAGATGATTTTTAGAGGGATTTTACGTTGTTTTGCATTTGAAGTCATTGTTCTTGTGTTTTCAGTCCGTAAAGTTACACTAACTCCTAATCTAATAGCCATTTTATTAGTGTGCTCTTGTATTTGATTAGTCTAAAATCGGGTTTTAAACTAGGCGGAGTAATTGGTTAATTAAGCAGAAAAATTGACATTGACATGTGGAGTATTTTTATTATTAATTTTTTTTTAAAAAAAACAAATTCCAATAAAGTTGTTGAAGCAAAAAAGAAAAACAAAAATGAGAAATCAAGTAACGTATACTTTCATCATTTCAAAATAAATATATTTATAAGACGCACAAAAAAACACATAATACATCTAATTTAGGGTTTTGGTTTCTCTTCTTCACAAATATCAACAGAAGTAATAATCTTCAAAGTCACTTTTTTTTTTTTTAATTTCAATCACAAACTGCTAAAATAATACGAAAAGAGTACATATTATTAAACTAAAAAAAATTACTGTCAAGATGATCCAAAACGAAAAAACAATGTGAATCCATTAAGTAGTTTCCCACCACCTAGCGAAAACTATATATAATAATCATAAAAATCCAAAAAAATATGAGTAAATATCAAGTAGAAATCACCTTAAATTGAAAATGTGTTCAAACAAAAATATCTCTAGACAGCAACCAGCCTAAAAAAAAAAAATTTCTGTTTCAGGAAACAAAGACAAGTGCTTTTTTGGTCCCATTTCAAATTCAGCGGACGCCTAAAATAGAAAAAAAAAAAAAAAAACGAAAAGAACAAACTATATACTACTATAAAAATTCAAGAGGGACGAACGTGACTATGAAACATCCATCTTTCATAGACAGAAAAAATCAAAAATTCGTAACCTTCTATTAATGAATTAATTAAGGTACCAAATCACTAATTAACTTGAATATAATTAAATAATTTGGTTTCTTTTCCCCGCCCCTTCATGTTTTTAACAAATCAGAGCTAGAAAAAATGTGCGAAAATGTGCATGGCGAGAAGTAGTGTCGGCAGCCGTCTTAAACTATAAAATTAAACTAAGAACTAAGAGTAATTATTGAATGGTCTTTTTGAGTGGTTGTTAGAGTGTAATGAAAGAGATGGCTCATCTTACTCCATTGACCAATCTCGACTTTAATTAAAACTCTAAATAAAATTCGTTTGGCGGTTTCAATTTGATATCAGCTTGTTCTTAGGGATTTTAAAGATGCCTTTGATGCTTTTAGTCTATTATTTATTTGATGAACAATTCATTTTGCGAATGTAAGCTAAGGATACTGATTTGTATATATGTTTTTGTCCCTCCACCAAATCTTTGCTTCCATCTTTTTGATTTTCTCTAACGAAATAGTCAACTTACTGTAATCATGTTTTGTCTATAATGAAGGTGTAAGGATGCTTGAACCCAACCCCCAAAAAAAAAAAAAAGATATTGATGAGTGAAAATTGAGAAGACATTGATTTATGAAAGACTTGTTTTATATATGCGATAAATATTTTTCTAAACCGACAACGTTAAAAGAAAAAAAAAAAAAAAGAACTTCACGAAAAAGAAAGAGTTGTGTTTTACACTTTGGATACTTAATCACATTAAGTTGGTTTACTAGTGTAACATAAATTTATGTGTAGTTCACGATTAAGACGTAAGAACTAAATTAATTTAGAGAAATATGATTGATGATGGCTCAGCTATAATTAAAAAGGTATTATTTTATGGATAGAAATAGTATGTAAGAAAAACCGAATATAATTAGTTTGAAAGGAAAATAGTATGTGATTAACAATATTTCAACCGACAATTAGGGTTGGTTGAAAACATGCTTGCTTACCGCTACACTTCAATGAACATGTCCAATAGAATAATAATAGTAAGTACCTATGGGGTTGGGAGAAAGATTATGATGGTAAATTACATCATAACGATATTGATATTATTGTTGGTGGCTTGTCATTTTCAAAGCATTATTCTACCATCGATTTTAATTTAAACTATAATATGCTTTGGATTTTGGATTTTGGATTTTGGAAGATCTAGTTAAAGGGTTCTATCATGCATGGGCGGTCGAGATGGCCAAATGACGACGAACCATTTGATTTGGCCTTCATATATTTAAGCTTTTTTAGCCTACAAAAATTTAACTATAAACGGAATTTTTTGTAACGCCATGAATCCCACCAGAAATGGGTAAACCTATGCCTACTGCAATAGTTTGCAAATCACAGTGAAAAGTAAATCACCCTAAGTAAAGCAATCTCGGAATGATAAATTTGAGTACGAAATTGGGGGTTCACGAGTGGGTTTGCCATCCCTCTAGAGGTGCCAATGGGCAAAGTGAGAGTCATTCTCTCACTCTTGTTGGAGTGAGTGTTTAAACTCATCACCTCCTCTTGATAATAAAGGTAATTTTACCACTGAACCAATATTTCATTCTTATTATAACGGAATTTAATAAATGATTTGTTGGTTCAGAAAGGCACCTGCTTATTCCTTGATATATATCTTACCAAAATAGACGATTTCACATCATAATATACTCGATTTTCTATACTAATCTCTTAACTATGTAATAAACATTCTTATTGAAAAGAAAATAAAGTTCTTGATATTATGATTCTTTCTATATAGATTGAACAAGAACGAGAGTTTATGCCTCTTCATCGGGGAATTGCAATGATTTGGGAGACATCTTTTAAATAGGTGAGCCCCATAAAATGGACTAAAATCATTCATACAATGATACATAATTCATACTTCATCATGTTGGTTGAATTTCTCTTAAATCTTTCATAATGGCAGGCAGACAAAATTAGCACAAACAAATCTAACACACAACGCGAGGCCATCCATACCAAATGGACCATAAAAACCATATGAAATATATATCAAATTATTTTAATGACTTCAGTTGAGCTAATTGTTTGGTACAAAATATTGACTTTATTAAATTTTCCTTTGTGTTTTGTCAATTTCGACTATCATTAATTTTAGTGCCAGACAAGTCACCTTTTTTGGAACCTTTTTTCTTTTGTGGTCTCGAACCCTCGTGTCACCTAACTTAAAATTCATTACTTCTTCTTGATCATTCTTCATTGCTTCTTCCTTGTGTTTTTTCTTTAATTGAAAAAAAAAAACACTTAAAAAGGGCACTAAATTGATGTGCTTTAGCCCCATGGCATATGACTCAATCTTATGATCTCACCACCAATTACGTGTTACTTGTAATTAAATAGAAAATTGCAAGTGAATGCATCTACTTGGGAGTAGTTTATTACGTTTGGGTACAAATGTTTGGCAAAATGTTAATAACTTTTTACAATTTGGTGATTAAATTACATTAAGTTTAGTGTATACAATATAGGATAATGGTTAGGAAGTTGATCTAACTTATGTAAATATGATTTTACTTTATGGGAGAACGATTGCTTACACTTAAACCTTAATGGTCATGAAACCGAAATCTGTTAGTGCTACCTTCTTCTTTTTTTTAAAATTTTTTTTAACAATTTAGCAACAAGGAACCAAGTTGTGTGTCGATTATTAATTGGGACGTCCTATTTGTTTTGAATTCATTAAAATAAAGATGCAATTCAATCAGCACTTCCTTTTCTTTAGTTGAACAGAAACACTCCATTGATTAGGTCAAGAGCTTTTTTTTTTTTTTTTTGGTTGGGGGTAAACCAAGAGCTTGTTTTTTAGAGTGATCCACTGCATTTTTGTCATGATTAACGTGGTAGATTCAAATGAAAACCCAAGAGAGTAATATCCTCTAAAGAGAAAAGGGGAAAAATAAAATAGTAGCAGAATTGGTTAAAATCGTAAGAGTTAAGGATTATCGTTATCATAAAATCAAAGATTCAAAACATTCTGCGAATCGAAAAGAACATCTTTGAAAATGCTTAGATTCAAGGTTGATTTTGATAAACAAAATATATGGATGAAAAGGAATAAAGAGATGGCGAAATGAAAACATATTGCTTTAATTAAAAGGTTAAGAAAAACAAAAAAATGTTTGCCTCTCAAAGTGACCTTTTTCTGGAGAGAGCCTTTGGATATGACTAGTCACTTTAGATTTAAAGAAACAGATATAAACAAACACAAGAAGATCAACAAGAACCACATTAAGTTTTGTAGTTGGACCTACTAGCTTTCTTTCTTTCTTTTTTTCTTCCCTAGCTTTTGTGATAATAATACAGAATTTCTTTGCTTCAATTATGCCAACTGAAGAATAAGATTAGGAATAAATGCTTCTCTTTTTTAGGATTAAACCCATCACTAAGTTATAATGGATAGGCCATCCTCCCAATTTTCAGAGATTAATACAAGAAAACAATATTCTTTACCTTCATTCTACTACACTTCACAGGTGAACACATGAAAGTTCCCTTCATTTATGTAAAAGTTAGCCCAAGAAAAAAAGCAACTGTCACATTACTCAAAAGTGTGTTACATTCATATCAATCACAAATAGCATGAATGAACTAGACGGAATGTCATGATCTAGAAGAGTTCTATCTTATGAGCTTGAATAAAGATTAATATACATTTCGGTATCACAATCCAGGGCTATCTTTCGAAGTAACGTACTTCAGACCGTCCACAAACTTGGGAAATGGCCTGGATAGGTGAGAACCCAAAGAAATGACCAAAAAGGTAGCTAGTCATCGACGTTCTTCATGTATTCCTTTGAAAGTTTTGTGTCTGTGATCAGCTTTTGTTCTTGGACAAGAGAATATCCTGATTCTAGTAGGGCTTCCACAGTTTGCTGTTTAAGCAGGTATTAGAGTTACAAGGTGCGACACTTTGATTATGAGAGATTCATAATTATCAAATAGTATTCTGAAATTAACAGAGGTACAAATAACCACGAGTCAAGCAGTTCCTAACAGAAATGATTGCTATAGGTACTCAAACATAAAACTATAGGGATGCAGAAATGGAAAGGCAAGAATGGGTTCGAATTATTCTAGTGGATGAAAAGTGCAAAAGAAGGCAAATTTTGTCTCATAATACTTTAAGTTCGTCATTAACTAAAGGAAGTTGAGAAGTGCTAAGCAGTGGTTTCATACTCTTTTAAAACAAACTTTGACCCGGGAAAGAAGAAGGGCACTAAAAGTTTCAATGTATTTCCTCAAGTTCTAATGTGCACTCAAAAGCTCCAATATATCTATCACTTGAAAAAAGGCAACATCTTTGGTACACCAGTTGAGAATCTTTGTAATCTAGCTTCGCTGACATAAGAGACCTACCTCTGGTGGAGTGAAAACTGGAAGTTTTCCGTCTTTCTTTTGCTTGAGTAGTCTGTTGCCCAATTTGTCAATGCCTCCACTATCTTCCACCCACTTAGGTAATTAAAGAAATAGAAAAAACTATTCATTAGAAGATCAGTATCCAGAAAGCTTAACAAATTTGAATAAAACACTTCTCTGGAAGCAATCTATTTGATTGTTGCTCAGAGTCTAACAGAAATCATAGATGGCCCTTTCTCTCTCCTTATAGACACAGAATTCTGATGCCCTTAAAATGGCCACGATGCAGTTATTAGCAAACTCACAATAAAAATCCACAACAGATTCTACTTTCCATTCTCATAAGTTCATCCAAAATTTGAGATTTGACCTGATTGTCATGTAAAGTGCACGAGCAAGATTCGTTTTCTGCCATATGCAGGGTGCAAATGAATGGTTTCTCTAATCTCTTTTCTTTCTTTCTTTCTAATAGGAGGAAATTTGTAAAGACAATTGCCACTGATGATATCAACAATTTTAAAAGTCAGATCGACTATAGTGGCAAACTGAGTCTGCTTGTTTATATCTGAATTGGGAAGTGGCTTTTCCAGCAAAAGCGCACCAGTTCCCAGGATGAAATAACTAGCAAGTAGAAATACACAAGATGAACGATGTGTACCTTAAGGATGGCCTTATCATAAGTTCGAGATCTTAAAGCCCCATAAAAGTCCAAGGCTGCCAATAGAATAATAAACAACATAAGAGTGACTGCTATAGTCGTCTTATAATATTCAGACATCTCTTTTGAGTTGATGTCCATGGGGGGCGGATGGATAGTCTTTCAACGCCCCTGACTGTAGAGTTTAAGACCGAGGGATCCAAGTTATGTGTAGGAGTTACAAAGACTATACACCATGTTCATTATTAAACTAATAGCCAATGTACACCCTGTTCTAAACACATCAATTGGATCGTTTGTGAAACAGTATCTCAATAATGTTGTGCTTGGTTATAGTGTATGTATACATGACTCTAACTACTGTTCCAAAACAAGGATTTAGACATCAAAAAGTTTTAGTAATATGCTAATTTATGATATAACTAAAGATTCAGTTCAAAATCAGACTTCGGATCATTAAGCATGATACAGATCTCAGTAATCCGAAGATAAAGAACAACAGTACCTTGATTAGGGAATTCTTGTACAATCTTTTCAACGTCACCCTTTGATATACCATCTTTCTCATACATCCTGTGAACAATATTTGTAATATCTTCCTGGGTTGGCTGCCTGTTAAGAAAATCAAATCTGAGAACAGGTTGACCCGAAAGATCTAAAAAGAAAAGCAGCTGGAATCTCATCAATTGATCATGTCCAGGTAGCACCAATATTCTGGTGAAAGAAATACAAAATCATAAACCTATGAAGCATGCAGGGTTTGGGAGTGTGATCTTAGAAAATGACATACTTAGCTCATCCTATTTCTGACTGTCACACTTTGCTGAACGGGTAAAACACTAGTGAGAAGTTGATGTAGGTTTTTTGACGAGACTCAATTCTGAAAAAGCGTTCAACTTATTCAAGTCAGAATTGCTCTGCAATTAGTGATTTTCCTACAAACGCGTAAGGGGGGTTGCCTAAAACTTAACTCATAGTTCCATTTAAATTCATGAATTTAAACAATGGCAGCCAAGTTCCATGTGACACACGTCAAATATGATGGGTGTATTCAGGGATGGTCAAGAACTTAGGTATAAGATTTGACCAAATAATTGTTTCATGTCATGCAGTCATGGTTCTATTTAACCACATATTTCCTCTAAGCCTAATAGACTTTACTGCCTCAAATATTCCCTTCATTTGTGAGCCATTACTACATTGAGATGCTCAAATGTTAGAAAATTTGCAACTGTCTGATATGGAAACTTGACAAATTAAATCCATAAAAAAATGATTGCAAATGCACAGAACAAAAATGGTAGCATATGCACTATTATGAATACTAAGACAAACTGTAGCTCATGAATGCTGTTAATACCAGTAAAACTTTTCCATTCTTCCATCTCGAATTAAGGGGGCATAGAGGGTTGAAAAATCATTTCCAGTGACAATGATTGGGATCCGGTTCGTTATGTCATTTTCTCTCCATACTTGGCCAACACTTACTTTTGTAGGATTGTCACACAAATTCATGAGAGTCCCAACAACAATTTGATTGTTGACTGTCATTTGAGTATAACCTATAGACCAAAAGAAATAATTGCTCAAGTTAAACAAAAGCCATAATATAACTGTGGTAATGAAGATTAGAGCAGAGTAAAATATGATACAGTTGATATAAGATGAGTGGAAACTCAAATAACAGTGCTGATTCAACTCATAGATTGGCTTACCAAATCTTCCCAAGCCAGCATCAATATCATTGATCATCAAGCAACTCAGTTTTCCCTGCATTTAATGAGTAGAACCAGAACTATAAACATAAATCAAAGTACATTCTGAAACCAACAATCATTCAAATACTAATTGATTTACAACTTCCATTAACAATTTCCGTTAAGCTGTTTTAGATCATTCAAAATGATGAGCAACTCAGCTTTTGCCTTTTATTACTTTTGAGTTACTAAGCAAGTTAATTAAAACTTGATTTAAAGGAGCTCAGGGTCATGACCATCATGATGTTCATTTCTTCAAAATACTCATAATTGCACTTTTATTTGACAGGCAGCTAATCTGCAAGCATCCAGCAAGAAAGTTTAATTCTTTTGTCCAGGCCCTACACAAATTTGTACAATAATGTTCAATTTAAAGAACATCGATGATCCCTAGCATGAAGCATCGTAAAAGGCAAAAGCATCGGTCAACAATCTGGCCGGCAGTTTGATAGCATAAAGAGACGTAAGGAACCGAGAAAGGATTGATAACCCTAGGCATGCATATACCAGTAATGAAAGTAATAAAGCTTCTAACTTGGTTCTGAACCACTTGCGAAGCAGTCCGGTACCGCTCACGAATTAGTTGTCCTGGTTCACCTGGTCAAAGAAATAACCTACTTAAAAACTCTTCAACATGAAAATTCAGCAAAACTAACCTAGGATTCGGTGCAAACACCACCTTACCAGCTCTTTCTGATTCCAGTTCACCAGCAGACATTATAACAGGCTCAACACCCATTGTCCGGAAAATGAGTTCAGTCTGAAATGTCTTCCCTTGCCCTTTTCCACCCCAAATTCCTATCATTCCATACACTCAGTTACATATCTTTGGTGAACAAGAAAAAGAAAGGAAAAAAACAAAAGAGAGAGAAAAAGAAAGACACTTTGCCATTTCAAAAGCTTGTAACAGTCCAGAAGCTTATCTAGTTAATACTTTTGAGTTCTTAAAATTGAAGAGTACAAAACCATGTACTACTTGCCTAGGATCAGCGGAACTTTAGCATTGATATGATGCGCCACGTAGTTCTTGACGATGTGGCACACTGTTAGATTCGAATAAGGAACAGTGGGTCAAACATAGTAGTGGATAGTAAAGCCCCCCAAAAAAAAGAGTACCTAATATACAACAAGTAGCTGAAAACTCTCCCCACAGCAACATTTTTTTCCCCTTTCATGTACTAGACCAGCCAAAAACAAGGAACCAGTAGAAGCCCCATATCACCATACAATGTAATACAATAAAGGATTACTCAGAATCAAGAAATGTATCAGATTTCACCATTTGAGGAGAGTAGCTGAACTTACCCACTTTATCCTGCCACATGAAAAAACCATCAGAAAAACCCCAATTGTAAAATCAAGTTAATGATAAAGGTTTTGTATAATGCAAGTGGACTGTACCATAAAGGCAGGGGCAATGTAGTAATCGCCTTGCAGATACTGAAATGACCTAGTCGCTTTCTGTCTATAATCAAACACAATATCCGCTGCAAAAAAAGAAATTACACACAAAATGAAACTATCATCATAAAGATTTCGAACAAATTCTTCCCTTTTTAATTCAAATTAAATCACATGAGACAAAAAGAACTTACAATCTTTTCCGAGGAAATTGCCGGTGAAGAGGTCGTCGATAACACCGGCTCTGGCGCCGACAGCGATGTTCATGTTAGCAGATTCTTTACCGAGAACGTAAAGATAATCATTTCCTTCATCATCCTTAGCTTCCCAGGATGATTGCTTGGATAACTTCCTCTGTGTGGGCTTTTTACTTTCGTCAGTATCAGTAGTATCGGCGTTTTCCCCAGCAGAAGCAAATGTTAAATTGGTGGGTTTTTTGCAGTGAGTTTTGGTGTTGGGAAAGAAGAGTGAAGGAAATGATCGGAAGGAAAAGGTTTCTGGTTTGAAGAAGGAAGCCGTGGCAGCCATGGCTGAGAAAGAGTTGTGATTGGGTGGGAATTGGGGGAAAAGAAAAAGGTGGAGATTGATTTACGGCCAATTTTGGCCTTTCGTAGGTGACCATTTTATATGTTTTGACATTTTTAACGTTATTTTGGCGCCACATTAAAGGGAATTTTTCCACTCCTTTTTACCCTGCCTTTTGTTTTGCATTTTTATTTTACTACCACGTCCTTACAGTGTGATAACATTGCTTTTATGAACAAGCCTAAAGAATTACATGGTGGTCTTTGTGAGCAATTATATTAAATAGTAGTTGTAAAAGAGATTTACATGATGGTATGCAAGATAAATTACAAAATTTATGTTCAAACTGAGTTTGTCCTCAAACAAAGTTGTGGAAGCTAGAATGTGTATTGTTTTTTTATTTGATGCCTAAAATATCTTAATTACATTCCAAACTTTTATGTTTTCTGGCAGCTCCAGTGATCCTCTGTCCACTTCCGTCCACATTTGTAGCAAAACTCAAATCCACACCTACAATTTACCATTAACCAAAATGTAATCGTCCTAACCTTAATTTGTCTAATAAGTACTAACAAGTAGCAATCATGACACCAATATATTGTTCCATGACATTGCTTTTATGCACAGGCCTAAATTTCCACAAGTGGTATTCGTAGTAAAACTATACTCCCTCCGTTCCAAAATTATTGTCTAGTTTGAATTTTCAGTTTTAAGTGGATAATAATTTTGGGACGGAGGAAGTATTTGTTTAATGATCTGATCAACTGCCAAATGAACAGAATACATCACAAAATAAGATCAACTGACCTGCAAGTCATGTGTATGCATCCCTCAATCTTGTCAACAAGAAATTTGCAATTTGGGCACTTAGTCCACTTCTCCTTCTTTGCAAGGGCGTGCAACATAAGATCATCATTCCCTCTTTCCTCCATTTTCAACTTCTGGACTTCTCTGCATTCCATTCCCCGATGCCAGGGGACCCGACAATTCACACAGAACAATCGTCGACAAACCGGACATTCAGATTCCAAAATCACCTCATCTTCATCACCATCATTCACCAGCATAGCTGAACAGTCCTTGAAAGGGCAATAAAATCTCTGATTCTCGAGAATGGTTGCCACGCTGATCGCCTCGTCCCATCTAGCCGAAACATTTCCCGGGATTACAGACCTGCAAGCTGAATGATCAAGGATGGAATCGCAGTACAAAGCAGGACAAGTTATGATATGAAATCTGTCTCCAATTTTAGCCTGGACATGTTTAGCTAAACAATCAGAACAAAAACTATGGCTACAGCTTTCCATCTTGAACATTTCATTTCTTTCCTTAACTTCCATACAAATCTCACAGTAATTTCTCGATGATTCGCCCGCTTCTCTTTGAAGGGATTCTTCAAAATCAGCCATAGAAGCCTGCAAGGCCTCCTGAATCTGTAATTCCTCTGCATATTCTGAATCTGAAATTATGCAATTGTGGACACTTTCATCATCCCTTTTCCAGGAAAATATGCTTTCCAGAAATTCAAATAACCTGTCCATGATCTCCTCTGGCATTGAGAATACTCTTGACTGTGTGATCAATAACCAAAAAGCTTGAAAGGTTAGAGGAAGAGTAGCTGATCTAATAACAAATGATCCTTTGACTGACGAAGAGATTCGATGACAACCAATGTGATTTTGACAAGTAAAAAATGCTATGATATGAATATATTACCTGGAACTGAGCTTCTTTCTTATCTTTCTGATTATTTTATGACAAACAATTGAAAACCTAGCTACTTGGTGGGGCATTTTTTTTGGTCATATTTATCATGTAGACTTTGGGGGATGACTTCATATTCATTTACGCAAATTGTAGTACGTAATCATTGTGTAACTAAACTTATCAAGTAAGAAACTAACTAAGAATTTTTCTCTTGGATTTTGTCTAGTTGTAAAAGACTCACAGAACTATGAAAATTTCCAAGTCTTCTCTCTTCTATTTCTTTTGAATTTCGGGTTTTGGGTTGAACTATTGGCATTATTAGAATTCAGGATCCATCAGCTTTGTAGATTGCAATATTATGTGACGCCATCCGTGTATATTTGTATATTGTCTTTGATTTAATAAATGATCGAGTGGGTTATTTTATGTGTGTGTGTGTGTTCTTCTAATATTTTTTGCCATTGTGGGTGAGAGCTATGAGAGAGATTCAAACTTGAGGTTTATTGGTCCAAGGCATTCAGACATAGTCAAATTCTTCACGCCGTAGATATTTCATAGATCTTTAGATTAGCCAGCTACAATACTTCTAATTCGGATTGTTTTTCAAGTTTATATTACTATGACTGATGATTTATTTAATTTGTTGTTACACCAAAAAATTAATTCAATCAAAACTCTTAACTAGAGGCTGAAATGTCCCGACTTGGTTGAAGCGACTTTCTTCGTCTTTTTCTTTCGGTTTGGGCGACTCGTCAAAACTTCCAATTTGCTCACTTTGTTATCCAACAAGGAGTTTGCATTGTTACTGAAAAAGTAGTACGTCTTTGATTCCAATACTCGCTTAGCAACTCTTCCTGGATGGCTTCCAACCTTGACTTTAACCTATTGAAGTTTGGTCCCAACAGGTACAGAAGGAACAACCACCTCCTTTTTCACATTCTCCGGTTTCCCACGCACGAATTGAAAAGTGATGGTGGGATCAACGTCCTTAAGACCAAAAAATGATAGAGTGCACAGTCGAGGAGCCATCCATAACAAACTCTTCAACAGATGCACAGTAAGAGGTGTGAATGTAGGATAAGAATCCACACCTATAATTAAGTGTTTGATGTCCCAAAGCGGTGAATCCTCATAAAGAGATATATTTGTGATGTTTGGAATCATGAAACTGCGAAGATCGAATTTGCGTAACTTTACGTCTCCAAATGATTGAAACTTTGAACCAATTTCATGAGTGTCGAGATCATCGAAGGAGAACAAGGGAAGCCCCCAAGGCGAACTAATGCACATAATTGCCTATAATTCAATTGGAATCGAAGAAGCCCTCGAAGAGGTGAGTACAGACATGACTACGAACCACATCGAGGCCACAACAACATCGAGGGCAACTATGACCAAGAATACCACCACCGTCCTCGATATTCACCTCCAAGACATCAGCAAAATAATCAGTATAGAGAAAATCTTCCATACTTCCAGGGAGATCAGCAAGGAACAAGAGACCAGAATACCTTGATCCGAGAGGAAATGAGAAAGATCATCGGGATAGGGCTAGACCGGAGCCCCTTCATCCCCAGCATTCGAGATGAACCTAAGCCCCGAGACTTCGACTTCCCTAAAGAATTCAAGCCATATTCAGGAGATACCGATGCCTCCCAATGGCTGCAAGGGTATGTCCAAGTCATGAGAATCCGAAACACAACCATGAGCTTCATGGCAAAAGCGTTACCCTCTACTTATCCGGTCAGCACAGCGATGGTTTGGGCAATTACCAGAAGGAAGCGTCACTAGTTTTGAAGATTTGTCCGTCAAACTAGCTACTCGATTATTCCAGAGCATACGGATATCGCGGATGTCCATTGACCTTTCCTCAGTCAGACAAGGACAACATGAGAGTCTAACCGACTTTCACAGACGGTTCATACAAGAAACCTTGCAGGTTGACAACATCGATGATCGAGATGTTCGCAACGGATTCATCCAAGGCCTTAACCCCTTCGAGAAATCCTCAATGTTGCGAGTTAAACTCTCGACCAAGCCCCCTAGGAATGCTCAAGAGATGTGGGCCATCGTCGAGAACCATATACAGCGAGAACACACACTCAAGAGGTCCCAAGAATCCTTCGCCTCGGTAGGACCAAAGGATAAGCCAAGAATCCCCCAGGAAAGCAAACCGGCACTGCCTAAGATGGACAGGCAATTAACACCCTTAACCAAGCTCCGACGAGAAATTCTTCAGATCCATAGGAACGAATTGCCAGCTCCGAAACCCTTGGTCCTTAATCCAAACAGATCAACTGAACAATATTGTGAGTATCACAAAGATCACGGCCACGACACGGAGGATTATCGAGAGCTTAAGCGTGAAATCGAGAATGGGGTCAAGTCTGGGAAGTTTCAGTAATATGTGCAAGGAACAGCCTCCCGACAGAAAAACAGCAGACCCCAGTCACGAGATCACCCTAAAAGAAACTTCAGAGGCCCACCATGGCGGGATGAACGAGGAAATAATTGGCAACCGAGAGCCAATGCCCAACAACAACACTATCCCATCACTGAAGCAACGCCACAGCCATTGCAACAGCTCCCCCCAGCGGATCCAACGAAGCTAATCACTCACCAGGTAGGAGCTATTTACGGAGCTCCCCTCGAAGTCTTATCCACTACAGCCATGAAGAACTCATTGCGAACCGTCACCAAAACTCCTCGACAAGAGCCTAGCCACAAAAGGTTCAAAGGAACGGAGGCCATCGTATTCACAGATAGCGATGTGGTTCCAGACATTTGTCCCCACAGTGACGCTATGGTCATAGAAGCAATAATCGCAAACATAAAGGTCGGAAGGGTTTACGTGGATAACGGCAGCGCGGTCGACATCATATATAGTGATTGCTTCAAGAAAATGAATATCAAAAACGCTTGTATCTGCCCTACTACAATACCACTGATGGGATTCTCAGGTCACACCATTATCCCCACGGGAATAATTAGCTTACCCATCTCGGTAGGGTCACATCCTAGGACGGTCACCTTAACCATGGATTTCGCCCTAATAGATGCGCTCTCGCCGTTCAACGTGATCGTAGGGCGACCCTGGATGTGCCAGACACGCGTAATATGGTCTCCCTATCACTTGGTAATGGAATTCCCAACGGAATATGGAGTGGGAGTAGTGAAAGGATGCCAACGGAGCTCTCGAGAGTGCTTGCTCACTGCAGTTAGAATCGAAAAGAAGACCGCACACCTTAACCCAAGCTCCACCGTCTCAGAATGCTATTCAATTTGACAAACGGTCAACCCATCAGAGGCGGAAAATCCCGAGATCTCCAGCCCTCCCTCGTTTAGCAGCAAGACGCAAGAGCTGATCCTGAGTGAAACTGATCCAACCAAGACCGTTCAAATTGGCGTTTCTCTCCACGACCCATTGCTAGCCGAGGTCAGTGCCTTGCTACGCGAGTTCCACGATATATTCGCTTGGTCCCCAGCAGATATGACAGGAGTCCCTCGAGAATTCATGGAACATAGGCTAAATGTTGATCCAAATGTCAAACCAGTTCAACAGAAGAAAATAGTATTTGCTTGAGAACGTAACGATGTCATCAACGAGGAAACAATGAAGCTAGTCCGTGCCAACATACTCCGAGAAGTCCTATGGCCTACCTGGTTAGCCAACCCGGTCTTAGTACGAAAACCCGACAACTCTTGGCGCATGTGCCAAGACTACACTGATCTCAACAAACATTGCCCCAAGAACTGCTACCCTCTACCAGTCATAGACCAAATGGTGGAAGGTATTGCCGGATACAGAGTCCTCAGCTTCCTTGACGCATACAAGGGATATCATCAAATCCTCATGGCACAGGAAGATGCAGAAAAGACAGCTTACATCACCTAGATAGGGGTATATTGCTACGATAAGATGCCCTTTGGACTGAAAAATGCTGGAGCCACATACCAGCGTCTCGTAAACAGAACCTTTCATGACCAAATCGGCCGGAACATCGAGATTTACGTAGACGACATGGTGATAAAGACCAATAAGGATAAGCAAGTGGCCGCAGATATGCGGGAGATTTTCACAATATTACGCAAGATTAACATGAAGCTGAACCCTAAAAAATGCACCTTTTGCGTAGGGTCAGGGAAATTCCTAGGATACCAAGGCTCCAAGGACGGAATAAGTGTTGGTCCGGCTAAAATCGAAGCTATCTTAGCCATGGAAGCTCTAAAAACCGTCAAGGAAGTTCAAAAACTCACAGGCTCCTTGGCGGCCTTGAACAGGTTTCTGTCTCGAGCCGCAGAGAGGAGCCTTCCAGTTTTTCATACCCTCCGCAAAGGCAGAAAATTCGAGTGGAATGAAGAATGCCAGAAAGCCTTCCAAGACCTGAAATAGCACCTCAAGCAGTTGCCCACACTAGCCAAGCCTGAGCCAGGAGAAACACTTTACATTTACCTGGCGGCTCGAGAGAAAGCTATCTCGGCAGTGCTCGTGCAGCGCAAAGACTGCAGAGAAGTCCCCGTCTATTTTGTTAGCAAAGTCTTGCAAGGAGCGGAAACCCGTTACACACCCATGGAAAGGCTTATCCTCAGCCTAGTCTTAGCCGCACGACGTCTACGCCCATACTTTCAAGCACATCCCATCATGGTTTTAACGGAACAACCAATTTAGCAAGTCCTACTAAAGTCAGAAGCGTCCGGCAGGATGATGAAATGGACAGTTGAATTGCGTGAGCACCACATTGAATACAAGCCTTGATCAGCCATCAAAGGACAAGCCTTTGCAGACTTCTTAGTAGAAACGCCTCGAGCTATCGAAGTCAAAGAGATGGCGGAGCTTAAAGATGATCCCACTACTCGCGTCAATATCAACCCTCGAGCTTGGTCACTATACATCGACGGATCTTGTTGTGATGAAGGGGGAGGAGCCGGGATCATACTATCCAAGCCTCCGGCTGATCCCGACATCGAGAGCATGAAGGAGTATGATGCAGAATATACATACGTACTAAGGTTCGGTTTTTCGGTCACCAACAATGTAGCAGAATACGAGGCACTAATAGTAGGGCTGAACATGGTACTAAAACCCGGGGTCCGCAAAATCTAAGTTTTTAGTGATTCTCAGGTAGTGGTGAAACAAATATTGGGAGAATACACAGCAAACGACGAGCAACTCAAGCGCTACCTCGAGAAGGTCCTCGACATCAAGGACAAGTTCGAGGAATGCACCGTGTGCCACATAGTCCGCTCAAAAAATAAAAGAGCCGACGCCCTCAGCAAGCTAGCCTCCTCGAACTTTGCTCACCTTAGCCACAAAGTATGGGTCGAGATTCTCCTCAACCCTAGCATCCAGGACGCCCCCGTAACGACCATCGTCGAGGACGGGACACTTGGATGACCCCGTTTATCCAATACCTTACAGATGGGACATTGCCAAGCGGAAAAGCAGAAGCCAAAACCCTCCGATTAAAGGCGGTCAAATACACATTGCGAAACGGCATCCTATACAAGCATAGATACCTGCTACCCATGCTAAGGTGTATTGGCCCAAAGCAAGCTGCTTACGTACTTGAAGAAGTACACGAAGGATCATGTGGAGCTCATATGGGAGCAAGAGCACTCGCCAAGAAGGTCTTGCGAGCAGGATATTTCTGGCCGACAATTTTCAAAGATGCCTACCAATGGGTACAGAAATGTGAGAAGTGTCAGCGCTTCTCTCCCGTCACCCAACAGCCACAGCACGAGATGGTCACCATCCAAAGCCCTTGGCCATTCTACCAATGGGGAATAATATCATCGGCCCCTTTCATCCGGAAGGAGTAGGAGGAGTAAGATGGGTCATTGTAGCAGTAGATTACTTCATCAAATGGGTAGAAGCCAAACTCCTGGCCTCGATCACAGGGAGGAAAGTCTTGGATTTTTTTTCTGGCAGAACATAGTATGCCGTTTTGGGATCCCGAAGGTTATTGTCTCCGTCAATGGGACCCAGTTCGAGAGCAATACTTTCAAGCCATGGTGCGATGAAATGCAGATTGAGCGCCGCTTCTAAGCGTAGCTCATCCCCAAGTTAATGGGCAGGTCGAATCCATCAACAGAACAATACTGCATGGAATTAAGACCAGGCTGTATGACGCCAAGGGGGCATGGCCCGACGAGCTTCCCCACGTCCTGAAGTCATAGCGTACAACTGTGCACTCCTCAACCGACGAGACACCATATAGCTTAGTCTACGGTATGGACGCCGCCCTCCCCGTCGAGATAGGCTTGTCGAGTCCTTGAACCATAAACTTCGTCGAAAGTACCAATGATGATGACATCCGGCTAAACCTTGACCTGCTCGAGGAACGTCGAGACGCCGTCAGAATCCGAGAAGCCAAGTATAAAGAGATTCTTCGCAGACATTATAACAAGAAGGTAAAAGCCACGGATCTCGCTGTGGGTTATCTCGTACTAAGGAAAAACGAGGCCAGTCGAGCAGAAACCCCTGGAAAACTTACTGCAAATTGGGAAGGGCCTTACAGGGTTATCCAGATTTCCCCAGCAGGCTGCTACCGCCTACAGGCCATGGATGATAGCGGAACCATTCTTCCTCGATGGTGGAACATTCAGAATCTTCACAGGCTCTATGTTTAAGTCTTTGTCCGCTATTTGCCCATTATGTGTTTTATTTGCTTTATTTACCCAGTCAGTTTTATACTCTCATATGTAATGCTAACCCGGGTCCTCGGGAAATTATTCAATAAAAGACATTACATATCCTTTTCATTAATAGCAATGCATTCACGACTAGTCATCGAGATGGACTCTCTCTTTAGGGCCATCCTCGTTCAAGAGCCGTGTACTCAACATCTGGACATAAACTCGAGGAACTTTCCTCACGCACACTGCGAAACGCAGTGTCAGGTCAAGGAATTCGTACCCAATTCCCGTGATAGAGCCGTGTACTTTACATCCGGCCTAAAAAGTGCTTTAAAAATCAATACTCGAGTAAAATAAACATTCGTTCCACACTAATGTGCAAACTCACAGAAAAGTACATGCATTCTACACTATTACAAGCACCTCCCTGACAGGATTGTCGGGGGAGGGATGAATAATCCCCTTACACCCATGCAGGCTAAGGAGATTCACACACTGATTTAATTTATCCTTAAGGTCCACGATATCTGTGTCCTGAGCGTGCACCCTCATCAACAGCTCTTCTCGAGAACTCCGAGTTCGAGGATCCACAATTTCCTCCGGGCGCTCGAAAGCCTCAAAGTCAATATTGTTATCCAACAATAGATTTTGCAGTTGGGGAATATAGTCTGTAAGAAGCTCGATCTCACGAGATCTCTCTTTCAATAAATCCATGGCTGTGATAAAACAGCGAGTCCTAACCATAATCATGTGCTGGACTCGAGCTAACACTTGATGCTTCTCGAGAAACCAGGGGGACACAGTAATTTGCTGTCTTGCCCTAAGCCGAGCGTTTTCCTTCTCCAAGGTCACCAACTCATCATGAATCTCGGCCTCGAAAGTCAGAGAATCACTGTGGTCTTTCAGGCTTTGAACCTCTCGACGCTGCATCTCCTCGCGGAGCCCTTTAATCTCATTTATCAGATGTTGGTTAACCTTTACATTGTGCGTCCTCATGGCATCGAGCAGGTCACTTTCCAAGTGCGCCACTGTCTCGAGGCTATGCACATCAGCATGACTTCTCAGAATCCTGCTAATCATAGCATATAACGAGAACTCTCTCGATTGCTCTTCCGATAACACCATGAGGTGAACGCGGTGAACGGTCCAACTTTCCTGTTTCACCAGAAGAGCATAAGGCACTTACATCAAACCAAATAGAAAGAAAATAGAGGACAAAGAAATAGAAGGGGAAGAAATGTTTGCATAAATTCGTGAAAAAGAAATTAGTTCATTACAAAGAAAAGAAATAGTCTGAATGGCCTAGCAGCTATTACAGAGGGCAGGATTCATATAGCATCACTGCCTTGGAGGGGATCATTAGAAGGGTCCTGGGAGGCGTCCTCGACAGTTCTCTAAACTCCGAAATGGCCGGTATCAGCAACGTCCTCCTCGGTCTCCTCATCGGCATCCTCGAGCTCGATACCCATGTATTCGTCGGGTACCTCGGGTATAGGATCCTCCTCACTTGGACCCTTGGCCAGGACAACAGGAACGTCGCCCGGAAACGAGGCAATCTCCACAGGGGAACTCATTTTCGTCATGGCGCCAGTCAAAGCTCCCCACAGAGGAAGCTGCTCGAGGCTCAACCTTGTCAAGACCTTTACCATAGCCTCGTGCATGGTTTTCTTCGAGTCTTTCATCAGGAGCTGCTTGAACCATTTAGCCTTGATTGGCCTGTCCTGGTCGAGCCTCTTCAACCCTGCCACGCCAACTCGGTGCACACCACACTTGGTAGCAACCAAGTTCATCTCCTCAAGGACTGATGAAGGCAGTACACCACTGATGAAGTTCCTCCTTGGAGATGTGCAGGCTGGCGAATGATTTCATCTTCTCATCCAGCTCGTTATATTTAGCCTGCACCTCGGCAATCTCAGCCTCCTTAACCTGAACTTGGCGTGCTTTCTCCTCGAGAGTAACCACCTCGAATAACGCCTCATCCCTTTCCGCCCGAGCTGTAGCCAGGTCTCTCGAAGTTTCCTTAGCTGCACTAGGTAGGCCATCGAGGCCGCACTTATCTGTACCAACATAGCGTATCAGGAACACATTGATAACATATACATTTAAGGCCTAATCTGGAAAATGACTTACCAGTTTCAAACTATCAGCCTCGTTCAGCTGAGCAGCGAACTCCTCGAGAACAGGACATTCGATTGATGGTGGGTTCCTAAAAGTGTGGACCGCCATAGACGGACCTCCTTTGAACAGCTGAGGGGGCAAGATTATCACTTCACCCTCGAGAGGGCCCTTGCCTTTTTCGGCCGCAGGAGGAACTATGCTTGGCCCTACTTCTGGCACAGGTTTCTGAATAGACTCGGTGGCAAGGGGTACCGTCTTGATATCTGGCTGCGTGGTTTCCTTCGAGGGTGCATCCGTCTTGGCCTTCTTGGATTTTGCCCTATCACCCAACTTCACGATCCTCTTCTTCTTTTTCTTCTGAGGGGCAGCAGTAACAGTGACACGCTCATCTGTATTCACAATGACAAAAGGATCTTCGTCACCAAACAATCAAGACCCAGCATTGCTTGACGACATGACCTAACAACAAAGGAAAAAAAAGAAAATGATTAGTACCTTGGTCTTCTTCAACAGAGATCTCGAGGGGAATTCTGGTTGCTCCCTCGATGTTGACTGTATCACCTTCCTTCGCATATACAGGGGGCACATAGTATTGTACGTCGTTCCATTTAACGACTTTCGAATATTTTAGAATTTTCTCCACATCTGCCTGGAACTCCTCGACGCACTCTTCATCCTCTTGGGTCCATTCATCTTTTATGGCCCCGAGACCCTCTGTCTCTCAGAGATTTCATGGCAAACAATAACTCACAGGCGCCTTTACAAACACAAAGTCCGGTTTCCATTCTGGAGAGCCGCCATACGCCTCGACCATCTTCTTCACGCCAGCTCTAAGGCGTCTTTTCACGATATACCAATCCTGGAAGGAAGTTGAGGCCACAACTACTTGGAAAAAATACCTCCGCAATACCAATCGAGATATTACTTTTACATGTTGACATACTCTCGCAAACCTCAGTACAAATGTAATTAAATTCGGGGTAAAACGAGCGAGAGGAGTCCTATAGTGTTGAACAATCTCCTCAAACAGGGGGTAGAGGAGAAATCTAAGCCCTAGATGCATAAATCGGTCATACACGGTAATTCTTCCCCTTGGAGGAGAGTTAGCCCTCTCGTTTCCTAATGGGGCTCTCGCCTCTTGGGCTGAGGGGAAGTCATACTTGGATCTAAGGTTATCCACCTTATCAATCGAATCTATGGTGGATACAAAGTCCAAAATAGTTTTTCCTTTGGAGTTCCTAACCATAGTTCCGGCGAGGATCTACTCTGGCTACAACAGAAAAAGACAAAAACTTGGAATAAATCGGAGATTCAAATCTAGAAACTTACTATGGAAGGGGGACGTGACCACTCGTCTTTCAAATTATAACTCCCCAATGTTGTCCAGAAGCTTCAATTCGCAACTCCCCTGGAAACGGCGTCGCCGGGGCAGTATATCAGGTGAAATCTTGAAAATTCCGGCCGGAAAAAGAATTAGAATGCTCTGGTAAAGAAGAGTATATTGGGGGCTGGAATGCTTTCGCAAAGGAGAGGATTTTGTGTTTTTACAAAGAAGGAAAGTGATTAAGTGTCCAGGGACGGTAGAGCTTTCTCTTTAAAAGCAAAGTTGATTATCCCAGGTTTCCCTAATTATGGACCACGATTTGACAGTTATTGCGGGTTTCAAGGAAGTAATGATGTTGAGGCCGCTGTTTGGGGAACGTGCCCACTAATAACACACAATTGAAAATTTGGGTGGGATTGGGAAGCGGGTCATCTTCCGGGTCATCTTCCCAGGTCTAGCCCTGACCCGCCAATTCCTCTCGATCCTCCGAGATCAAGGGTCATGCGTTAGCATCGAGCTCGTTGGGCATGTGCCTCGACAATTAGCTGAACGAGGGTAGTCTGTCCACTTTCGGGTATGTTTCAGGTAATGCTTATTTTGTGCCAAGCGTTGTTTGTTTTTCGGTCACTAACACTTGACAAGGGCACTTGACGAGTCCATATCCATCACCGAGATTGAACCGGCCCGCCAACGGTAGAAAGAGTCCATCTGGGACTCTTAGGGCGGTGTAAGTTCCTGAAACCTAGTTGGATTCGGGAACTTCCCAGGTAATTTCATACCTATAAATACGGTACCTCATACCACAATACAGTACGCAATCTAGCAATCCTTTTACTGACTTAAGCATCGGAGTGTCTACCCTCGGGAGACCTCGGGGCCTTGTTTTGCAGGAAACCCTAACCGGAGTTCCACCGTTAAACCGGCGGTGCATATCCAAGCATCGTCAAGTTCCAATTGAAAATTTTGATGATGTCAAACCACTGTAACAAATTTCGGACAGTTGAGGAGCATTCACCACTTGAACATCTAGTCGATGGAAGTGAGAGTCCAGACGCAATTTCTTAAGAGAGTTACTTGAAATTTTGATAGTCATCAACCTCTCTTCATCAATCACGACCAAACCCAAACTTGAATACCTCGAGGGCGGTCATGTGATTCGAAAGATTTTGTTGGATAGTCTCGATCATATTTTAACTACCTAAATCCAATTTGAGAAACTTTAAATTCTTGCAGCCTATTACATCCAAGGCACCCAATTCTCGAACGAGACAAGAAAGATACTCTAGGTTTGGTGCTTCTCGTATACAAATTTCTTTGATGTTAGGTCCGCGATCATTGATCATTTCAACCCGTTTCAACTTGTGATGCGATCCTACCACCTTCAAAGAATGGAAGCCGTAAGAATTGTGGATCCCAATCGAGGAACTGAAGCTGGGGAGAATTTATGATTCATTGTTCAAGTAATCCGTCATCAACTTGGTTGCGAATCAGGCACAACTCTTTCAATGAAGGAAGATGTATTTTCATCATTAATGTGGATGAAGTAGGATGCTTCACTCCTTGAAGATGAAGGATTTGTAGAGAACGTGCAGAATACATGGGTTGAAGTAGATCAACCCTAACTCGAGTGTACAAATATATTTCTCGTATATGATCTTTACCATCTTTTTCTAGCAGTATGAGCTCAAGTAGGGATTCGATCTCGGGTTGCATGGAGAGAGCAAATCCAAAACTGATATCAAGGACGAACTTTTGTACGTTTAAACCCTGTGTTTGGAGGTTCCTAACAACACTTAGTGCGGAAGAAAGCATGTATCTAATATTTGATTCCGATTGTGGATATCAAAAACTACGGTCATTAAGATACAAGCACGGTGAACCGGCGGAGGCATCCCGCCAAGACTTGGATACAGCTGAGACTTGAACCACATTCACATAATGAACCAAACACAGTATTTTTTGCTTTATTTCTTTCGGCAACTCCTCCATCTCTCCCCACGCTTCTTGATTCTCATGCCACAATTTTTTTTGGTTTTTTGTTTTTTCCTTCTAATAATGATAAGAAGGTAGTCTTAGGATCCCAGGGTTTCTCTCTAATAGACAATATTTAAATTTCGGTAGTTTTTATAAATTTTCGCTCCCAAATCGTCCAACCCTGATCAATAAAACTGTTGACCAGCTTGGGTATATATGACCCGGTCTTCCCAACAAAGGGTTCCACAAATTTTTGGTAATATCTAATTGTGATTCATATATGAATTCGGAATTTCTGATTAGTATATCTTCTGTTTATAAATAAGAGAGTGGTTTCTGTTTTGCAAATAAACCAATGACGGTTGTGAAGGGGTTTCTTTCTTTTTTTCTTAATAAAGTACATCTTTTTTTTTCCTTCTGTTTTTGTTTTTTGGGACTACGTTAGTCATAATACAGGCATTTTGGTGGTCCAGCTTTGGTCCAAAACAAGCAAATTAAATTAGTGATTGAGAGCAAGAAACAAGAAAATCCTCTGCAGGGAATTCATGATGGATTTAGCGGATGATGAAGAGATTGCAACGGATCGGATAAGCGATTTACCGGATGAAATTATTAGCCAAAAGTTGTTGTTGTCCAAAAGTTTGTTGTCCAAAAGTTGGAGGCTTCAATGGACAGGAGTCGCCAGCTTTCACATTGAAAGTCAGTGGTGGCTGGATTTTGTGGATTTTGTGGCTTTTGTGGACCGGTTGATGCTTTTTAAACGATCGACCATCAACGAGTTTCGTCTAAAATGGGAGGATACAAGGCCGACGCCGACAATAGGAATCATATGGGTTCCCCGATGGCTCGCTTTAAGTCCAAATCTTGTGGTTGTTGATGTGGGTCTTTTTAGCCAATACGAAAATTCCTATTTAGCTCGCACAATGTCGATTGACTTACCAGATCAACTTTTTACTTGTAAGACTCTAGAAATTCTAAAACTAAGAGGGCCTTTCCTCGTCAAAGTTCCATCCCAGGAGGTGGAGGTTTGTCTTCCCAAACTCAGTGTTTTGGAACTGAACTCGGTTCACTTTAAGTCCCGAGGAGGAAAGTCTCTCCGTATGCTCTTGCGCGGTTGCCCCGTGCTCAAATCTTTCAGATTTGAAAGGAAGCACCGGTTTCCCTCGATACATTGGTGGATTTCTTCCGCTTCGTTGAAACATCTTGAGATCTATCTCTATAATGATGAGGATGATATCATGAGAATCTTTGCACCTCACGTCAATAACCACCACTGCAAGCTGCTAATTGATACGCCTGCACTTGAAAAACTCATTTTAACTGATCAGTTGTCCGCAAAAATCTCAATAAGCGGAGGCTCCAATCTCAACGAAGCGGAACTTGATATCCGATGTGTTGATCACTTACGGGATACAGATTATCGGAACTCGATTGTTCGTTTGATCCAGGGTTTGAGCCATGTCAAGATTCTTAGATTATCAGACAAAACTAAGCAAATTCTTAGCAGTTCCACCTGCCAACAATTGTAAACTTTGAGGAGATGATGATATTTTGAGTGCGCGTTATCACTGTAATATAAGATGATCGCGTTGGTTTTGTTTGTATATGTTAACTTCCGGTTCCAAAACGTGGATTGCCATTCTCAGATGAGACTTTCTGAGATAAAAATTTGAGGTTCAAGGGTCCAAAGCATTTAGAAAGAAATAATCAAATTCTTTCACATCAAAATCAAATGATATTTAACAAGATCAAAATCCCTTATAATGAAAAGTTCTCTCCTTATATCCTCGTGGCTGAGCAACCATTATGTCCACAAGTCCCTCCACAGGTATAGCAAAACTCGAACTTACACCTGCATCACAACTCAAACAACGCAAAATGCAACACAGTCAATTAAGAGAAGTCCACGACACAAATTGTATTTTGAAAATTCGAGTTGATGGCGCTTTCTTGTGGTATGTTATTAATCTCTAATCACAATATCGTTAATAAGAATAAAAAAAATCACCAAAGACAAAGAGTACTAATTAACCTGCAAGTCACATGGTTGCATCCGGATGTTTTTTCCACAAAGTATCCGCAACGAGGGCATCTTTTCCAACCTTTCTCACCCGCAAGCTTCTTCAGCAACAGATCCTCGATCGACCTTTCGTTCGAATCCGTTCTTTGAAACTGTTGAATCGACGATTCGTGAAGCAGTTGATCCTTCCACTTTTCTATCACATTTTTGGGCAGAATTGAATTACAAGCACGAAACTCAATCGATTCTCTGCAATTCAATGCCAGGCAGACAATGCGGAGTGTATTATCTTGGAGCTTCGTTTGGATATGTTTAGCAACACAAACATTACAGAAAACATGGTTGCAATTCTGAACCTTAAACATTTGGCCATTTGCCCGGCTTTCTGCACAAATTTCACAAAAGGTTGGCATGGATATCTCAACTTCTTCACTTTTTTCTTTTTTTCTTTTTTCTTTTTTTCTTTGTTCAACTAACTTCTTCTAACTAATATCCTAGAGCAGTATCATCCGAGTATCAGGTAGGATTGTATAAATTATAATGGCATTTTATAGGGAAGCCATTCTGATGGATTGAAGTTGTATAGGCTTTTTTTTTTTTTTTGTAATTATTTGTTGATGAAATTGGTATGGATTTCACGGAAACGACCTTATGGGTTCCCAATGTGGATGAGTTTTTAAAGCACTCTTGCGTGATGTATGGTAACTTCGCGACTTTTGGTTTTGCTGATCAAATAAGGCTTTTTGGTGTCAACAGACCTTTTCGACTTCAGATCAAACCAATCTAACCCATTTGCTCTCTTCTTTTTCAGTTGTCCTATGTTTCATGGGAATTTGGAATTACATGTAGAATTGATCATTGCAATACACATACTACTTCCGTCAAAAAAAAAAAAAAATAGTTCAGATTGAATGTTTAAATTTGTACTAAAAATAGTACAAAAATTAAAACTCAATGTGGACTATTTTTTTTTTGGGGACGGAGGGAGTACTATTTTATTAATACATGTCGATCATTCTAAGGAATATAGTACAGATCGTAAGAGGCAAGTTGTTGTAGCACTATTAATTAAAAAATATTAAGAATTAAGTTCTTACATTTAATGTATTGATAGAGTTTTGGAAGAAGACTTCAGAACTATGACCAGGTCCAAAGTCCTTTTTTTCTCATTTTTGTTACATTTTTGCTTTTTGTGTGAAGACAATATTGCCTTTAGAATTCTTGGATCAGCTTGTCAAATTGCTACACATTTGTTGGAGAAAAGATTTGGATTTGAACACGAAAACCAAGTATAGAATATGTCTAACTTTGTGTCCATCTTCATTCACTTTCTAGTATAATGGATAAACGTACTCACTTACAAGGGATGTTTCTTATCCTCTACTACTAGACCAATCTACATTCCTTCATAATAACTATCAAAATTAACCACCAATTTGTATGATTTATTATACAACCCAAAAATCACGCGAACAGAATCTTCTCTGTCTATCCTATGAATCTGACCGGCAAAAACATGTAGTAGAACACATTCGAAGATACAATTGGTGTAAATTCCGGAAACCAAAGCTCAAATACAATCTTTTTGCCAGTCAAAAAGGAATACTCACCACAATGTTTTTCGTTCCTGTTGAAGACCAAAAACTTCTTAGTACAAAGTAGTGTATTATACCAAACAAAAAAAAAAAAAGCCTTAATTAATGATGCTCTGTTGATCCCCATTGATTAAGAAAGAAATCATGAAAAACATCCTTCAGAGTTTATGGTTCTTGTAGGCTAATCTTCATCATCAGGCTGACAACCACCATGATCTTCAGTCCAAGTCGCTCCACAAGCATAGCAAAACTGGAAACCACACCTAAATCACACACCCAAAAAAATGAGAAAATTCCCACACATTTTGGCACTGATATAAACATCATACAAAAAAACCTTAATAATAATCTAACAGTAAAAGAGTTCAAAAAGTGTCACGAACTAACCTGCAAGTCATATGTATGCATCCTTCGGATTTTTCGACATAGTATTTGCAACGAGGGCATCTGTTCCAACTGTTCTCTTCCGCAAGCTTCTTCAGCATCAGATCTTCACCCGCTCTTTCATTCACATCCAATCTTTGATACTCTTCACAGCTAAATGATTGATGCCACGGCACAGAGCATCGCGCGCAGAACAACCTAAAGCAAGCGAAGCACTCTGTTCTACTACTAATAACTTCCTCCTCTGTATCCATCAACATCATTGCTGAACAATCCTTAAAAGGACAATAGATTTTCTGGGACGAATCTATTGAGGATTCACAGAGAATTTTATCCCATTTCCGTAACAAAGTTTCGGGCATGATTGATTGGCAATAATGAAACTCAATCTCCTCCTTACAATCCACTGCTGGGCACACAATACTGCGTGTGGTACTACTTTCCTCGAGTCTTGCTTCAACGTGTTGACGGATGCAATCGTTGCAGAAAACGTGGTTGCAAATCCGATTTTCATAGGTTTGATCGATTTCTTTGCTGTCCGTACAGATTTCGCAAACAATTTGTAAGGAGGACTCGTGAACAGCTTCTTCTCTGATCTGTTCTTCTTGGATAAAATTCAGGGGAATTTGAGGGTCGTTGACCATCATTGAAGCCATGACAGCTTCAAGTAACTGCAAGCTTTCAGCATAATTCACATCTGATGCGAGAACAGCAGATGAATCAAAATCATCATCATCCAAATCAATGAAATTTTCCTGAGCAGCCATATTGATGGATTGAAATGAATAGGGTGTTTTTTGGTACAAAGTTGTATCGGTTATTAGGAAACTATCTTATAATTAAGTTGATGGATGCCTTGGCTTTCGAAGTTTCACTACTACTTCGGCTTTTGTTTTTGCTAAGTCGTCTTATTTTGTTTTCTTTCGAAAGACTTGTGGTGTTAATAAAATTATTAGTAATAAACAAATTGAATCAACGCCAAAATTTTTACAATTTTCTCCATAGAAATTTCATCTCGTAAAATAAATGTTTATGACAAAGACTAAAACAATCATTTTAATACACATATATAATATAATGTACACATAAGTGAAACTCATTTATCACTGTTTCATAGTAGTAGCATTTTCAGATTTTTCTCAACCGTGTATGCTATTAACACGGGTTGAATGGGGTCGCGGTATCAAATTGTGCGTTGAAGATGTTCAGAATTTCTTCGACCAATTAATTTCTTCTCATGACCTTCCGATTGCAAAACTATGAAAAAATAAAAAAACTAATAAGGTGGGGGGGGGGGTACGTAGTTTTGCTTCGTAATAAATGAATCTACTCAAATTGTTTATTTGTTTGACAACGACTTTGACGAAGTCTTTTCTTCTGTGTTTCTCGTGTTGTTTTCGGAAAATCAAACTGTTCACTTATAACTCATAAGCTCTTTTTGGATCAAGTTTCTGGTTTTCAGGACAAGTTACGACACTAGCATATATTTATAACTGAAAAAAAAGGGTCTCCTCTATTAAAACTAATGAGCCTGATAAGCAATATTTACAGCAGGCGTTCAATGTCCAGACCGAAATCGAAATTGAAAATTTTGATCTTGGTAAAGCAGAAATCATGCATTGTGACCATAAGAACATACACGATTATACACAAAGCACGACCAAGATGATGATGCGACGTGAGTAAAACATTTCTCATGCTTCTCTAAAGTCTACAGTCGCAGATTCAGATAAAAAAAAAATGACCAAAGAACCACACATATCAAGTATCGCAAACATTGGCCATGGTCAGATGAGACTCCTCTGATATTAAAACTTCAGTGCCAACACATCCAAATCAAAATTGGAAAAAAAAAAAAAGAAGAAGAAGAAGAAAAACATTGTTATTCCCTTCAAATGAAACTAGCCCCTGAGAATAGAGTACACCATTGTACTACTACAACCTCTTTAAGTTTTAACTGATTATCTGATTGTTCATCACTAGTATCAACATTATGGCATCCGTTACGCCATTAATCTTCAATTCTAAAAAGCTACACCTGCCGGGGCTGACAACCGCCATGATTATTAGTCCATGTCGCCCCACAAGAGTAGCAAAACTGGAAACCGCACCTGTATCAGCCACTCAAAACGCAGAAGTTACATCATGTAGGATCGTATAGCCTTTACTTTCATTTTTGTTCTGATTAGTCTGTTGTGTTCTATTCTCTATGTCCCGAAATTATTGTCTAACTTGAATTTTTGTTTTTAGTTTAAATTGAACTAAAAATGAAAATCCTAGATTGAACAATAGTTTTTACTATAAATTGAACTAAAACTGAAAATCCAAACGGGAGAGAAAGGAAGTATTTAAAATGGTGATAGCACATAATGTAAGTGGCATCTTAACACTAATCCATTTAATTCAGAAATCAAATCCAACTTTAATACATGCATTCCAAAAGTGGTTAGTTTATCATTTCTTCCAGACTATTGTAATAAACAAGTTACTCATCATCTTACTTTACATGAAAAAAATTCCATAGATTAAGAAGAACACTGACCTGCAAGTCATATGACCGCATCCTTCTGTTTTCTCGACATAGTATTTGCAACAAGGGCATCTGTTCCAACTCCGATCTTTGACAAGCTTCTTCAACATCAGATCCTCATATGCTCCTTCGTTCACATCGAGTCTCTGAAACTCTTCACACCCAATCGTATGCCACGGAACAGAACACTGAGCACAGAACAATCTAAAGCAAGAAGGACACTCTGCTTCCCTGATAATTTCATCGCTATCCTTCAACAACATCGCAGAACAGTCCTTAAAAGGGCAGTAATATTTCTGGGATGCTTGAATTGATGATTCACAGAGCAATTGATCCCACTTTTCCAGCACAGTTTTGGGAAGGATTGAATCACAAGACTCAAACTCAATGAACTCTTCACAGTTCACTGTCGGGCACACAATAGTGTGTGTATTGTTATGAAGCTTCACTTCAATATGCTTAGCAATGCAATCGTTACAGTAGAAATGGTGGCAATTCTGAACCTTGAAGATTCGATCATCTGGTTTGGTTTCCGCACAGATTTCGCAAAACATTTGCAGAGATTCGCCCAATTCCGCTGATTCCGATGGCTCTTCAACTACAACTAGTGATGATGAAGCTAGGGGCTTATTGATCATCATTGAAGCCACAACAGCCTCTTGTAATTGCAACCCTTTAGCATAACTCGCATCTTCATCATCATCATCATCAACTTCATTAATCAATTCAAAAATTCTGGACAAGTCAAAAGTATCATGAGAAGATGAATCTAAGTCATTTCCTTGTTCAGCCATTCTGATGGGTTTCCTAATTTGATGAAATTGCTATCAATATGGAAATTACTAACACTTGCGATTCTCGATGTCGCTTAGTTTCGAAGCACTCTTGTTTTACTGGAAACTGGGGAGGTTTTTGCTTTGTGTTTTTGTTTTTTTTTTGGCCGATTTAAAGTATACTTAAAGAAAGACTTTTCGTGTCAATAGAACTTTTTGACTTCACATCAAGCCAATCAAACCCTAAATTGGATGTCTTTCATTTTCCTCAGTCATGATTATCGGTTTGTTGTAGATCCATACATTCCTTCTTCCTTTTCTAGTTTTTTAAATGAATTTTCTGTTCACTGTTCTGAAATGGCAACAACGGGCCTTTACTCTTTTGATTAGACTCTAATTTTTCCATTTTATGAGAGTGCTAACTAATCGGAAAATTGGAATGGATTCTTCAATGGGGGGATCGATACGAAGCAGTTAAGTATGGTGATACTGTCAATCCAAATGATTTTTTCGTATCACTTTGATTGTTAGACGTATTCCAAACAAATTTCTTAAAAGTGAGAAATTATAGGAAATAATATAATCATTCTGTCCAAAAGAAGTAGTCAATTTTGTTTTACTTCTTTAGTTCAAGAGTGAATTATTCTGCCCAGACCTAAGGGAATAGTAGTTGTTACAATTTAAATAAGAAATTATATTGATACTCCAGTATGAAATTCCCACATTCCACGCCGATCTTATGGATGTTTAAATTTATATACTAAATTTTATACTTGGTATAAATCTGTTAAAAACAAAATCCAACCCGGGAAAAAAAAAAATCAAACCATTGAGGTTTTTTTTTATTTTTTATGTTTATGCATATTGAAACAAGTTTTCATTTGAAAATTTTTTAGATTTTCTAATATATCAGCACAAAAGTCTAAAAATATTTATTGTTGTTGAAACTTATTGTGCCGACTTTTCCATATTCATAGTATTTCCGATAATGGCATAAACAAAAAATGAATTTTTGTTTTGTACGCATCTTAAATTTAAAAATGATTAACCAAATTAAAATAATTATTGAAAATCCAACAATGCAAGGTAAATTATAAATTTGGGTTTAAAATAAGGGGAAAAATACAACTTGAACAGAGTGTCAACTTTATCGTCGATTGAAATAACCCGATGATAAAGTTGACGACAAAAGAATTTTGACGCTTCCGTTTTCAAAGCACGATCTGAACTCACGACTTCAATGAACAAATATAAATTAAAACTCTGCGTCGACTATTACGTCGACTTATTTAATCCGACGAGAATGCCGATGAAATTCAAAACTTTTCCCTTTTATCTCTACTTGAAGTCGAGAAACATAAATCAATGCTTTTGCATTATTTAAGAGTTCTTTAGTTGATGGTGTTATGTCATGCCAGTAATTAGTGGTTAATATGAGTCCATATTTTACTGCAGGTTATAATTATTTAACTAAAATGTCCAAATGGTCATTTATATTTGGACCTACTTGAATTTATGTCCCTAACATTAACATTTCAATATCGTAGTTCCAAACATTATGTTTTCAAACTTTTTTAATCTCATTTATGTATTATCCTCGAATTTTCACATGTTAGGTTGAATACTATTAGTTACTGTTAAATGGAAGTTACAAAATTTTACTATTAAAATATAGATTGTTTTATCTTATTATAAATAATCCAGTGAAATACCCTAGTATCTAGCATTAGAATTAAAGATACTCAAAAATAAGAAAAGAGTTCTAGTTAAGTACGGCTTTAGACTATAAAAAATAAAAAATAAAAAAATAAATTAACCGATCAAAAGAAATTAGAGAAACCAGACTTATAGCATAAGTAACTTGGAGTAAAGTTTATTGATATTTTATTTCATATTTTCAACTCTAAACATCAAGAGGTATCAGCCAGTAAGCCTTTCATTTTAACAAATTGAATAAGTGAAAATGAGTGTTTGACAATGTATCATGAAATATTATATTAGATTTATTATTTGATTAGAGACATTTTTAATTTCATAAACTCTTTGGAGTTACAACCCGGTACAATGTAGAATCTTTACCTTTATTAATAATTATAAATGTGTAAGAGTATTAGCTTGACACATGAAGCTAACAAGCATGAGGTGTCCAACTTTGCATTAATCTATTAGTCTATTCTTTAAAGCAGCCAAGGGTAGGAATGAAATTAGGATTCCTTTCCAAGCTAGCTTAAAAGCTACGCCCAAAATTCCAAACGGAATTTTGGAATGAGAGTTTATTAATTTAACCAAACGGAATAGCCAAAATTCCACCGCCTCATAGAAGTTATTTTTATTGAGTAAAGCTTCAAAAAAAAAAAAAAAAAAAAGGGAACCACCTTGAGGATAAAGTCTTTACAGCAATTTTTAATCTACACTAGGTAGAAATATTAGGCATGTAAGTTTTTAAAATATAATATATAAATGCCTTTACTCTTGAACAAAGAGGAAGTAGAAGCTTTCCATATACTTAGTTAATAAATAAAATAGCTTAGGAATCAAGCTGGTCATACGTGAAAGTTGAGCTAATTAAATTGGAAATAAAAAATGGGATATCCTTACCCCAATTGCTTTTTCCACCTTAGCATTAACGTGGTTTTGTTAATAAACTAGGGAAATCCCAGAAATAATTTTAGACCACTTCTCCACCCCTTCAATTTTTTTACTTGTTTCTAAGGCCTAAAATATTATTTTAATATGTAGAAAAGCTCTACTACGCCCCCTTCATGTTTCAGCCATTCGTTTCATTTTATTCTTTTTTTCAATGGATGATTATTCAATGTATAAAGTCCTCCTAAATACTCCCACTTCACTGCCTTGAAAAGCTTCTAACCAAAGCTATTACCATTTTACATTTATCGTGGCCATCGCCTTGAAAGGATTAGATCAAATGCTTTGTTGTCCAGCTCCTTTCGACTCCACCGTCCTTGCTTTGAAACTTCGAAATAAAATAAGAATAAAAGGAATAAGTTTACTTCACCGCTCACTTTACTACGTGCTTTATAAATCTCAAACAAAAGGCATTGTCATTCCATATCCTTTACCTCCTGCGCCTTCAACTTCAAATAACCCCTCCCACGCCTATGACAGAACTGAATCTTGCCTCCTTTCTCAAATCATTGATCGTATTACACCCTCATCTTCTTTCAATAAGGTTTATGATATGTTCATTTGGCCGCTTGTTATTCCAATCGAGAGTTTGGGAGACCAGTATTTGTTTTATCAAATCCCAACCGTTTGGAGAATGATTCATAAATCAGAGCCAGAAGCGGAGATCTGTTTAAGCTGATTTTGAACTCCACCGACGAGTAAGATTAGTATTACCTTAATTTAACTTCTTGAGATTTGACGTTTTAATTTGATATACCTTCGAAAGAAACAACAGAGAACTTTGCGAATCATTTGGAAACTCACTTAGAGTTACCTTCTTGGTTAAACAATTATTTTCTTCAAGACGTAGGACGGAAGAGATTAAATAGCAATTGATAGCTAGGGTAGTTTGGGAGAAACATAGGTCCTTTGTACCAGATGAATATGCTTTCCCTCATGCTATCAGTTAACCCGACATAAACGCACCCAAATGCACATATAATAAATCCAACTAATTTACTTTTACAAACAAATATATTAGATCCACTACTTCATTAATATATTACGGTACTTGCTGGGTAGTGGTTCATGTAGAATTAGTTAAGTAGATATCTATTTCAAGAGTTACTTTTGATTAGGGTAGTAAGCATTATGTATTAACCAAGTTCATTTACACAGTGAACATTTGAGGATAGCTAGTTTAAATATATTAACGCTTGAACAAATCTATTAAAAAGGGGTTAAAGAATGGAACCTCCTGAAGGGTGTATTAATTGTAATAAATCATACACTTTCTAAGCTAAATGAATGCTAGTATGATAACTGTAATATGCTAATTGCAGAACGAGGGTTCAAGAACATCAACTCGTACTATGTATTAATACAGGTGAGTAATTCTCACTCTTTTAAAAACTGGGAGTATGAAAATATATTTTTAAAAGACACTACACACATGAGTACATTTTTAAATGTAATTGAAATATTAAATGCATATCATTAGATGACCCGGAGATGTATTTTATCTCCCTGAGGTATGTGTTTTATGAGGCTTCTAAGTGTTTTTGTGTCTAAGACAAAATGATATCGTTATGTGATCGAACGTACTTGATTGACTATGATCGTTGAATGTGTTGCTTCTGGTGGTATACTTTATCACTCCAGAAAAATTATTGTTGTGATTGATTGATTGATGTGAAATAGTGTGTGATTGTTGCTTCGGTGGACTCTAATCACATGGAGCCTGGGCTCTGCCTTTACTAGGCGAAGCTTTGCGGGCCGGCATCGGGCTTGGTCGCCAGGTTAGCTTACCTAGGTTATTGTTGTCCGGATGGACGTGGTGCTCATGAGTATCAATCGGTGGCCACGGGTGTTGAGGAGGGATTGTTATTGATATGGAATTGTTGTCCGGATGGATGCTATCGTATTGTTGAAATCTGGTTTGGAGTCCGTCTCTGTACCACGTAGGCTCTTTGACGGCCCTTGCTAAGGTTTCCCTGTATCCACCCTATTGTTAATTGATTAATGTGAAATAGTTGATTGTTGAATGATTCTATGTGAAATTATTTTATATCGAATATTGTTTTACGAAAACGGTTTTATTAAAAGTATCGTAGCAGTGTAGTGAGAAATTCACTGAGCTCGGCGCTCATGCTCTTTTTATATCTTATCCTCCGTATCCCACTCCCAGGTTTAAAATGGATCGATGCAGATGAGTCCAAGGGAAGCAAGACTTCGTACAAGAGATATTGTTACTGATAGTTGTAATATGAGACGGGATAGGTTAAATAGTGAGAATGTTAAGTCGATGTTTAGAATTTATATTAAAAGTAAATAAAAGAATTGTGTCTTGGGCAAGAGCCCGGCGGGCGGCTCAACTCGTAGTTAAACATGATGTATAATAACAGATAGGTGAGTTCGGTCGTCACAATTTCACTGTTTCGGCAACTTTTCCGTCTAATTCGATGTTGACTGGCCGTTGAAATACCAGAACCAAGAGTATTTTTGTCTTTTCGTTTAAATTTGAATTATAATCACGATCATATGGTGTAAACATAGTTTCAATCCATGGGGAAAGCTCTTTTTTATGCAATTATAATTTCATTGTAAGAGTAATCAAAGATTTTATGGTCATAGTCCATACAAATGTACGGATAAGTTTTATGCATTCCCCTCTTTGTTTTGATATCAATAAAATAGTCCAAATTTCAAAGCCTGAAATAGCTCAAGCAATGAGGTGCCATGATGGGGAAAAATGCAGAAACGGATTATCAGGAATTCTATATGCTCCCTCCCTCCCAAAATTATTGTCTAATTTGAATTTTCATTTTTAATTCCTCCGTCCCAAAATTATTGTCTAATTTGAATTTTCATTTTTAATTCAAATTTTACTAAAAATGAAATGTCAAATTAGACAATATTTTGGGATAGAGGGAGTATTAATTAACTAAAAGGTTTTGAAAATAAGGATCCTATTTTATCCTGAAAAAATTTCGTAAACAATGAATATAAATCACGAACAAAAGGATGAGACACAATATATTACAAGAGTAAATAAAAACGCCTCTCATGCTTCGCAGATTCAGATAGAAAGAAGGATACTTGTAGAGGTCATCAAAGTTGATCCTATTGATGAACAAATTATAAATCTTGGAAATATGGACCTCTTTTTCAATATTTACGGAGTTCAATATTAATAAAACAGAAATATATACCGTGATTTCTCCGGGAAAAAGAAAAAGGCATATCCCTAATTTCCTTGAAACGAAACATACGTTTGTCATCAAATTATAAAGAGTAGTAAGTCCAAAATAATTTTGTTTCGGGAGCTCTTATAAGTTGAATCTAAATGACGAAGGATTCACAAATCAACGATTTAAGGAGTTGTTAAAATGTGTGGACAGCCAATTCAGACGAATGAGAATACGCAATTTGATTTGAAAACATGAGGACCAATACATTTTACAATAATTTTGTATCTTCCCTTTAAAATGACATTATCACTTAAAAAAAGTCTCCTACCCATATTTTCACTACTGTAAAAGTGCAATGTTCCATGAAAAGAAACCCTAAAAGCGAAAAAGAAACCTTCACGAACTTGAAGTGAAAAATATTTTATCCGCCAATACATTTCACAGCAAAATCATAACCAGGCTGCTCTTAGCCTCGAATAAGATGTTTAACAGTTAAAAAAGTAATTCTACTTTAGTAATAATAATAATCTAATAGTCCAACAAAAAAGAAGTGTTCTAACATGATAACAAAATTTCTAAGTCTTTATAAGATAACATTGCCGGGGCAGAGAATCATCATGATATGCAGTCCTAGAAGCTCCAGAAGCATAAGTGGAACCACATCCGCATCACCTATAAAAATAAACACAAAACTACCATAGAATTAACAAGAAAATATGCCGTGTATTTGCTACATCACTTGAGATATTTTTGGGTTGGTAAATAACAAATGAGGACCTCAACTTTTACTTCGACAATGAAAAAAAATCAGTTTGTAGCAAAATATGAATACATTATACAGTGTAATAGATGCAATTGCAAGAACTACTATTTGATTTGATTTAGTAACAACTGAGAAGGTAATTGCATTAACTGACTCAACTCAGACAGTAAAAAGGTTATGGTCAAACTAGGGATTATCTGCACCTCCGTTTGAGGAAGCCAACCTCAAGGGGACCTCTCCGCAGCTTGGAGTCACAGGAGGAAGGAAATTTACTACGTGAAAGGAGTCTTATTAGAGGCATTATCGGGATAAAATATGGGGAATAGGGGATTCCTATTGCAGGACAATGCACTCCGTTTCTGACCTTTTATAATCTTATAAAAATCAACTTACTAAACTAACTTTGTTACTCGTTTGGCGAGCAAGTTTTTCAGTTGGTTGGTTTTCCAGGTAATGCTGAACATCTTTCGATGAAAACGAAGTTTACATGTGTTCCTCCTTAAATTGTTTATGAAATCAACTCGGCTTTCATATGATATGTAACCATTAAAAACTACATTATGTATTCTCCAAGGGACAAATTAATTCTAAATGTATATATCCAATGCATAAATTTGCAGAACATAGCACACTATACAAAAAAAAAAAAAAAAAAAATCAGTCATGATATTATTCATAATGTAAAAAAGTCATTGATAAGAATTCTGACCTCAGTTTTTCCCAGAGCAAGATTTGTTTATTGATTGACCTTTTGTTTCTGAAAATCTTCACAGCTAATGGAAGCATGCCAAGGCACAGCACATTTTGCACAAAACAGCCTATAGCAAGAAGGGCACTCAGCTTCCTTGATAGCTTCATTAGTCTCCTTCACCATCATCTCCTTACAACCTTCAAAAGGGCAATAGAATTTCTCGTAGCCTTCAAGCAGGGCTTCACAGAGCATCTTATCCCACTTTTCGCTTACATCGTCGGGCAAAACATTGCAGCAAGACTGATACCCAATCACCTCTTTACAATTCTCCGCCGGGCAAACAAAGATGTGGGTATCCTTATTCAGAGTCTCGTCGACGCTTTTGCCGAAGCAATCGTGGCAGAATTCGTGCCAGCACTTGCGAACCCTAAAGATCCGATAATTTGGTTTTTGTCTTGCACAAAGTAAGCATATTTTGAAGAAAGAAGGATCGCGAAATTCTTGTTTGGGGATTTTGAGCGGCTCTTTTGGCAGGGGAGAGTCGCTGCCGCCGGAGTTGGGTTTATCCGGTTTTGATTTTTTCAGCCGAGGTTTATCTTCTTTGCCGCCGGGCGCAGGGTCCTCTACGGCGGGTCTTTTCTCCGGGTTGTAGGGTTCTTTGCCTTTGGACGCAGTGTCCGCCGCCGCCGCCGGATTTTTCTCCGGGTGGTCGGAAGGTTTATCGGCCTTGTTGTCTTTGGCTTCTTCCATTGAATTTAGGGGAAGAATAGTTGTTTTTTTTCGAGTCGTGAAGTTTTCACAAACAAAAAAAATCACCGGCGGTTCGAACTCCTTAATAATAGGAGGGAATCTCTTCGTGTTCTGAGATTTTAACCTAAAATACTCGAGAACCAAATTTCAAAAAGGTAAAATGAAGTTTGGAAGGAATTACAATTCTTATCGAGGAAGATTTCTATTGTTATACTACTACCTCTTTCCTTTTATAGGCTGTTACCAACAACTCTTCAGAGAAAATTTGATCTGTCCATTCCATTTTTTTTTATTTTTTATTTTTGGATGTACAATATACAGTTTATGACATTCCTGCTTCCATGAGTAGTGTTTCCATTTTTACAAACATAATTTATTGATTACATAAAGACTTCCATTGTTTGAGTCTGGGTGTTGGATACGACGAAGAAACTATGAACTCGTGCTTTTTTTAGGTTTCTTTCGTTTTTTTGGTCAAAAGGGGATATGTACTAACAGTAATTTACAGGAGATACACTATGCCAACATCATGGCTTAGCCGTTCAAGTGTCCCTAATGTGGTGAATTCAGTCTAATAATTCCTCTTGAATTTGTTACCGCCAGCAATACCAAAAAATCGGTTACAAAAACTACCGTCTACTTTGATTCTCCTTAATTATCTAACAACTCCCTAATAGCCCTCAGCAGACTTTCATACGTGCTAATCGTACTTGTAATTTATTGGTCGAGATCTACCTTAAGGTTGAAATGCTAGAAGTCTGTTTGTCACACCCTCTATTTGGTTCATTTTCTCATGGTTTTCCAGATTATTTTATTAATAAAAGTTTGTTCAAAACAATTCAACCATATTATCAAATGATTTTGCCAAATAAGGTCATTACTATGTTTCACCTATCTATGATTTAACTAGAACTTTCACACACAACATTTGTAAGCTTATTATTATTCCTTTTTCTTCTGTAATACGAAAACAAAACTACACTCCATTAACCATTGTAGCATGAACTTTGATCTCTAATAATCTCTACTGCAGTTACTGCCCACATACAACGACTACAACTGTAGAAATCGCAAATTAAAAACAAATTAACATATACCCTTTAGCAGGAAACTAACTATGCATATTTTCTGTTCGCCTGCGGCGTCTCTGATTTACTACAAGTTCTCTCTGTCGTCTTGCCCATTGACGCCGGTGCTGCAAACCATCACGGTCGTGAGTCGAAGTCCCTCTTGACGAGCATAGCTCATCATGAACTGCCGTCCAAGTCTCTCCACGGGCTGCATCAATAAAAATTGATTACTTCAGGTAATTTGAATTCCACGTCCTAATCATGCTTATGTTTGTTTTGTTTCAATTGCAAACGAATACAAATTATTTCATCAAAGTATTATATCGTGTATATTCATCCTCTTAAAGGTATAGATTGAGTGTTAATTTTTCTTCTGTGATCCATGAAATGAGTTTGGCCCCAAAACACTAATTTTGATTCTTTACTTTCATTTCTTAGAATATACATATACGTAAGCTAGGGGATCAACTAAAGGAAAATGTGCTGATGTTCAAAGTATGTTCTAAATGTGTTCAGGATCTAAGGAAGTTGTTCGAGTGGATGTCATCATGCATGGGAAGTAAAAGGGACAGGATGGTTGGGGTGGATGTTGTGCTAAAACCAATGCATACACAAGTAAAATTAGAGTGTCAGAGCAGTCTTAGAGTTGGTTATATTGCAAGAAAAGTTCCTGAAGAGAACCTTTTGAAGAGATGGGATGATAATCTGAAGAATTTTGGCCTTGAGGTGTGTGATGTAACAATGGCTTCTCTGATCTTTTGGCTATTAAGAGTTAGGATGAAATAACCTTTGTCAGAAAGTAGCATTCCTGAGTGCTTCTGTAATGAAAAGTTTTGTTGTGCCAAAATTTGAGATGGTCATTGGTGAGGAAAAAAAAAGTCACTCTTCTTTGTTGATCCTCTGCTTTGTTTCTTTTTTTATTTTATTTTTTTGGAAAGAAAGATCCTCTGTTTTTTTATTCGAGTGAGAAATAGTCAATAAGTGGAATCAGGGATTAAGGAATACTTTGTTTTATTAAGGAATCCATTTGTATTGTTTTAAGGAATAAGAATTGGAAAAATGTCGTTCCTACTCAAAGCTTTGCCCTTATCGTCAATCATATTGTTAACTCTATTCATTTATTTTAAACTAAAATCATATAGAATAAGCTAGTAAGACTTTCTCTATAGTTAGATATATTAATATCTCAAATAATTATTATAAAATGTTAAATCCTTGCATTGATACGTATACACATTTTTTATAAATTATATTATGCCATGTAGTCTCTCTAGTTTAATTGTAATACACTAAACTATACTAATATATTATTTTTTATTTGAGCTCATATTTTATTTTTATGTAGAATATTAGTTTCATTTTTGTTATTTTTATATCTTTTAGGGATTATTTTTAAAATTTTTAAAAACTACTAGGGTATTTTTATATTTAAATTTATTATTTTATTAAAAAACTAACGGAGATCCGTTAATTTGGATGAAAAATGGCCGATTGGACGAAATTGACGAAAATTTCAAACATTAGGGTAAAGTTGGCTAACCAAAAATCTATTAGGTATAATTGACAACGAGGGCAAAGTTTTGGGTAAGAACGACATTTTTTCCAATAAGAATGAAATTTACCTGTTCTCTTATCTATTTTAAAAAAATATCAATTGGGTCTATATTGTAATTTCTTATTTGTATAATTGGTCCTTCAATTTTCTAACAATATTCGACAGACCATGGTTTTTTGACAAAAATCCCAACAATTTCAAAATTTTAATTTACATACCATTATTTTTTAAAACATATAATTTTTTATTATTAAAAACTAATAATAGAGATAATTGTACGGGCCGCCTGGGCTAAGCATCTAGTATGATGTTAAGATTTTATAGTGTAAGTAAAATTGTTGTTAATTTTTTTATTTTAATTTATTTGAGTTACTATACATCCCTTTTATATATATATATATATATATATATATATATATTATTACCATATTAAAGCAGAAGACATGAAGCTTATGTGGCAACTACGTATGTATCTGTTTTGGCTCCAATGCACCATATTTCAGATTTCAGAAGTTTTTTTGCCACGTGTAAATATCTTTTAATTAGAAGCTATATAATTCTTTTTTTAAAAAAAAACACATGTTTTAAATGTGACACTTATCCAATGAAAAAATTCTACAAATGAGAATCAGTTACATTTCAAACGAATGGATATATTAATTCAAATTCAAATGTCCAATCGTACAGTTTTGCAGGCTTAATATAAACAAAAAATAAAAAAACTTAAATCCAGTAATTAAGAATAGTGCTTTATAAACTAATTATTTATTATTCCCTTATAACCTCAGATTTATAGGTATATTTTTTAAGCCCCAAATCATAGCATAAATGATATATACGCCAAATTAATTCCTCAAAAAATAGTAATTCAATTAGATTTTAATAAAATAGTAATTTAGAAGGGGCGCCCGGGCATCTGCCTGGACCAAACATCTAGTTCCAATTAAGACTAAGCAATCAGCCGAGAATTTCTAGGAAGATATGACAGCATAACGCACCAATTTCTTCGCATCAAGTCTGGAATTCCTTTAAGCAAACCAGCTTCATCCCCCGTTGGTTCTTCGGTACTCAAAAAGATGCATAATTTCAACAACATAAAAGTAATGAAACTCTATCATGCTAAATCTCAGTAACTTAAAAGTTTATTCACACCAATATTATTACCTGGTAACGGCACCGTGGTACTGACACTCTTGTATTTATTGTATCAAGTAATGATGAATGCTGGGAATTTTCTTATTATCTTCTATTTTTGCTATTAAAAAATGATTGTTTGATAAAGAGTTTGTTACAGCTTACGTCCTTTTTCATCAAAGATAGAAACATTCAAGAAATGTGGATTGATTGCACAATTGAATATGCTATATTTTTCACTATGCACAATGTAGTGGTACTGGGACGGACACATGATGTAGCCGCCCATGAGCAAAGTTTGTTTATTTATAAAAGAATTCCACCACACAGTATATCAAATAATTTAGCCAAATAAGGTCATTGCTAGAACTTTCACAAGGAACATTTTTTAGCTTATTCCTTCTCCTTCCTTAATACTACTCTATGAAAAAGAAAACCACACTCCATTAACCAATTGTATATAGCATGTAACAATACAAACTTCTACCACCGCAAAAAACCGCAAATTCAAAACAAATTCACATATACCTTTTAGTTGTAAACTAACTAATCCTAACTGCTAAACAGCGGCGGGGTATTGAATTTGTTCTAACTCGTATTGTCCTTCGCGGGGGCACATCACGATCTCGAGTCGAAGTCCCCCTCGAAGTGCATTGCGAATCATGAACGGCCGTCCAAGTCTCTCCACAAGCATAGCAAAATTGGAAAGTGCACCTAATTACATTCCCAACTCAAAAAATACGTCAATAAGCAAAAATTTTAAATTACTAGTTCACAATTGAATTAGGAACCACACAATGACACAATTGAACTATGTTTTACTACTCCTTTGTTCCAAAATTATTTTTCAGGAAACAGACAATATTTTGGAACGGAGGAAGTATAAAAAACAATATACCTACAAGTCATATGAGGACATCCACCCTCCCTCTCCACATAATATTGGCAATTAGGGCATCTCTTCCATTTTTTATCATCGGGGAGCTTCTTCACAAGTCCATCTTCCTTGGACTCCTCACAATCAATTGAAGGGTGCCACGGAGCAGAACACCGCGCGCAGAATAGCCTATGGCATGAAGGACACTCGGGTTCTCGAATCACTTCATTCGTATCCCTCAACAACATCGCTGAGCAATCCTTAAAAGGGCAATAATATGTCTCCGATGCTGGAATTGATGACTCGCACAGCAGTTTATCCCACTTCTCTAACACAATCTCCGGCACGATCGAGTTACAAGTACCAAACTCGATAACAGCTTCGCAATTCACCGACGGGCACACAATAGTGTGTTTATTGTCTTGGAGTTTCGCTTCAACGTGTTTACCGATGCAATAGTTACAGAAAACATGACCGCAACTATCGATCTTAAAAATTTGGTCATCTGTTTTGAAGTCCAAACAAATATCGCAATGAATCTTGTCGTCGTCCACCCTTGGTTTCTTCTTGCGTTCTCCATCGAGCCCTAATTCTTCTTTGCCATTGGACACCGTCCCTTCCTGCCCAGGGCTTTTCACCAATTTGCGGCTACTGCGGCTGCTGTTAGTTCGCTGTCTTGTGATCCTCGAAGAAGATGAAGAAGTAGATCTTCTTGGTTTCTTTTCCTTGCGTTCTCCATCAATCTTTTCTTCTTCTTTGCCATCGGACGCCGCCACCGCTTCCTGTGCAGGCCTTTTCACCGAATTGCGGCGGCGAGGTTTGCTTTCCTGGCTGCTTTTGGCTCTTACCATGATCAATTGGGAAGAGAGGCGGGGGATCTAAACGTGAGAGTACTCAACTTTGCGGCGGAAACCTAATTCAGCTTAACCAAAGATAACTACCGCTGCGCCCGCGATTTTCTCTTGTCTCAGTAAGTATAAAAGTTATTCTAAAATTAATTACTTTTTGTTTTATTCTAATAAAACATGTACACAAATTTAATGAAGAGAACTCTACTCTTTATAAGAATCTTTTAAAATCCTTTAATTTATGCTCAATGATATCACAAACACAAATAATCAGTCAAAAGTAAATAACTAATCAGTATGTCAATTGGTTCGCTGGTTCACTGAAAAATCTAACATCGTCATTCAATTCCACGCATCATATTCTTCCAAATTTAAGTTAAAAATTTCCAAAGCCAGCAAGAAAATTTTAAAATGGAATCTATACCCTGCCAAGAGCAATCAACCGTGTCGTGTCGTGTCATGTCGTGTTACCTGGACTCTTCAATTTGGGGAGAATACCCGTGTCGTGTCGTGTCGACACTGGTATAGGTATGAGTGTCGAATATGGCATTTTAACCTAAAATGTCTAAGATTTCTAAAATATTAATAAGTCGGACACTTAGATGCCCACACCTGATACAACACCCGTATCCGAGTCCAGGTAACATAGATGCTGACAACTATATATGTCTACCGGGAGGTGACGGAAGATGAGAAAGAGAGAAAATTAAAAGGCTGGCGATAGATCTGGAAGGGGAAGATAAGGGTTTGACTTCCAAAAAGGATAAATTTAGAAAACAAGAAAAATTTTGCAGTGAATGTTAAAAGTAGTTGTGGCAGAACCACCGGCCTTTTAAGAAAATGTGATAATACATAAAAATAGATAGAACTTTAGAAAATCTTGTTTACCTTCTCAAATAATTGTAACCAATCTCTTCTCTAACTTTTTTTGTAGAACTTTATTTATAACTATGGTAGTTCCTGGTGGAACTAATAACTAGATGCTTGCCCCGGGCGAATGCCCGGGCTGCCCTCCTGTGTTATTTGTCACTTAAATAAAAAATAAAATAAATTGTCCGGAAAAGAATAATACCATTTACTATAATATATATAATAATAATAACATAAAACCAAAACATCTTTTAAAAAAAATACATAAAACCAAAAAAATGGGACATATTTTTTTAACATATTTATATGAAGTAAGGAAACAACAATATAAATTTCAAAAATTGATTCAAACCGAATAAAGCCCGTCATTGAGAGAGATGGAGAAAAACTATCGTTAATATTTTTACTACTTTCAGAATGCCTCTGTCAGGTTTTAATTGTCGTTTGAGGGTGAAGAGGTTAATGAAGTATGAAAGATATGAAAAAAAAAGAAAAAAGGATATAAGCTAAAGTCAGCTATCTTCAAGGTATTGTTTATGTTTTCACATATTCCAGTTCCAAGTTTCTGTTAAAAAAGTGGAGTAAATTTAACTCTTGATAGAGTATAAACTCACATTCTTATTCCCAAAAAAAGAAGAAGAAAATAAAATTTCATAGTCATTATACTGTTATTTAATTAAGATAAACCAATTTCCAATACATCTGTCCTCAGCTTGAGTAAGAAAACAAATAAACTTCTGAAAACATTATTGAATTATTTTTTATCTTATATCTCAACTATTCTAGAACTAAACTACTTTTTTACACAGGCTCTTTTTCCGTATCTGTGCTTTGGGAAGTAGCTAAGTGCACATGCATGTAGAGCTTGAAACCAGCATCAAACAACTTTAAGTCCTTTCTTTGTACTTCTTCTGTCCCACTAAACAATCAACACTTTAATTAAATTACAAATTGTAAACATCAATATGAAGACACTGGAGAGTTCATCCTCTAAAGAAATATAAACCGGAGGATTCACTGTCATAATAATAATTCAGAAGGTAAGCAAATAGCAGACCTTCAATGCAAAAAAGCAAACCAAATTAATAACGTAACTTTAAGGAAATGATGTCAGAAACCAAAGTACAGGAACTGAAATACTACACATAAATCTTATGAAAAACCATCTCAAGAAAAAGATTCAACAAACTTGTAATAGAAGTACCATAAATGAACAACTACCCCAAGTTAAGTGGAACATTGAAAAACCCGAAAACTCTCTCTAAAGAAAAGACAAAAAAAATTTGAGGATTAGACTGTAACCTTCAGGTTCTGAAAATGCTTTCTTAACATACTTTCCACGTAGAATACTCATTTAAATCCTAATAATTGTAAAGAACGATACCAAAATAGCGAACATTCTAAAAATTCTGCAAAATTAGTGGATACAATTAAAAACGATACCGCCAATTCACTCAGATTAAAAATCTCTAGCACAAGCCGCCCCTCTCTCCCTCTCCAACCCTAAAACCCTAAAACAAAAAAAAAAAACCTCCATCTTTTCCCCCATCTTTCCATCATGGAAGGATGGAGGAGATAATTCTGTCCCGATCCTTATACTTTTTAGTATTGTTTAATTTATTTTCAATAAGTGAGATTATAATCTCCTCTACTTGCTAGGTATGGCGGCGACTTTTTTTATGGATGTTCGCTAGTATGGCGGCGACTTCCCTGGTGATATTCGTTGGTATGGCGACATTTTTGTCGGTGATATTTGCAGGTACGACGGCGGGTTCGTTGGAGTTCGCTCGTATGGCTTTAAAAGATTCAGTCATCATAGATTTAGTTGTTAGATCTATGATTTGGGAGTTTCAACTGATTTTTAGTGTTGTATCTTTGTTTCGGCACGTGATACAACAACTGCTTGATAGGGTAGATTTATGTAGGTTTATCTATATGAAACACAACAAAGGCACTATGATTATGCCCAATTGTGAGTTGTGTTTTTATGGCTGTATCTTTTCTTATCAATCGCTGCTGGACGGTTTCTAGTAAATTAATAAATTTTATTTCTCAAAAAAAAAATCTCTAGCACAAAACAATACAACATTAAGCCATTAGAAGTAAGAATGCATGTTTGACCGTGGCCCTTTAAACACAATGTGATCATTTAGGATCCTCCTACTACGAGCTTCGAAACAAAGTTGGAGAATCTATCGATGAACTTGACAAATTAAATAACCAACCAAAATTCAAACAGAATCAAACATTACGAAGAGAGAATTTGACAAAAACCTTGAACACCGAAAAGATATAGATTTTTATTTCTCAAATAAAAATCCTTTATCTACAAGCGCCACAAAATAGTTACATTAAAAAGCCTATCAATGTTATTTCATCTCTCTAAGTTTCAACTTTTTACACACCATAACAGAAAATCAAAATCAAACTCTTAATTTAATAGTGTAAAACAATACAGCAATATGCAATCTGTAGCTAAACATATGATCTCCGATTAAAAATCGATTATAATTTTACGGCAAAACTTACAACTCAATGAAACAAAGGGAGTCTTTCTTTTCACTAGTTGCAATTCCAATTGCCTCAGTTAGCTCCTCTTTAGTGCATACCTACAAAAAAACATGTGCACACTTGTATGTCAGAATCAAATTCATAGAACAATTGTTGGTGAACTTAAATCTTAGTTTTGATAAATCTGTATATATTATAATGCGCCAAGAGACCTATTCAATAGTTGTAACTTAAGTAACATACATCCCCAGTTGTTGATCACATTATAAGGGCCATCATGGATTTTAACCTCTATGGTGTATCCTTCACTGTTGATCAGGAATGCAATGCTCTTTAGATTGTTCCTAATCACTATCGTCACATCTTTAGCAGACACCTGCAAAGCTGCAAACATATTTAATAAATTGTGTACTTCCCATGCAAATCTTAAAGTCAATGTTTACTAGAATGAGATGTATGTTCTAAAATATGTCACCTAAAAGCCACCATCACCAATGCAAGCAATAGTGTGTTTTTCAGGTGCCGACTGAGCATAGCCTAATGTGGCACCAACTGACCATCCAATCGACCAATATTTCATTTGGAATTCATAATACCAACCGTTGTACTCCAATCTTTACAGATTAATAGAAAGGGAAACAAAACACACAAAAAAAATGTTGTAGGAAGCTATTTAGTAGAAGATGTTAACTTGGATGATTTTATTTTGGTTAATGTTCATCCGAATTGTATTATGGTTGGTATTGTAAGTTTAGAGTGGTTTAATGGAATGATTATACTTTTTGTATCAAATTTTAGTAGTGATTTGTGTGATTTCAAAAATCAGGAATTCTTCAACACTAGTTCTGTGGGTACTCTATTCCAGAAATTAGCCACAACATGTTCCGTGGCTAATCTGTTTACTATCATCGCAAATTACCCACAAATATTGTCGTGGCTAATATGTTTTCGTATAAATTTTCCACGGATAAGCTATGGTCAAATTTTATTAGATTTCATTGGTAATTTTTTTTACCATTACATTTTTCCACGGCGTAGTCATGGCTAAGAAGTTAGCTTTTAACTGCAGTAATTTAGCATAATAACCACAGATTTAGACACGACCTTAACCTATAGATTTTAGCCACGGAATTTGTTAGCACTTAAATAGCTACGGATTTAACATCGACATTTCGTGGATAACTTATACTTTTGACATATTCCATAGATAAAATTATCTATGGAAGTAGTGATTAATTTATCAATAGACTGTTGACTTCTGTGGCTAACAATTTACCTACAAGAGAAATAACCTCGTTCCCCAAGTCGTGGCTAAAACTGTGGATAAACCGGTTATCCACGGACTCCAAGGCAAATTTAACCACGATTCTGGCCGTGTGTAATCATCTATTTTTTTTGTAGTAATAGACTATAGGTTTGTTTGAATTTTGAATTAGACATTAATTAGTATTTATCCTTTACACTTATGTTTGAATGATAAAATTGTTCCCCCGATTAAGATAAATTCAAAACAAAAAAAGGGAACAATCAATCAATATTACTGACTGCTCATTTAATATTGATTTTATTGACGGAATATGTTGCAAAACTCAGCAGTAAACTATTGGGATATAATCCCTTGATCACTGGAGAAATATTCCATGAATAATTCTCCATACGGATCAAATTAATCAATACTAATTATATCCTATTCTTATTTCCTATTTACCCGTTCATTAATTTAAACTTATAGGTGTGAAAAAATTTACTTTCATTAATTCTCAAGGACTTGCAGTGTGAATACATAAATATTTTTTTTTGATAATTTTTATAAAAATGGCACATAAGATTTTATCGCATGTAACACTCCTAGAAATCCTTTTTTATTTATGTCTCGTTTCTCTCTTAGTATAACTAGTGATGTCTGGTCGCGCAATGCGCGACTCTGGCCCAGTCTATCTGTAAATCTTAGAAATGTTTATATTTTCAAAAAAATAAAATTTTGTATTTGGAGCGATATATTTTAGAAATGTTTGAAGGATTTAGAAATGTTTTATAAGTGTGATCATAGAAATAATTGTATTTCACAAAAAAAAAAAAGAAATTTTGCCATGTAAGTTATAGAAATATTTTATAAGTGTTACTTATTAAATATAAATAGCCTTAATCAAATATATGTATTGAAGTAAATGTTAGATAAAATATAAAAGCATCCTAATAAATTTAAATATTAGTAAGATGATTTATTGATGTTCGGTCGTGCCAAATCAATACTTAATTTTGGAGATTTTTAATAGCTTTGTAATAAGCTTCATCCGCAGGGTATACGCTTAAAACAAAATTGACACTTTGTAACAAAAACCTAATTGATCAATTTAACTTAAAAAACCACTCTAAATGAATGAAACATAAAGAAAAAAAATTTTAAAAAAAAAAACGTGTCACGTAAAGTGCAAAGGGAGATTTAGTAATTTAGTTATGGTTTAGACAAAAGGGCAATTTAGTAGTTTCTATATGCCACGTGGCAATCATATGAGGTGTTTGAAAGGGAAGTTTTTGTTTCTAATATAGTAGGATATATATATATATATATATATATATATATCCAAAGTACTTAATTAAAGCAGCAAACAAAAAGGACACGTGTTAGCTTCACAATCAAAATTTTCCCGCCAAAAGACTTTTTTAGTACAAAATAAAAACTGACACATGGCACTCTAGAATTTCAGGAAAAAAAATGCCTTAAAAAAGGAAAGAAATCAATATTAGAGTAAAAAAGAGTAGAAATCTATCCATTATCCATAACTAATTTATTTATCCATAACATTCGGGAATACTCTCCAATTTGAACTCCACTTTCGCACAAATATTACTGATTTTCACGCTTCAAATCCCACATATCCCTCAACTTAGTTAATGCAAAATCCCTACTCTGATCAACCAGGATCACACTTCGATTTAAAAAATAAAAAATAAGTTCCAAATGAAGTTTAAATTCTCCCCTTCTCAGCCACAATTCCGTAAATGAGCAATCATATTGTATATTTTTCTTGGAAGAATTTATTTCTTCTTTTATGATCTAAACTTCATCCATAACCGCTCTGATCGCGACATGCCGAAACTCGAGTTTTCTTTGATTCTGCTTCTATTTCAACAATACTGATGTTAAAATCCTCCTCATCCCACACAAATCCATCAGAATCTATTCTCAAATCCGACCAGGAGCTTTCGTCGAATCTCTTCTGTGTTGTCCCAGCCGACCGAATTTCCTCCAGATCCGTTATGGTCTTCTTCGGCTCCCATCAATTTTTAGATCCGATGTGGTTGGCTACCCCCGCGTCCGCTACAATGCAAGAATACATCTTCGAGAAAGGATCATAGTAATAATTATTTTTCTATAAGCAATTCTCTTTATTAATCAGTTATAGATTACAGTCTCCGGTCTCAAGAGTATCATATTTTGTTTAAAAAATAAATGTTGGTTGTTCAACTTAATTTGATAAACTCTGGAAGTAATCTTTAAAAAAGTTATAGATGTGATTATGAATCTTCTATTAGGTGATCCACTACTTTAAAAACAAAGGATATTGTTTTTGTTCTTCATTCTACTCTGTAAAGCAATTGAATACATATTTAATTTTGGCTTTACCTATGATTTAATTTATTTTTTTTTGTTGAGTAGGAGATGAAAAGTTATAAAGATGCGTTTAATCAGTTCGACGCAGACAAATATGGTTACGTTTCCATAGAAATAGTGGAGCCGTTGGTACATCACGACCAGATGTTTGAGAAAGAGACGAATTATGGTTCTTTGGTATTTATTGATTTTTTATTTCTTTTTTACTTTCAAGTATTGGTGTTTGAATTTTCTTTGTTGTTACTGATATTGTGAGTGTAGAAGTCTATGGTTATGTTCGTTATTGGGTTGTCATAATTCAAAAGATGTCATATGTTTACTTTTGATTTTTGTTTGACAAAAAACTTGAGGTTTGCATGAAATGTGTTGTGTTTTGTGTGTTATTTATTTGTTACTTTAAGTTAAGTTTCTGGGCAATCCCTCCGAGTTTTGTAGAGAATGGTAGCTCAACTTTGATTCCTGAAAATATAAAATTTTAAAAGCTTGCTATTTGCTTTATTTGCCACTGATTTTATGTACACAATTGGTTTTTGTTTCCGAGAAGCTATAGGTCATTTTAATTTTTGTTCCCATATTCCCTCTTTTATAAAAATTCAATTGATGTGGGAAACTCTGAATTCTCCCATGCATAAAGCTGCCCCCAGAAGCCAATAGCAAAGAGAAAATGTTACTGTGCTATCAAATGCAACCCTATTGTCTATTAAAGATCAATTGGACACCCGTAACATAAGCAGATCTTTTTATTCTACGTAAATGATTTTAGCATGTAAGGCTCTCATATCATGCTGCTGTTTTTGTTATTAGAATATAGAATAATATAAGCATTATGATGCTTAATTCGCCCACAATATAACTGTATTTTCTTAATTTAATTTTTTATCTTTCTCTCAGAAGTTGTTGAAAAGATATTTCTTGATGGTCAAGTGCACAAGCTTGGTGGTAACCAAGTGAGTTCTTTAATATTTTTATTTAGAAGTTTCATTCTTCCTATATAATTCAGATAGAAGACTAAGCTTGAGCACTTGCACATGTTGCATATTTGAAATTTTTGGATAATCATTTGTTGGTTTTACTTCTCTTGGTTGTTTTTGCATTGGTCTGTGTATCAAAGTTAAAGCTACAATAGTTTAGTGGTGTCAGTCAGGGACAATATTGGGTTTGTGGATTTCTTTTAGTTCTTGACAAAGTGTATAATTGAAAAAATAACGAATAAGCGAACAAGAAAAAGGTTAGATTTTGATTAGAAATGGCTTACTGCCCTTTGATTCTTTTAAGTTGTTGTATTTAAGGCATTTCTATTCGAATTCCGTTTGATTAGAATGAATTTTGTTTGATTAAAAATGGCTTAGAGCCACTTGGTTCTGTTCAGGCGTGCTAGCCTGTGTAACTTTATGCCAAGTGTTTGAATAAATGCATCAGTGGGCCTTAGTTCTGTAAGTCTTCTTTTGTCCACTTTTTGTTCAATTTCTTTCTCTTCCTTACAAATAAATTCGCATTTCATTTGATAGTTTTATAATTCAATTATCTTTGTGTGTTTTTATTGTCAGTATTCGTAGTTCGAAAAGGAATTGTAATTGTTTATTTTGGGGTCAGATTAGTTTGATGTATAGATGTCATTGTGTTGTATGTCATTCAAGGAATTGATTTTCACGTTGGATATTTGTATTTCGATTCTATCTCTATTTTTTTTTTTCCCTTTTTCATTGAAGCAAGGACTTATTTTTGAACTTCTACCTATACAATTATAAGCTTGATGATTCATTTGACTATTTGATTAAGTGGCTGATCCAAATATTTGGAGAAATGTATTGCTTGGTTATCGTTTGTTTTGCCGCAAAACAAATGCAGGAGAATATCTATTTGAATCCAACAAAATGCAGGCGCCCTATAACCTGTATCCCCCTGGCTTGAATGGTATAAAAAAAGGGACGGAACCCGATTTGTAAATATGAATAGATCTTTTATGAAGTGATCAAATTTTATATATTATAAGATGATATCTTTCACTTTTGTTGTAATTTTATTTTTACCCCACCTATAATTATAACTTAACCCTTTATACTTACATAAAAGTATAAATGTACTTATTTTATAAAAATAAATGTTAAGGGTTAGACCGGGCACCCGCCCGGGCCAAGCATCTAGTATATTATAAATAGATACTATAGATAAATTAGGATCGCTCAACAATGAAAATTCTAGGATTTATGCACGAATAACCCAGCCAAAATTAACAGCATTTCATTTACTTATACAGATAAGTCATTTCAATTTACAACATTTCTTGGAGATTTGCCCTTGGCATCGAAGAAATCTTATATTGCACAACTCAATCATCTTTGCGAGCACACCCAAAAAAAATTTGTTAGTAAGATTTTAAGCCCATCATTTTCTCCATAATCACAACCTTTCAACCTTCAGAGTTGTTCCTTCTCTTATATTTTTTTGTTTTTTTTTTTTTTGGGCTAGATTCAATTTGATACACCATTAGGAGCAGCAGCTAATCTAGCTCTCAAATCTTTCCTCAGTATTTTGCCCGATGGTGACTTGGGGATGGCATCGACAAAGAACACACGGTTTACTCTCTTGTAAAAAATCACCTGCTCCAAAGTAATACACAAAAATTGATTAATTAAGATCAGCTTTATACACACACACACACACACACACACACAAAAAGCTATTATATAGCTGAAGTTATTATATAACCTACTAATGATCAATTACCTGTTTTGAGACAAATTGCTTGATTTCATCCTCAGTAATATCGGAGCCATTTGACTTAACAACAAATGCCACTGGAACTTCACCAGCTGCCTCATCTTTCATTCTGAAATTAAGAAAATGAACATGTGTATTACAATCTCATTCGATTTTAATAAGTAACGGTTTCAATCATTTGTATCACTCTGAGTTTTGATAAATCGGAAGTTTCACAAATACTTACGGGACAACGGCGGCATCGGAGATGTTGGGATGGTTGATCAGCAAGGCTTCAATTTCAGCCGGAGCCACTTGGAACCCTTTGTATTTGATGATCTCCTTGAGGCGATCAACAATGAAAAGTTCGTCATCATCATCAATGTACCCAATGTCACCTGTGTGTAGCCATCCTTCTTTGTCTATGGTTCTCTCTGTGGCTTCAGGGTCATTAAGATACCCTGAATAAAATTGATTGAATGAATGAGTGAATGAGCAAATTGATCAAATAACAAAACAAAATCTTCTTAAACATTTACCACTCCAAACGCTTTTTCACCCTTTTTTTTTTGTGGGGGAAAGAAAAAAGGAAAAGTACAAATTGCACAGAGCTGTTTGTGGCATGTAATTCATTAATTGCCTTTGTTTTTCTTCAGTTTCTAGTCAATTCATTCTGCTTACTTGCCTTTCTCTACTAGTGGACTTTAGAAGATTGCAAGGGACTATTCAACATTGCTATCATTTATTGAGCATCTAAAGGTACAGAAACATTATCGTGAAAAACAAACAAGGAAATTAATGGCCTTTGTTTCAAACCAAATAATCGTCTCAATTGGATTTCCAATTTAGAGGAAAGAAATTATTTTTATCTGTGGCTGTGCTTAATTTCAATCTATTGAGGCCCCTTTTTGTAGGGTAGGAGTGTAGGACAACAATTTTCAAGTAAATTCTGTTCCATCCCTCAATGATCTTCACTAATGTTTCCAAAAATAACAAGATGGAGATCTAATACAACGTTCACATTGATCATTAACATAGAAGAAAAAAAAAAGTCGGGGATATCGTACTGTTATAATTCAACAAACGAGAGTAGGGTAGAAAGCGGAAATTACCTTTCATGATTTGGTCGCCTCTAATGCAAATTTCACCGGGTTTGTTACGGGGCAAAGAGGAACCAGTTTCCGGGTCAACAATCTTCATCTCAGCATTTCTAACGACTGAACCACATCCACCTGATTTAATCTCAAAGGGTTCTTTAGCAAAGGCAGAGCACATTGCCAGCACAGGCCCAGCCTCTGTCATACCATAACCCTGCATTCACATGATCAATTTCTGAGCCGTTCCAGTCTCTATTCCTTTGATTATGACAATTATCTACTTTCCACTGAATGCCAACTTGACTAGTTATTATGCCTTAAATGAGCTAGTACCAATGCCAGACAAACTGCGAGAGATTTAATTAAGGGACTAATCAAACTTCATAACTTAATTATGGTGTAACCTCTTCCTCCCAAAATAAAGGTTACATTACAGTATTTTAGTTGAAATGTTTAAGTATCAAAATCAAAATTCTCTATATAAAACAAAGTAAGTAAATTAAGAGGAAATCAACACAATATTTACTAATGCACAAAGACCATTTACAACATTTCATTATATTGTTCTTTCATAAAGATAACATTAGTGACTAAAGTCGCCTCATCAGAATAATTCATGGTTTCAATTATTATTCTATTATTACTAACAAAAAGTCACAAGTCCATGGGTAAATTTCAATCACCACCGAGTGCTTAGTTAATGGATTCTTATCTTCTTGATATCTCTAAATGTCAGCTGTAAAATATTCAGACATTGGCATCGAATATAAGGAATCGTTTTGGCGCAGAATTTAATGTTTACATCCGAGGATGACTGGTATGATTTATACAATTCCAGCCTCCATTTGTTTTTATTCTCTTGGAAGTATATAACTTTGACCCGTCACTCCTAGATGTTACTACTCCATCCCTCACGCTATAATTTTTCAGTACGGAAATATATAGACTATGCTCGATCAAGAATGCATTTTTATACCAAATTTATTTTCCGAAAAAAAGAAACAAAAAATTTAGAAGGGAATGACTAATCTAGACCTATTATTAATTTGTTCAAATAAGCGTCTAAAACTGTAACATCACGGTTCACATTCGTATGAAAATAAGTAATTGTGTTAACCAAAAGTAATAATAATAGTAATTATAACCGTTTAATGATTGAAATATGAGTAATCAAAACCCACTTTAACTTTTGTACCCAAAAAAAAAATCCACTTTATTTTATTTTTTTCTTTTTATCATAAGAAAGGTGAAACGTGATAATATGATAAAGACTTCTTAGCTTAAACTATACTAAAAATAAAATTCTCACATTTAAGTTAGGAAAAAAGCGCTACCAACCCCCAACTTCGTGGCTTCCTAAGGCCCACGCCTGCCTAAATTTACACCAAACAACAATAAAACTTTAAATACTATTCCACGCAAACATTAGTCTTTACGGAAAAGAAAAAAAATTGATTGAAAATTGTGACGAAAATTCAAGATTTTGCTTTCGGAAAAATTAATGCTGTCGTTTGTTTGTTTGTTTACCTGGCCAAGTTTAGCGTTAGGAAATTTGGACCGAACAGCATCTTCAAGCTCCTTTCCAAGTGGCGCAGCTCCGGACATGACGGTCTTCATGGAAGTCAAATCATAGTTATCCACGACCGGACTTTTGGCTATGGCCAAAACAATCGGCGGCACAAACGCTCCGACCGTCACCTTGTACTTCTGAATCAACTCCAAGAACTGCACGATCTCGAACTTCTGCATCATCAGAAGCGTCGTCCCGGCTCTCAACCCACAAAGCAGGATCGAATTCAGGGAGTAAATGTGAAACAGGGGAAGAACACAAATCATCACTTGTTCGTGAATGTAAAAATTGGGATTTTCCCCATCCACTTGTTGTGCCACGCTGGTGACCAATCCTTTGTGTGTTAACATCACTCCCTTTGGGAACCCGGTTGTCCCGGAGGAGTACGGCAGCGCCACCACGTCGTCCGGGCTGATTTCGACTTCCGGCAACTCGTTCTCGTCGGCGGAAGTTAATTCAGAGAAGTGTAAACACCCTTCCGGCGCCGTATCGATACAGATGATCTTAATCCCGTTTTCGATTGCGAAATCCCTGATTTTATCCACGTAGGCGAATTGGGTCACGATGATTTTGGCGTTGGAAGCCTTGGCTTGCTTGATAACCTCGGCGGAAGTGAAGAACGGGTTGGCCATGGTGGAAATGGAGCCCCGGAATGATGCGCCCATGAAGGCGAAGACGAATTCAGGGGAATTTGGGAGGAGGATCATGATCACGTCTCCTTTCTGAATCCCGAGCTTGTTGAGCCCGGAAGCCACTTTACGGGAAATGAGCTCAACTTCGGCGAAACTGTATACTTGATTGGTGGCGCCATTGATCAAACAGGGGCGTGAGCTGAATTTGGAAAGGTTTTCGAAGCAGTAAGTATGAAGGGGGAGATGTTTTGGGATGTAAATGTCTGGGAGCCTTGATCTGTAAATGAACTCTGTTTCTTCTTTAGCTTTCACGGCCATTGTTTGTTTGCTTGATGACTGACTAATTTGGAAAAGAAATGCAAAGAAAGCTTTAGAAATGGATTAATGGTGCCGCTCGTGTTGGTGTGGGAAAATGGTGGCACAATTTCATGAGTGTGTGTTAATTGCGCCTAATTTGTGGATTGGGTGATGACACACTATTTGTAGTTGAAGGTAGGAATGTGATGTTAAAGGGGGTTGGTGAGGAGGAGTTGTTTGGGGTTATGGGGTTGTTTGAAGGCTAAATTTGTAAAAGAATGTTTTCATCTTTTATGTAAATCATACTATATCTGTCAACAAAATTGTCCACATTAAATTTTGATATTAATATTTTTTTAAAATACAAATGTAACAAATTAATGTGGATCTTTTTCTTAAAACAGATGGAGTACAATATCTGAGAATCTAATCGTCCCACAAGATAAATTACTTTTAAATAACTATTAGTCATCTTAATAAAAATGAACTATAACAGCAAAATATAATCATTAGAATTAAATCACTTGATTAATTATTCATCTTGGAATGATTTGTGATTGACTATTGTTTATTAATGTTTTATTTGCGTGGGTAGAGATCGGACAAGGTGGAAGAAGGAGAGGGTTTGGTAAGAAAATGAGGGATATGGGAGTTGGGGGAATTTGAGAGGGGGAGGAAGAGGAGGGTAGGTTTGGTCATTGGTAGTGGTAGACATCATAAGTTGACCAAGTTGCAACTGAGACTCACTACGTTGGCTTTCACCTACCACAATTTTGCCTTTTTGGCTAATTTGCTTTGGTGGGATGGGGTTGGTGGCGGTGGTAGCGTCTTGGCCGCCGGCAAGCCAACGTTCAATTGCTTGGACCCACGGCCCTTGTCTTGGCTTTTTGAGTATCTCACATAGTGCTTTTGTTAAATGTTTTTTTCTTTTGTGCTTTTGTTAAATGTATATTACTCTTAAGAGGGATTCACAATCTTTAACTGGGAAGTGCATTTTGTTCACACTTTCTATCGATTCGTTATTTAAAGAAATCTTATATGTTAAAAAGGGTTTTTATATTTGGATTGTTTGTAGCATGTGTTTTAATTTATTTATTTTTATTGAGAATGTAAAAAGTGTATTAGAAATGTAAAAAATTATATTGTAATGGAATATTTATTAATTAAAAATTAAGAAAAACCATCCAAACAGAGGATCCATTGATTTCCGAAAAGAAAATAAATTTACTAGTAATAAGTAATAAGCATGATAAAACTTAATCAAGACTTTAAAGAATGAGGATTAAAGTTATAACAACTCTTTTAGACTTCTACTCCATTAAGCTAAAACAACTTTTTTAGACTTTTACTTCATTCCATTGCATTTGGCCCTCACAAACAATTGATTGCAACGTTGTCAATTCTCAATTACAGTATCAAATTTGCTCATGAAAACAGTAACTTATAATACACTTGTAGCTTTTCTAAATGTTACGGAACTTGAAATGAATGGAACTAAGTTCAAGAAGTATTTTAACAAAGTTGTATAAATTACAATATGGAGATTTCTTGGTATGGCAGCTTAAATGTTTGGGGAAAATGTCAACTTAAATAAAACACTTATTACATACTGTATTTTTTTATTGGCACATGATTGTATTGTTTCTTATAATCCAACGTTTTTCATTTGGAACCAAGCTCCTTTGACCGAATTCGGCTGAAATTTACCCAGTCCTAAATATCGATAACGCCATAGAACAAATTAGATTTATTCCCCTCTTCATGGTATCTAATTTATTAATAATTGGGTCAATTTAAACTAAGCTAAGATGCATCACATGATCTAATCTTACATTCGCTGTCCTTCCTTTTATGTATCTATACAAGTATTTCCTTCTTCCTTCATATAAAAAATGCCAACGATTTGATAAGTAATATGTTTAAGATTAGAATTTGGTACGTAACTAACTGACAATGAAGCATTCAACTGAATAAATATATTTGTATATGTTGCATTATAGTGAATAGAAAAGTTTCGAATTGAATTATGTATATGGGATAGTGGTTATAATTTAGTGAATGTATTCTTTTTCTTTCAATCGTTGCTGGACGATTCTAATAAAGTTAATACAAAGTCTTGTTTCAAAAAAAAAAATTCAAAAATAGGTTTTTGTTTGGAGTAATTACATCAAAATTCACAAAAATTATACAGTTTTATAATCCCTTCCTAGTGCAGTAAGGAAATCATAGGTTGTGTATGGATTGAGATTTCTTGAAACACTCTTTGGTTATGACTTCTATTGGCATGGTTTAAATAATTGACATACATAAATAAAATGATAAATACACCATACAGGTGTTATTATAAAGGATCCAATCCGGCTCTACTTTACACAACATTAACAAAACTACTCTCTTCATTCTTTCTGTTTTAAGTTTTGTCTAAGGGAAAAAAAAAAAAGGAAAAAAAGAAGAGGATATTCCTAAACAAATATCATTTTCGGTTATCAATACATTTTTTGACAAAAGTTTCTACAAGTTACCCCTAAAAGTGAATAGTAGGATTAGTAATATTTGTCAGTTTTAATGAAGTAGGTTGAGAATAATCATTTCTAAGTCATGATTAAGTGCTCCTTAAATCGTGTAAATTTTGTGAATGAATAGAATGAGTACCATATTTCATTATCAAAAGATTCAAGCAGCCTAGCATAATTGTCGTTAAACATCATAAATCGTAATTTGTGATTACCAGGAAAAAAAAAACATCATAATTTGTCGTTAACCCAAACTTGTAAAAGTCAAGAATTAGGATCTTTTCACTAATTTCAAACATAGAGAAATGCTTTAATTTATTATGGAACTTAATCAAATTGTACAATATACAAAATAAAAACAGAAGGATTCATACAAGGGAAATTGATTATTGATGATGGGGAAAACATAATAAATTGAGTGTTAGTCACAAATCATGATTATAAGAGAACCAATTAATTGGCTCAATATCTTTTGCTGCTCCAGTTGGGACATTTTCCATGACTTTTTCTTGGCCCTTTGGGTAAAAGATGCCAGTTCGATCATCAGGTACCCACCAACTGCCCTCTTGATAATTTGCCGGAAAGCCACACCGGCTGTTCTTCACCTCTTCCCCGTTCAATTTCGCAGTGTCCGTTATCATGTCCGGCGAACCGCTCTTTCTGTGGAAGGCTTTCCTCAGCATTGGCCTGCAAATTGGTTAATGTAACTATGTAAGTACTAAGTACAGTGTTGAGTGGATTTTTTTAGGTAGACTAATATTACAAACTACTCTTTCGATCTCAAAATTATTATTCAATTTAGATTTTTATTTCTAGTTCAATTTACTAAAAATAAAAATTATCGACAATAATTTTGAGATTAAAAAAAAAACAATTTTCTTCTAATCTTTGTGTGCCATGCGAAAAAAAGATTTCTGTGTCAATGTAATAACAGGCAGAAAAGGATGCAATTTCGCTAAATAAGAATCAAAGACTTAATAACATAAAAATGAATCCAAAACGTATTAAATTTGGTTTGTTTTTTCCCTCCTAATTCTTTATGTATGATGTGTAGCCTCAACTAATTAATTAAGTAGCTATGTTTTTATATAGTCCATGAAACTAAAGTCGCAATTGGGATATTGTAATATGGTAATTTGTTGATCAAGACTGCATTTTTATATTCGCCCAACTACAGAGGATAGTGGTCAATTCTGGATTTCGTTAAAATGATAATAATAATAATCAAAAGAAAAGAACTAATTTGTTCAATCATTTTAATTAATTCAATTACCACAACAATCAGTGTTGAAGTACCACGTCAAATGTTGTTCCCATGGTCATACATCTTTCGCAAGTGCATTTTTTGCTAGATGCTATGTTCTTTTGTTGTTTTAGCATAAATTGTTCCTAAATGTCTCCATTATTATTCATATAAATCCATGGTAATGAAACAAAAACCCATACGTGTTGCTTCTAGGACAAAAATTCAATGACACTTTCAAAGAAAAATTAGTTTAACGCAATCCTATGTTGTTTAGCCATAAAGTTTAAGGATAACTAAGATCCCGTGGGCAATAATCAGAACAATAATTCTAGAACAGAAAGTGTCAATCTCAAAATCATCAAAGTATAAATTTCAAAACTCAATATGTATTAGTTTTTCGAAATGAAAAAGGTACACTAATGCTTGTTTGGACGTCAACTTACATTTCATTTTGCAACTTAAAAGTCGAAAATATTTCAAATTGAAAACTAAATGGAAATAAAAATGTTATTTGGATGTTGGTTTTGAAAAAAAAGTATTTTGAACTACATTTTGAAATATCAAGTACAATTCATCACTAAACAATTAAACACTGTCAATTATAATCACTGTAAAAAAGAATTTTTCTAAAAATAATCACTCAACAACGAAATCCTGCCAAATTTATCACTGAACTATTTGTAGTTTTAAGATGGTCATTACACTAACAAAAAGTGTTTCAAGGTGGAATTTAAAATGTAAATCAGAAAGTTGTTTGGATGATATGTTCTTTTCCATTGGGATTTTTTTTAAGAGGTAAAATGAGTCAAAATGCAAAATAGAAGATTCGCCAAACAAAGCCATTTTCAAGAAATTGCTTATCTTTGGTGGGCTTTGAGGCTGTTGTTGGGCTTTAATCCTTCAGGCCGAGGCCCAAGGTTTAGCAGAAAATTGAGTAAAGTTAATTACTGTAAAATGTTATGGAGTTTGGGTTAGATTTCTCTAATGACAAATCCTCGACCCATAATTACATGTTCTTTTTTCCCTTCATTTCATATCTATTTTACCTTTTTTCTTGAAAGCTTCATTTAATAATTGTGCCGAGGGAGGAAAACAATCGAGAATGAAGAAAGAATGCAAGTAATGTACTTTGGAACGACTGAATTACTGAAACATGAACATAATTTCGGGACGGAGAGAGCAAACAAATACTGTGGTTCAACCTCTGACCATGACAATATTGGAACCATTTATTAACCTAGAAACAAATACCAAAAAGGGAAGAAGAAGAAAAAGGGAGCACTAGAGAGAGATAGTATAGAAGAAGAAGAAGAAGGAGGAGGCTCACTTGAAGTACATGGAGTTGAGGGTCTGAGCTCCTCCTCTACCTGCGGAAGTAGCCATTTTTTCACAGTAAGAACACTTGATTGTTTCGTTAGCTTTCACTCTTAACTATCACCGATTATTTTGTCTGTTTAAATTGGTATGGTGCCACTGTCCTTTTTATACACGAAGCATGGACCTTTTTTGGATGAACATGATCGATTTTCCAAGTTGAGACTATTTGAAAAAAAAAAAAAAAAGATTTAAAATTTATAGTTTCCCGAGAAAGATATATGAATGCAAACACACACGCACTGGATGGTTGAATTCATGACCATATTTTGTTGATTGTGTCATCCGTTTTTTTTTGGACCATATGGGATCCAAGCTGAAAGTATAGCAGGAAGAGGATAATGCATATGCAACCGGAACCAGATCCTGACTGTACTGGAGTATGGGAATGAAGAGGTTCCTTGTGGAACCAGATAAAGCCCTCCCAAAACTGAGATTAAATTCCAACTGACCATCGCAGTGATTAATTTGTGGATAAACTAAATGCATGTACTGTATCTACTGCATTCTCATCCCCCCATCAAATTCGTTGAATCCAAAAAATTTATCATTTTAGTACTATTTTTTTTTTAATTATTTTTTACTGCTTTGTAGATGATTCAGCCATGTAAAAACTACAAACTTTGTGTAAAAAAGTGAAATCTTAGTCGGATAAGATGGTCACATAATTATGGCAGACGGGTGTTAACTCAACGTCTCTTAATGTGGTTTATCGTATCATGCTCGCAATGAATGTTTATTGTAGGATTGCACATGCTTATATATTACTACCTCTGTCCCAAACTAATAGTCCACATTGAATTTTCAAATTTATACTAAAAAATAGAACAAAATTTAAAACTCAATGTGTACTATTTTTGTGGGACGGAGGGAGTAGTATCTAAGAAGCTGATCACATTGTTGAAAAGTGAACTAATAATTTAGCTAGAGACTAAATTAGGTGATAAAATTTAAGCGTATTTGGGTATAGTTTTTAGTAGGTTGTGCTACTAGTCAGGTTAGATAAAAATTTTGTTATGCTTCTAACATTCTATTTTTTCCAAAAAAACTGCGATAAAAATTTCCAAAAAAAGAAAAATGATGAAGCTATTTCTAGATTTCACTAGAACATGAATTGTTTGGGAGTTCTTCTCTAAGAGAGAGAATTCAAAAAAGTTAGCTTCGAATTAGGGCTGGTCTTTTTGAACCGCCGTTTGGGTCGACCCAATGATCCGAACTGACCCAACCCGAAATCGAACCGAAATTCTAATTTCGGTTCGGATCAAAGATTTTAAAAGTTGAAACGGTTCGGATCAGTTCGGATCAAAAGAATATCCAAATTTGAACTGAAAAATCCAAAACCAAAAAATAAATAATTATATTTTAATAATGACGTCGTTGACCGCCGCTATCACCTTTGACCACCGTTGTCGGTCGCCATCGGTAACAACTTCCGGCCAAAATTCCGGCGACTTTGCCGGAAATTTATTTTTTCCGGTAGTCAGCGACCGTCTCCGGCATGATGATGTCATCATCACTTTTCATGACATCATCACTAGCAAAATGATTTATTTCGGGTCAATTCGGTTTAGACCTAAAACTTAATCCGAATCGAGCCGAACCGAAACCATTTGTGATTCAAAAGAAATTGACCCGTTTCCGTACCAAACCAAAATAACAGTTCAGTTCGGATCGGTTCGGTTCGGGTCGGTTTTCTTCAAAAGAACAGCCCTACTTCGAATTCATTTATTAAAACAATTTACTTTCATTAGATCGCATTATCTTCTGTAAGACCAAGAGTTAAACCAATACCCTTACCTAGACAATGGCTATCCACATTTCTTTCCATAACCATAAGTGTGGTGGACAGGGGACAGGTCTCCATGATGTATGTCTTATCCAGCTATGATGTTGATGTAATCTTCATTCCATTGGCCCTCTTTTCCCACTTTTTTTGTTGAATGGAATTGACAAGAAATGCCGATGATGATTGCCTTTTTCTATACCTCTTAACAATGGAATCATTCACCAAAACGCACAATACACAACGAATATCACAATACACAAGTGTCCAACCTGATCCCACTTTATATGATTGATTGCTGACGTTTGAATGGACTAAACTTTGCAAAACTTCTACAATTGTTGATGAGATAACAATTTTATGTACCTTGTTTTCACTTTTCACAGTTTCAGATGCAACTGCAGTGTATTGTTGGATCGATAGGTTATGCACTTCTTTAAATAAAGCTGATCCAATTAAGCTATAAGTTGTCTGTCTGAATTATTGTATGATGATCATACAACAATGGTGTCACAATAATCAGACCACCAATGAGTTTGTTAGGTGTACACTTTTTTTCCTTGATGGTGGAAAGAATGTTCATTTGGAACATGTAGTTTTGATTTTTTGTTCCAACAAATGACTCAGATTACTTATATGCAGATGCTTAAGGTTCACAACTATCATTCTTGGCTGTATCAAAAACTGGCCTCTTCAGTTGATGGTCTCCGCAAATAATACCGCAGGCTATTAGCAAGAACCTGCAAATAGGTACAAGAGTAAAAGGATTGGTTAAATACGAATCAGTATAATCTTAATCAGTTGCTCATTGTTTAGCTTCAGTTCAGTGTCTCATATACCAGTTGAAGAGGCTTGCTGATGGCTTGACCCTTGTAGCTAACATGAAATTTTGCCTTTGCTATCAATCCCTGAAATGCAAAAAGTCCAAAGGTGATGAAATGCCTTTATCATTGCAGACACTACAAAGTAGTACCCGAAAACTACAGCTCATTTCTAAGTAGGCTTTTACCTCGGTATCAAATTCTCCTGATTCAACTGCAATGTTTATGTCGGTTATAATCTTCACAAGATCTACAAGTAATCCAGGGCGGTCTGCTGTTTCCACCAAAAGTAAACTGCAATAAAACAAGCACAATGTGTCGTGGCTTTCGCCAATCTATTTGTAAAGCATTGCATGGCCAAATGCATTAACGTTTTAAACTTCTCCATTTCGGCACTGTGTCAGTCCCAATCCAATGCTTCTGCAATCCTCCATACATAAAAACTTGGAAAAACTCATGTGTGAATTCAAAATGTCCTTTACCTTCGGTCTGGACCATCATCCTTGACACGAACGTGTGTTGCTATGTCCACATCAACCTGGGCATTTAACAGCAGAGTGATGAATACAATATGATCAACTTTTGAAACTTCAGAAGCCAATTGATAGTACAAAACTAACTTGCAGAAGTATACCTTCCCATTAGTCTACCTCTAGTTCATGACAAAAACTAGTTGACATTAGAAACTCAAGTCTTACTTTCAAGCTCTACAATTCTAGATAGGAGATATTTCCATGCCAGAAATTCATAGAAATGATATCAATAAGAGGGCATATAGAGCACCTGCTGACTTGGTTGCATGACACCAAAGGCTGCCCCCATAGCTAACTGTGAGCTTGATTCCTGGTTTACACAATCCAAAAGTTTCAGTTGGTTACACCAGACTAGATAAGTTTATCAATAAGATAACTATACCAAAACTGAAGCACTACCGGATGATACTGAAGCAGGTTGTTAATGATTGTCAAACGAATCGTCTCAAGTAATTCAGGATCATCAACTTTTCTCCCAGTAGAGCTGAAAAATAGGAAGAAAACAAAATCAGAAATTGATCCTACAGGATAAATCTTTCAGCAGTCAGCAGAAAATCAACAAACTGGCTATTCTACATCAGGCCAATGTTGGAAAGTGAACACACAGCTCATAAAAAATAAAACATCACGATATTTTATGTTCAATAATCGTAACAAGCAGGGAAATCAGCAAAAACTGTGCAATTTTAAAGCTGGGGAATAATGTGAGGAATGATCTTTTCTGGTGCTGATAAAAAACCACAGACAAATTCAGTTGTGAAAATTCCACTCCGTGAAACTTATGTAGTAGGTTGGGGTAACATATAGCACCATGAGAACAGAAAGCCAGACACCTGACAAACAACTTACGCTTTGGTGATGGAAAACTTATTATGTTTCCCAGATGAATCAAGATATACATTTGCCTTAGTGACATTGAGTCCAAGATTTTTCAGCGCATTCATCTGATAAAAAGGATCCATATTAGCAGCTGATTATCAAAGAAAATGATGAATTCAACCAACATTGGTTATGTTAAGTTACTGTGTCAAGAAGCGCCCCAAGCCGATCCCCGAAGGTGATCTCCACCAAAGTAGCATCAGGATCAGAATCCTGATCAATTATGACTTTCGGTATTGGAACTTCATCAGTCTCTTTAGAACTTCCACCCTGCTTGCCCATATTTAACAAACCAAAAATCAATAAAAACCAAAAGGATTGAGAAAATCCATGTTACAAATATAGCAGAAATAGTTGACAATAATACTGCACCTCAACAGCAGTGGCCGAAGAGGCTTGCACAACTATTCTACTCTCTGAATATGACAATCTGGGAAGAAACCACCATAATTTTAGGACAATAAGATAGGCATGACCAGCCATGAAGATATAATTGACTGCTAAAACATTACAAGGAAAACTTGTGTGGGGTGATCAAAGTTCATTTCAACGTAATCTCTGTACACAGAAAAAACACAGAACTGAAGCAAATAATATAGCTTGCCCAGCTGGCCCACAGGATGAACTTGGCCGGAAGATCAATGGGAACATTTCATTCCAATGAACAATTTTTCTATAACCATACGCAATTTGACAATGCTGGAAATTATAAATCACCAAAAAGCAAAGCGGGAAACTATCAGATATACAGGTAACTCTCTGATAACCAATGCAATCTGTTGAATTTCCTGCTAACAGGGGTCAAGTTACAGAGTAAAGAAGCCAAACTAATTGACACACAATGGAATGACAGTGCTGCAATTTTGAGTTTATCATAATTCTATACAAATCCAGCTCGACAAGTCAATCAAAATGAACCCCCAATACAACTAAACACAGATAAAAATAACACAGAATAAGCAAAACACCTTTTCTTGGAGGAAAACCCGAATCCCTGCACTGGATCCAAACCAAAAGAACAAGTAAAGCAAGAAGCTTTAGCAATAGAAGACTGCTTATCAATTGACTTCAAATTAGTACAAAGCTTAAGAGTGCTTCCACAAGAAGCCATTGCAACAGCCATTTTGCAGCCGCAGAAGAAAAAGAAGCCCAGAAAAGAAAAGGGTCGCTGAGCTGAAAAACAAGAAGTAGAAGAAAGGCAAGATATTTTTTTTTCTTCCTCAATATCTGGGATTATTTTTAATTCCAATCTATTTTAGAGGTAGGAAAGGAATCACATTAACATGGTGATGATGATGATGAATTTGAAGAGGTGGTGTAAATGGGATAGAGATATTGTGGGGACTAGAATTCAACCATTTGGCTGCATTTCAATCTACTACTACTACATGATTGCACTTTCTCCTTCTAGTACTATCCGCCATGCCCATCACTACTTACCTTTCATTTCATTTCATGTTGTCTTTACCAGAAAGTATCTCAAATTTCAATATATTGTATTTTAGATTTTTATTATATTTTTCACATTCGATGTGTTCTCTTAATTACTATAAAATATTTTTAATATTTTTTTGTCATTATAAATACGCACTAAATAAAACTTAGGATTATTAAAATACCTTATATTAAGGATCGGAGAAAGTAGTATTTTTCTCATTGTACAGAAACAACTTTTAACTTTGGCAACTAATTATATTTTAAGCTTATGAAGTACAGTACTTAGCACTTACTAACATTATTTCAGTTTCAATATATTCTTAACAAAGTGATACTATACTAAATAAAATGCTAGAAAACCTTTACATGCACTAGGTCGAATGAAGCATTGACGGTACCAGTTTAGGAATATACTTCATGAGTTATTATCAAATTTGAAAATTCGATATAAACTATTATTATTATTATTTTTTGATACATAAGTAATACTATAAACTATAATTAAGATCAATTAGCGAAAATTAATTGGACGGAGTTGGATGATGATGCACATGAGAACCCAAATAAGCCTCTCTTTGTCTTTTTGCGACTTGTTAGGACCGCTTTCTTTTTTGTCACATTTTTCTAATTTCTTTTAGCTTCTAACGTTATCACCGTCCAATTATTTATCCTCTAGGGAGTATTTTTGCCTTTGTTGGTTCTCCAAAAATGACTCGATTGGCCACCATGTATTGTAGTCTCGTGTCCATCACCAGTCACCCCCAACACTCAACTTCAACTTTATTTTGTAGTTCCACTGTCTCCAATAAAATTCGATAACAATATTAAGAATCACAAACAATATTTAGATTTAGAACGATATATATTTCAAAAAAAAAAAGGAAAAATAATTTCTTACGTTAGGGAATGAAATAAGGTGTTACACTCTAGGTCTAGGGAAAGTCAATTATCTAAAGGGAACTGTATGATAATTCATGTCGGTGAAATTCGAAGATGTAATCTCTTACACTAGATTTAGTATTCTCTTCCTTCCGGTTCTTAATATAAAATATTTTAATTTATCATAGGTTTTACTTGGTATGTATTTTAATGGACAAAAAACCCTTTATAATGTTTCTAACAACAAGAGAATATAACGAATGGAAAAATATTTTGTTAAATAAAAACGTGTCCTAAATGAATGCCTTATATTAAGGAGCGAGTGAGTATTATTAATTAATTTTCAGCTTTTAAAATACAACGAGCCCAATCCCTTAAAACATTTTCATTTATAAGCCCGGTGAATTGGGCCCAACAACAAACTCAAAAGGCAGCAGAAAAAATTGCGTCGAGCCTTCTTGATTCTGCTCTAGTTAAGAGGTTTGGAGAAACAAAGGGAAGAGGAAGCTCAGTGGATCAATCAGCCAAAGAAAATGTCGAAGTCCTGTAAAGGTCTTGCCATGGAGCTTGTCAAGTGCCTCAGTGAATCCGACTGTGTTAAGGTACCATTTCTTTTCTCATTACACCAACGGGTTCCTATTATCAAACCCTTTCGTGTGGAATTTTGCCCCAGTAGCTCGTTTGAAATTCTGTTTTACCACTAGACCCACGAGGGATGTGATAATGGATTTGGAATTTTCTAATTAGTTTTTTTTTCTTCTTTTTTTTTTACTACTGATCAAGCGGATATGTTTCCCCAATCGCATGTTTTGGCATTTTGTTGATTGGATGCATCGTTCTGGAGTTGAATGAATAAGATGCTATTAGAGCTATCTAATCCGGGACGAGTTTGATGTTATTCCAGAAGCGTAGAAGTTTCATTTATGCGATATTGTGTTTGTATGTTCTGGAATTGAATTTTTCTTGCCTTTTGAATAATGAAATTTGTGTAGGTTGAGCATAGGTCGTATAGAGAATGTGCTAAGGAGAAGAGCCCTTTAATATCTAGCGAGTGTGTGGGATTAAGGGAAACATACTTTAATTGCAAAAGAGGCCAGGTATGATTTGTACTTCCCTTGTTCTTTCTTGGCGGTCAGAAAAGATTCGAGCTTTTGTTGTACTGTAGTTTTCCATGGCATTTGATTGCTAGAATACGTTTCAATTCTGGATTGTATCACGTGTATCTTGGTCTGTACATTTCTAGCAGAGTCATCTTCTTTGTGTTTCTTAAGTGTGTCAGCTGTATTAGTTCCTCTGAAATTAACAACGGTTTCCTTTGATGTTTGATGTTACTGGAATAGGCATCAAAGAGTTGTCTTGTGTTCCCCCTGTATGTCCTTTGAGGGTTATATGAGTGAAACACATTTGGGGTAGCTAAGATGCATGCTAAGGAGTCTTACCGAGGCACATGAATAAAGAATCATTAGTTGAAAAATGAGGACAAATACACCATATGACACTGGAAGAAAAGATTATTTGAAACTAGCAACATATGTCTGAAGAGAGCATAAGAGCGAGAAATGGTTTATACAGCTGCCTACATAGTGCAATAAAGACTAGTCGCCTCTTTCGCTCAAACAACTCGTGTTTTTTTTTAACCTTTTTTTTTTTTTTTTAAACCAAGGTGTGAAATCTCGTCTTTGACTTCTTACAATGTTTTAATTTTCAAGTCTTCCATTTCGGGGAACTAAGCCTATTACATTGTGAAATACAAAATGAGATGGATCCAAAAAGGCATATTTTATCTACTTGCGCAAATGTAGTTGTTTGGATACATGATTTCTTGGTCATAATTTTTAAACTTAGTGCTTCTCATCGTTGTCGAAGATCATTGCAGTGTTGTTTATTCGGCTGAGAAAAATGATCTTTCATATATAGTAGTTTTCTGTTACTTGCAGTCCATGGTTCACCTTGTACTCTGTGATCTTTGTATTTGTGCTGTAGTTAACTATGAATGTACCAACATCAGTTGGGGCATAGTGAAGTATGAAATGCTTGTATATTATTCCTCTTTATGGATAAAATGATTGAACAGCATAATTATTTTTCGTATCGGAGGAGTATATGATTGTACATGCATGAAAAGAGAGATGAAACACCCTCAAGGCCAATAAGAAAGTTCCATTTGCTGTCTGGGATGCTAAATATCTGTGAAGCATAACATTAGCAACAGCCTGAATGCATCAGTATAGGGCTTGTTTGGACCCCTTCGTGTTCCCAACTTACAATCATTTAAGAATGGAAACCTTTGCAAAGACCATTATTAACCAAACCAACTTATATCCGTTAATCCAAGTAACTGCATTTGCAATCTTAATTTTATAACTAGCACATCAACACGCATGTCTAGGAAACTTACCAGGTTTCCCCTGTTTTCCAGGTTGACATGAGAGCTCGGATCCGTGGCAATAAAGGGTACTGATCTTTTTTTTTTTTCCCCAGTGGGGTTAAACTTCAAGATTTGAGCTGAGGGTAGTTGTGCACTGAAGTTGAAGATTTACAAGCTGTGAATTTAGAACTAAAAGCCAGTATCTGAAAGGACTTTTCCGAGCTTGTTTCACTCAAAAGGTTTTGCTGTACATTTGCCTGTAGTCTCACTGTGTTGTGATCAGCAGAATGCATTTCCACTGTAAAGCTTCCGCGGGGAATTTATCCAATCTTGCCCCCTATTTATCATATATTCGAATTATAGCATGAAATCTTCTGGCATTCTAGTGTTGAAGGTACCAAGATTTTGATGAAAGGTTTAGGTTTGTAATTGGTACACATCGTTTTTGTCAGTGTCAAACTACGATTAAACTTATTACTCTTTCGTCTCAAAACGATTTGCTTTATAAATTCGACATTCCAGTTTCAACCAATTTCTACGAACTTAAAAGCCAAGATTGCATATTTTTAGGTAGCAAATGAGAGGGATTTGATCAAATAAAACTGGAGAAACATGATGGAAAATCTGGTAAAAGGGATTAAAGGTTTAATTAGGAAATGAAGAAGAAAAGATATTTGGGAAAAGTGAAACAGAGAGGAGACTGAACGAAGCTCATGCCTAATCCACTTTTTAGTTTTTGTTTTTAATATAAAAGAAAACAAGAGTTTGGAAAAACAGTGTCTGATCAGTTCTTTCTGATTTCTGGTGGTACACATTCCGATGGCGCAACCGGTCGTAACGAGTCCGGCTCCGTCTCCGACTCCACTGCCGGTGAAGCTTGAACGCGAACCCTCCCCGGTACCATCCATGGAAATTAACCAAGAGGATGAAACGCAACAACTTGCTATCGTCCCCGTCGATGTCACTCCATCAGAAACTTTGCAATCCCAATCACCACCGCAATCCGCCGTATCTCCGCCGCCAATTCCGCATTTCATCGACTCAATCAATGAGCTCCGACAATTTTCGGATGCTCTTTCCGCCTTCTACCGATGCTACGACGACCTTCAATCTCATATCTATTCCGTTGAATCCGCCATTGATTCCCAACTGAACTTGCAAGCACCCAAAATTACCTCCCAGCCCGAAGAAATTCTCCCCATAGCAACTGTCAATGAACCAACCTCGGCCCCTCCGTCGATCCCCATTACAGAGAACGAGAACGAAAAAGAAACATCAAAACCCCAACAATCCGAGCTGGAATTTCTCTGTCTGACGATGTCCAGCCGTGGTCTTCGGAGATATATGCTAACGAACCTCGGAGAAGCGAACAAACTTCGTGAGGAAGTACCGAAGGCGTTGAAAGTTAGTAGTAATCCTGCGAAATTGATTCTTGAATCCGTGGGGAGGTTCTATTTGCAGGGGAGTAAGGCTTACACGAAAGATTCACCAATGATTACTGCCAGGGAGGCTTCTGTTTTGACGTTGGAATGTTTTTTGTTGGCACAAGATGATGATGGAGTTGTCAAGATGGATAAGGAGATTAAAGAAGAGTCTGGCAAGGCAGCTATAGCATGGAGGAAGAGGTTGATTGTTGAGGGGGGTTTAGCAAACGCTTGTGAGATTGATGCCAGGGGGCTGTTGATGTTTATTGGTTGTTTTGGTATTCCACAGTTTTTTAAGAATGAGGACTTTAAGGATTTGATTCGAGCAGGGAATGTGAAGGAGATATCGAGTGTTTTGAAGAGGTCAAGTGTTCTTGCAACAAAGATTTCAGGTCTCTCTCTATTTTTTTCCCCAATTAATGAAATTTGAATTTGCTTGCACACTTATCTGGGAAATATACTTTAATTTTCTTGCATAGTGATTTGGCTATGATGCTTCCTGTTACCTTTGGTTGCCTGTTGATGTTTAAAGTCTGTCTCTTTGGTTAGTTTTTGTACTTGCCTTTATTAATTCATGGTAAATATCCAACTTCTTGGTATAGAAGACTGAAATGCTATACACGCCTTTATTCATGGTAATTGTCAAATTTTTGGTGTAGTAACACTGAAATGTGTGCTGTTGAAGTCTTTCTGAAATAATTATCTGAAGATCTGTTTCTATGGGAAAGTTTTTCATTTAGGACAGAACGAAAATGTTGTTTGAGATACTTAGATTGAGTTTATATTTTGGCTACCATGTTCTGGTCTCTTCCCTGAAGCTGCCTGATACGTTAAGTCTTACGATATGAGTCAATGTGACTCGTCGATGATCGTCTAAGGAAGTACCGGAATGATATGCCATACTTGATACACTGAAGATTCTAAACACCTTATAGCCCATGTTCATTGTTTCTTTTGTTGCTTTAGTCTGTTGTCTTCGTACTGGTCACATCAACAGTTTATGAGATGGATAACTGCATTTGCAGTTCTAGTTCTGGCGTATACGGTAAAAAGTAGTTGGCGCACATCCACTGTAACTTGTAATTGTGTAACTGGTTATTGCCTTCGTTTCTGCATTCTTCATTTTAGTTCCGTTGTATATGGTGAAATGCCTGTTGGGCATTTACACTCCAACTTTTGTCTGATAATTGCTGATTTCACCTTTCGACAGCTTGTAGTTGCTACACTAGATGTCTAGAAGTCATTATTTTTCTTTTGTTTCGATCAGTTATTGAATGAAAGTCTGTGCTAAATACTGTTTACCCCATTGCGTACTTCTTTAATAGACGGCTTCTGCTTTAATCCTTCCCGTCAAAGTTATTTACATGAGAGGAGCCTGCTTGCTATATACAAGATCTTATTCTCTCGTGACCTCTTTACACTTAATAGTTCTTTTCACTCTCTTTGTACTGCTGCCCTTTTTTCTTTTTGCGTGAAATAATTAGTTGCATTCTGCTGTGCTCTTCTTTCTATTCTGCCAGTTCTGTTAGATTTTTGGTTACACATTTATCATATTTTTATCTGTTTCAGATTTAATAGATTCAACAATGAAGATGAGAATGGCTGTTGAGGCTGTTGATATTGCTTATTCCTCTGGTTTTGAGGATAAGTTACCTCAACATCCAGTTTTGCCTTCATTTTTGCGAGACGCTAAGGAATTGTGGAAAAAGAGTAAAAGATTATCGCAGGGCTCGTATCATGCCGTGGTAGGTTATGTTTATGTTGGAATTTTTTGCCCTTATTGCTTTCTTTGACACTGTATCTGATGGGGTCTTGTTTCCTTTTGCAGAATGAGGCAAACAAGAAATATTTATCTGCTTTTCTATCTGTTATGAAGTGCTTGGAAAGGCACAACATTGATCCCTCAAAAGCTCTACCAGGCTGGAAAATCAATGAAAAAATAATAGCGTTGGAGAAAGATATCGTGAATTTTGACAAGAAAATAAGAGAACAGATGCTTAATAAAAGAAGAGCAGATGATATGTACCTGAGAAACCAAGAAGCTAAACGCTTCCGTTATGTTGATCCAGGACTGCCACAGCATCAATTACCTGCCCATCTGGATAGCCAAAGAAGATTTTTGGACAGTGTTCATGGTCCCTCAATTAGAGCTTTAACTTCTCCACCACTTATGCATGGAACTGGAGTTGGACATGGCATGCTAGAGGCTGAAGCCAGCGACCGGCGTGCTACCTATACTGGATACTACGGTGAAGAAGTGGCTGATACTGCCGGACAAGCTGGCAGCTACGGGGGTCAGCATTATGGATTACGTGGAGATGGAGCCTATAGTGATCGACTTGCAGATGCAGGTCATACGTATGCCGGGCAACCTCCAGCCTATGGTCTTGCTACCTTTGATGGAGCCTATAACGAACGACTTGCAGCCACAGGTCATACTTATGCTGGACAACCTCCAGCCTATGGGCTTGCTAGCATTTACAGGCCACCGCCATCCGTAGAAGAGTTTCCAGGCAAAACAGCAGGCGTAGCTAGTCGGACCACCGGTTCTGATCTATATCAGTTTGCTGATACGGTTGTTGACAGTGAAACCTATCATAGTACTGGAGCACAGGCTGCTGCTGCTGGCCCTTCTGTTGTGCCTGCTCACCAGTCATCCTATTTGTATTGAAATTGATTAGATATCCCCTTGTAGGTAGCTCGACTTTGATATAACTCAAGTAACTTCTTTGTTTCTTTGGTTAGAGCATTTTTGGTTAAGAGCATAGAAGTGGAAGTCAAGACCTAGGCAACTGCCTTGCTTGTAAACAGTGCAGAAAGCAATCTATGGTTTCATAACCGGGAAACCATTTATCCTCTCCATGGAGATAGTGTAGGACTAATGCTTGAAATATTAAACATTAGAAATACTCACGATCAGTTACATTTTTGTCTTCAGTCTCCATCTTACGGATAAACCCTTCTAGCTTTGCGCAACTTTACAGCATTAATGTGACTTCTTGCCAGATTTCAAAAGGTGAACCTGCCGCCGTAGTTCATCGGAACCATTAATTTTTTTTTTCTGTAAATAAATTTTTCTTCTTTAAAAGATGAACAAATATTTAAAGAAAAAAAAATAAAAATAAAAAATGGAAAGACAAAAAGGAAACAAGGGTACAAGAGTAAATTCACAACTGTCAAGAGCTTTTTAGTACCACTTCATAAACCCGCCTTCGGCAGTGGTAATAGGGGTTTTGTTCCTCTTCTTCTTAAATTGACAAACACAGAGTGGTGAAAGGAAGAATTTGCGGTAACGAGAAACAGAGAAGTGGGAAGGCTTGACAATGGTGAGACTAACAGCCGACCTCATCTGGAAAAGCCCTCATTTTTTCAATGCTCTTCGCGAGCGCGAGCTGGATCTTCGAGGTTCTTTTTCTTTTTAATTCTTTCTTCCCTTATTTTTTTTTTTTCGTGCTTTTTCTTTCGGAATTTTTGCTGTTAACTAGCACTAGAGTAGCGTTTTCAGGCACAGTATATTTGAATTTTGAACTGGTTTTTGGACACCCTTTTTCTTGATTCCGTTGGTCTTAAATATTTACATGTTAATTTCTGCTTCTGTGCAGGGAACAAAATTCCTGTTATTGAAAACCTGGGTGCCACTGAGGTTAGATTTTTCCCCTCTATGGATTTTTTATTTGAGAACGGTTGTCTATGGCAGTTGAATTCATCCAAAATTTGTCCTGTTTTACTTCTTTTGTGAGTTTTTTTTCTGGGGTTTTGGTCATCTGGCCAAAATATGGAATCTTATAAATTATTATTTGTATATGCAGGATCAATTTGACACCATTGACTTGTCTGATAATGAGATAGTTAAGCTTGAAAACTTTCCTTATCTCAATCGGCTGGGAACCATCTTATTGAACAACAATAGGATTACTCGAATCAATCCAAACATTGGAGGTGAGACAATTGATATAATTATAAGTATCACTTTCATACTATGGCTTGAATTTTAGGCCCTAGAATTCCTTCTATTTCTTGTCTGCTTTTGTGTTTTCTCTGATGTTATCTTTCAACGTGTCAATGCTGCAGAGCTTTTGCCCAAATTGCATACGTTGGTTCTCACTAACAACAGGCTTACCAACTTGGTTGAGATTGATCCACTGGCTACGCTCCCCAAACTTCAGTTCCTTAGCTTGCTAGACAACAATATAACAAAGAAACCCAATTATCGGTTATATGTCATTCACAAACTTAAGTCTTTGCGTGTGCTGGACTTCCGGAAGGTGAAACAAAAGGTCAGCGTCACTATCTAATGTAATTGCTTCTGTTTTGCCTTGTGTGGTATGGTTTGGAAATGTTCTCAGTTCTGTGTTTGAGTTTGGCCTTGATGCCTAGATCTCTGGAAAATTAAGTGGACTTTTAAGCCACAGTTGCAAACTTCTTGTTGTTTCTTTGAATGATTAAAATAATTTTATCTTTCATGTCTTGAATGTTCCAGCTGGACACGGAGCATTATTGATTTTTTAAAACCATTCCGAAAATAGATTAACTTTAGCATTCTGTGCTTGTGGATCTTGTAGTATCATATATTAATTTGGAGAACCAGAAAAGATGTTTAATGCACCCTATCCATTATGTCTATCTTCTGCTCATGGGGTTTGGATGAAGTTAAGTTATTCAACCTTTATGTTCACTGCTAGCTGTTTGCTTTCATTGGAACTATAGCTTAATGGTTGAAAGTAGAGAGGTAATCTCTTTGTTAAAAAAAAGGTCAACATTAACTTCGGTATATCTGAGTAAGTCATAAAAAGTACTGAGCTAAGACATTCTTGCATTCTAGAGTGGTGATGAACTTTTGTCAGTGTCTGGTTTTTGATTATGTAGTCTGCAGAACTGAATCACGGATTTATCTGAGGGTAAAATGCAAGCTAGACACAAACCTAAACCAAGATTTGTTTTAGATGGTAATTGACCTGCTAGGCAGTCTATTGGCAAGCTCTTATTTGGAGGAATCTGGAATTCTGGATTATGCTCGTCAGAAAACCCTCAAGTTTATGGTAGAACCAATGCTAGGACTGGATAAAAAGATGAGATGCTTGTTAACAGTATTAGTTGGACCTGTAACTTAGTCCCGTTCCATTTCTGCTACTTTCATTTTGATAAGATATATCTGCTCTACAAGTACCACCATGGTCTTTCTTTTCTTTTTCCCTGCTTTTATCATTGTTATCGAATTGTTCATGTAAAGTCAAACCCCTCGATTCGATGTGAACCTCCACCCTAAATGATATTCGATCCCAGAATTTCTTGGTTAATCTTTTTCTGTCTTAACAGTTCATGAGCACATCCATTAAATTTTGTTTCTTTCTCTCTCAGAAGATTAGTGTTTGTTTCTTGTATTGTAAAAACTATTATGAAATTGTGGATGGCCACGGTGATTTTTCCATCCTTTGCCTCTTCCGGTTTTGTTCAGTATTGTTTAATTCTTCCATTCATTTCTGGATACATTAATTTGTTTTATGTTGTTGCTTGCTAAAGTCAGCTTCTTCCTTTTGGTTAAAACAGGAGCGACTTGAAGCAAGTAGTTTGTTTGCATCTGAAGAAGCGGAAGAAGAAGCGAAAGTGGTATCCGCAAAGACATTTGTGCCTGGTGAAATTCCTGCTGCCCCAGAGGAGATGAAGGAGGAGGAAGCACCTAAGCCTGTTGCTCCTACACCAGAACAAATTTTAGCTATAAAGGTTACTTTCTAATTCAATATTCTTTTTTTTCCCAATCATTAATATGTGCATCCAATCTAAGATGTGTTCAAGTTCGAAATAGGTTATAGGTTGCTTTTTTGACTGCTGTGGCAACTTATTTAGTGTATCGATTATTTTTCCTGTGTGATGCCCAGATATATGTTCTTTCTGGTATAACCTAATAAAACCTCACCATGAATACTGCAGGCTGCAATTGTGAACTCCCAAACTCTAGAAGAGGTGGCAAGGCTTGAACAGGTGAAGTTCTTCCCACCCTTTATGCAATGCGCCAATGCCAATACTTTAGCACATGGAGCAACTTCTTTACCCCATTTTTATTGCACCTTCGCTGTTTGTGATCAAATTTTTGATATAAGATGAATGGGGAATAAAGTAACGTGAATGATACTAATTTTGAACTGCACCATTTTTGAATGGCTTGCGAAAACAAAGTCCTACTTCTGAGTTTCACTTCCTGTTGCGAGGTCTGACTTTTTTAGTCGTTTTGTGCAGGCCTTGAAGTCTGGCCAGATTCCTGCTGATTTGAACATCCCTGGCTTCGATGCAACAGATAAAACAGATGGTGCTGATGAGGACAAAATGGTTACAGATGTTGAGGAGCAAACAAATAACAAGGCAAGCAATATTGAATCTGATCAAAACAATGACGCCCCCGAAGCAATGGAGCAGGTCTAGCAAAGATTGCTTCAAACTTTTGCCTGTGTTTCGCTTGTCATATTCTGGTCCTGTATTTGTGTTTTGCTAGACTTCTTCCTCAGTTTCCGTGAACTATTTTGTATGATTGCGGTTCACCTACACCATTTGGGTTGACGTATCAATGCTCGTTTTTAAATTTTCAGGAGTAGAGGGGGTGGTATTGGTTAATTTCAAGTTTGTTGGACGCTGGAGAGAAGTAAACCCCCGTGGAAGATGTTGGGTTCCTGTCTGGAAGAGAGATTTGCTGTAACACAGATTTTATTAACCTTTCTAGTGAAGGCTGTCTAATGTGTTTTTTTCGAAAACGAGGCTGTCTAATGTGATCATCAACATAATCTGTACCTCTGGATGTTTTGTTATTATTATTTGTACTACATTTGAGGTAAATTTGGTTACAGAGGATGATTAGTTCAGAAACCTTTAGCCACACAAATCGTGAATGTAATTTTGGCATCAGATTTATCATTTCTAGCATCTAAAAGAGGAAGAAACTAGATAAAAAGGATCATCAATTAGTCTTTTCCTCAGAGCAACGGGTTGAAACCTTTCCGTTCATAACCATTATCATAATTAATCTCCGGTAACCTATTTAACATACGAGTTTCCTTCCCTCAAATCGTTTAATGTTACCAGGCACATTAAGGGAGGATTGGTACAAAAGAAATCGTACATTAAAAACACAGCATAAAAGTAGAGTTACAATGCAATTGTTTCACAAAAATGCACTTAAGCCTAGTCCCAAAAGCATTCAAAGACAATCTAAACCCAAAGCATTGGAGCAACTTCTAAAGTGTATTCTCTAAGAATTCCGCAAACTTTAAGCATACAATATATTTAAATTCAAGAAAATTGGTTAACTTGTCCCTGGAAGTGGATGTCCATTCGATATTTCGGTGGTTTCCAAATCCTTAAAAAGAAGTTTGTTCACGGCCTCATTGTGTTCCATTTGTTTTCGGATGAATTCTTTTTGTTCCTTCAAAGCCTCCTCACTGTTTTGAATTTGTTTTTGCATGAGTTCCTTGAATTCTTTTAGAGCTTCTGCCTGTGAATCAGCCATTAAGCCGATTTGGACACGGATATCATTAATTTCTTCTTCCACCCTGCACTTCCAAGTATCTTCGTCCTCAGAGCTCGATTGTGCTCCTTGAAACTCATTAGAAGAACCTTCTTGAGTCCCTTGCAATTTCAAGACTTGTTTTTCGAGTTGCTTTTGCCTTACTTGTGCTTCGCCTTTCGGTAAATATGATGAAAGTTTGATGGTTTGCCCCGGATTGAGAGGTGTGAGGTTGCCCTCATCTTGGATGCCCGCCTTCAAACAAAGTTGTGTGATTAGCTGTGGAAAAGGCAAACCATCCTTTGCACTCAATGCTACAAGGATTTCCCTATTGATGATCCTCCCAATGTCTAACCCCCATCCTTTCATGATGGCATAGATGAGGTGAATTTTTTTCTTTTGCACCGTAGAGGAATGCTTAGATGGCATAAGAGAAGAGTTTACAAAATACATCCACGATCTAGCAATCGGATTAAACCAACCTCTTGGCAGTGCTGTCCATTTCCCCTCAAGAGCATTGTGATGCTCAGAAGTGAACAAAGTGCCAAAAACATCTTCTTGCTGTGAGTTCTCATCAAATTTGGCAAACTCCTCAGTAGTGTAGCTCAAGCGTCTTTTCCCATTATCATCCAAGGTAGTCAATCCAAAGTACTCATTAATGGCCATGGGACTGAAATCGATGGGGTGACCATACATGGTGACTACGAAATCTTTATGATCCTTGAGAGCATCATAGAACTCATAAACCCATTCTTTATTGGCATGCTTCCGCTCACCGGTGAGCTTGCCCCACCCGTAGTGGTCGATATAACCTTTGAAAGGCTCATGATACTCCAAGGGTCTCTCTTTGATCAATGGTCTTGGTTTTCCATCTGGCTCGGCCTCACTCGTTGTCTCTACGACTTCCTTGCTCTTGGTTTTACTGGCTTTTGCTTTTCGTTCTTTGATCAATGGGCTTGGGTTTTCAACCAAGACCAAAGCTTTCTCTTTGATCAATGGTCTTGGTTTTCCATCGGGGTCTGCCTCGCTTGTCTCTGTGACATTCTTGCTCTTGGTCTTACTAGATTTTGCTTCTTGTTCTGGGGTTGCCTGGGTTTTCTTTGTGACTTTGTTGCTCTTGTTCTTAACTTTTCTTTTGCGTTTGGTTGTGGATTCTGCGGGAGTTGCAGCTGTGGAGGGTGTTGTGGGTGCCATTATGATTGAACCTACACATTGACAGTTCCAAAAGAAAGCATTCATGTAACTTCTGTTCTGTAGGATCAAATCAAATGGCATATATGATGAACCCACTGAAAGTAGATACTGTATAGTCTTCTTAAGAGGTAAAGCACAAGCTTAAGCGAAAATTACTACACATAAAGAGAGTCAGAAGCAATCACAAATGTTTAATATATGCATATGAAATTCTGAAATGTTAGCCTGGAAACCAGAAATTAGTTTAAAAGAGTGAAAATTAAAGCATAAAACTTTCTAGAGACAAGTCATCAAACACTTGTTCAGGAATAGCAAAATCAATGAATATCCACATCACATCAGACTTCACCAAGGGAAGCATAAGTGAATTCACCGAAAAGAACATCAAATCGGAATTCAATTGAAAACCGTACCTTTTTCTTCCGATGACAACTGTTGTTTTGGGGGTTGATTGAATCAATCGGAGAGAAACGCAGCGGAGAGTGGAGGGGGAAGGACTCGTCGAGCGGATCAGCTCGACGGAGAAAGCCGGCGTTTCGTCAGTCGACTTGTCGAACAGAGGTCTCCGATTTGCGCCGACTATGTGGTGACTCGACGGGATATTGCTTCGTTTCCCCCAAATTCTAAATTAGGTCACCTCAGATTCAGATAACATTGCTGCTGAACTGAAATGAGTCAACTTCGGTGGCTCCGTATACATGATGAAGTATGGTCAACGCCAGACAAAACGAATTACCGCTGTAAAACGTTAAATGCTCGTTCTTTTCTTTTTCTTTTATTTTTTTTTAAATTAATCCAAATAGTACTAGTATTTTTCATACATTCTATAGGTAACTTTTTATACTACTTTTTTTTATTCATTTATTAAAAGTACGTCGAATTGTAGAAATAAGATATGAAATTGAAATCATTGTCGACGTGGTAACTTTGTCTTTATTTCTTTGTTTGCATTTAAGTCATTACAAATTACAAAGGTTGTATTGGGGTGTATACAAGAATAAAGAGTTTATTATGTACACTTCTAAATAGCTCAGTTAAATAGGGGATATATATATTTACTAAATGTCGCATTGATGTTTTTGTTAAATATTTTGTCTACAAGATTGAGGATGTATCGGACAAATGGATACTCCGGCTTGATTTGTTGCTGACCACCGGGTTTCCTGTGTCATCCAGATGAATAACTGCAACATCTCCGGGCTTGTATGCTTCCGAAAGTACAAACTCACTCAAGGGATCTTCAACTATGCGAGCTACCGCCCGCCTCAGAGGCCGGGCGCCATAACTTCTGTCGAAACCTTCCTGACATATAAGGTCCATAACCGTCTCCGACACCTCCAAACCAATTCCTAAGGAGACAATCCTGGTTTTTACTTCGTTGAGCATCAGGTTCAATATCTCTAGCATCTATGTAAGAAAGAAAGATGAACGATATCAATGATTTCGGAATGATCAGCATAACAAAGTGAATTGAGAGATCATTGAGAACAGTGGAAAAAGTCTTCTGAAGAATACAGATACCTGATTCAAAACTAAGAACTTAGGAAGTCGTATCAAAGGTACCATAAACTGGAAATTAAGGAAATACCAACCTGAGACTTTTCAAGAGGACGGAATACCACCACTTCATCTATTCTGTTTAGCAATTCAGGACGGAAATAAGCCTTCAACTCTTCCATAACCAACGCTTTCATTCCGGCATATGAGGTGTTGACATCACCATTAAGTAAAAAGCCAATTGTGTTTTGTCTTCCTTTTGCAATGGCACTTGAACCCACATTAGAAGTCATCACTATCATACAATTCTTGAAAGATACTCTTCGACCCTAATAAACCAAGTTCAACAAATCAGAATATAGTTTAGATATACAACTATAATCAAGATATACGTAGACATTAAGCTATATCAAGTGTCCTTTGTCAAAAGAGAACAGATAGAAAGCAAAGAATACAGCAGTTATAGCAGGCAGAAACCTGGGAATCTGTAAGATGACCATCTTCAAACAATTGTAGTAGAATATTAAAAATATCTGGATGCGCTTTCTCAATCTCATCAAGCAGGACAACAGTAAATGGTTTCCTCCTGATAGCTTCTGTAAGAGTACCTCCCTCGCCGTAGCCAACATAACCAGGTGGTGATCCTATTAACTTACTCACAGTATGCCTTTCCATATATTCACTCATGTCCAACCTTAACATGGCCGTCTCCTGCAACACATGGCCATCAAGCATACTCAAAAGCAGGTATGATTATATCCGGAGGTGCTAAATGAAAAATTCAATAACTTGTGAAGGCATTGCCTTGTGAACACGATGGCAGTAATTCCAATGATCTGAAATAAAAACTCGTGCGGGCCAAACAGAAGCAATTTAAACCACAGACAATGAGAGTTTGTTCCTCCCCCACATAGACGATGACAGTACAATCGGGTTCACCAATGAATAAACTTTTTCCATAAACATAATCCTGTTAGTCCCTTGGAATCATAATAGGCTACCCTATTTGGTTGAACTAATTCCTACACTGGTACAGTTATAAAACATTAAAGCTAGTTATGAAGTGATCAGGCCTTTCCACATATCATGGTTTCTTGTACCATGAGAAAGGGAAAAATAGCTGCTCTAAAAAAGTCTTCCGCTGAAGTAAGACACCTAGCTGAAAAACGGCAAGCTTTACTTAATGAATCCATACCCCAGTACATATTGTTGTTTCCAAATTAGAGTTTTTTAAACCATGTCATTTTCCTGTACAGCAAGTTATTTCCACCAAATTATACTAAAAAACTGTTTCAAGTCAAAAAATTATAACTGTAAAATTTGACTGAAACTGATCATATAATGGAGAATTATGGGAAGAACAAAGCCCTAGCCAGTCGTATTCTGGTGTAATTATCTTACCATTACCACATTTAAGCTAAGCTGCAACAGATATGAAAAGTTAAGAGTCAAGATCTTACCGAACCAAAGTAGGATGCTGCTAATGCTTTAGCTAATTCAGTTTTGCCAACACCGGTTGGGCCACAGAAGAGTATTGCAGCAATTGGCCTATCTGGGTCCTTCAGGCCAACCCTGGATCTTTTTACGGCACGAGCAATGGCAACAACAGCCTCATCTTGACCAACTACCCTTCTCTTAAGCTGTTCATCAAGACCGATAAGGAGCTTGCGGTCGTCAGCAGTAAGCTTCTGAACAGGAATGCCTGACCATAAAGAAGCAACTGCTGCTATTTCCTCTGGTCCAACTACATTTGTACTGCAAAAGAAACAAAAATTACATAAGTGAATTTGCATTACGCGATGAAGAGAAACAAGACTACGTTAAGACACTGTAAACTGCAAATTCATACTCATTATCTATATGGTTGGATGGCAGCACATATTCTGACGTGTTGGATGGTATATTTTCTTCCCTGAATGGACTATCCAGTACTTGCTGTATTGAAGGAAAGTATTGATGAAGTTACATAGTGTAAAGGAGTCAAATTCAGAATAAAATAAAAATAATGATAATAACAATAATAATAATAATAATGATAAAACCCTCTCATGATTTCAATTAAGAAACACGTGAAGGATGCAATCAATACCTCATGCATAACTTGGGCAGCTCTGATTTCCTGCCAATAATCACTAGGTGGTTTTGAAAGAATTGAAGTTTGTTGTTCCTTCCTCCTTTTATGGGCATCCATACGAGCTCTACTTCCTGCTTCATCCATAAGATCAATGGCTTTGTCAGGGAGATGCCTATCGGTGATATACCTAGCTGACAGAGTCACAGCAGCATTTATGGCCTCTAATGTGTATCTACACTTGTGGTGGGACTCGTATTTTTCACGTAATCCCAGCAGTATCTGAACTGCATCCTCCTAAAAAGAAACAAAACTTCCAATATCAACAGAAATGACCAAAAAATTGGCCAAAATAGTTTTAAGCAGCATACATAATAAAAACACATATATATGGCAATACCTGTGTAGGCTCCTTAATAAAGACAGGCTGAAACCTTCTAGCTAATGCTTTGTCGTTCTCAAAATGTAATCTGAATTCATCCATGGTTGTGGAAGCAATACACTGCAAAAGATAAATACATTAAGAGCATAATTACAAATTATTACACCTCTGAGATGCTTGGAACATAGGCTCTCATGTTATGGACATTCACTCTCAAGCTGAAAAATGACTCTATAGAGCATGAGCCAGCTGATGTTCTCGAAAAACTCAAAATCATAGCACCCAATAAATTTGGAAAGAAATACCCACATTATAAGCTTCATAAACATCAGATTTCTTCCACAAATTCAAGAAAGTAAGAGGATACGATGGGCAGGTTAGAAGTAAATCACAACTGTGTTCTAGCTTATCCTCAGCAACCAATATCTGATTTTACCATGGCCTATTTGGCACCACCGCCATCTTATGTTCTACAGCAGCTTATGATGATATTTGCTTTTCGAGTTACCGGTTAGATACATGACCCAAACCACGCTATCTTCTCTTAGATATCCATAAGTCCAGTATAACAACACCGTTCACAGGATGCAATAGGATAGACAACATACCTGCAATTCACCCCGACCAAGTGCTGGCTTCACTAAATTTCCGATGTCAAGACCAGACCCCTTATTTCCCCGTCCTACTGTCCCAGAACCAATAAGCGTGTGGACCTCGTCAATGAAAACAATGACATTGCCTGCAATGCTGCCACTAGAAGTTCAGCCATGATCTAGGTCTTACTCTTATCCAATTATCTAAGATACAACAGGCAAATCATCTCACCTGACTTTTTCACCTCCTTAAGTAATGCCGTAACACGGCCCTCCAGTTCACCTCTCTCCTTTGCGCCTGCGATTAATAGACCTATATCCAAGGACATTATACGCTTTGTCTGCAAAAACAAGCATAAACAGAACAGATTATAAGAAACTTTGGCTGTATAGTTAGGAAATAAGGAAGCAGCTTTTATCCGAAGGAGGAAGAAAACCCACCAAGAGACTGACTGGCACATTTCCTTCTGCAATTTTTATAGCCAGACCTTCAGCAATTGCTGTTTTACCAACTCCTGCTTCACCTAAAAGAATAGCATTATTCTTTGTTCTTCTGCAGAGTATCTGGACAATTCTTTGGACTTCAGTGTCTCGGCCAATCACCGGATCAATACGGCCCTCACTGGCACGAGCTGTAAGATCCACACAAAACTGATCCAATGCAGTTTTTTCTGTTCAAAAGTATACACCCAAATCAAATGTTTTCATTTATTTATATCAATAGACCAAAAGATAAGAGCAAGAGAAACCTTACTCTTATCATCCGCTTTTGGAGACGTTCTTGCAAGGGTGGTCTTCCCAGCTGCAGCATTTTCACGAGACCGCTTGAGTGCAGCAGGTGGCACTCTGCCATCCTTGACAAGCTCTCCTTCTAATCTCATCATGGCCTCTGCAGCTAAGAAGTTTATATTTCCCCCTAATCTGAAACAAATGAGATCAGCGACATTAAGAAAATAGATTTGCAGATGATGAAATACCTAAATGCTGATATTATCTGCAGCAAAAATACTGTTCACGGTCACCACAACATCTAACATTAGTTTCTAATAAACCTACTGTAACTTCAGGAAGGTTGACAACTAAGCTTATTGAACAGATTGTACGAATGTAAAAATATGGAGGACTGTGCAATGTAAAACTTAAACACAAGCCTCTCAAGCAATAGAAATTGGACAACTTCGACCAAAATTAAAGGATTACTTAACCAAAAAAAAAAAAAAAACAGAATGAACACTAAAGAGAGTATCAGATATCATTACATGTATCCAACTCAAAGTTCTTTCCTTTTTCCATCTTTTAATCATAACCGATACTGAATCTTAAGAGCACAAACAATTAAATGATAATCAGAAATCCCTTCTATACATGTGTATATATATATTCATTGCCGTCCACAAAAGTTATAACAATCAAATGAATCTTCTTTCTCCTCCTTTTTATTTCTCTTATTATTCGTTTAAGCACTTGCACCTCCCATTCAGCATTACACCCAAAAAAAAAAAAAAAATTTTGCAGATGCAGTCCAACAATGTATAGACAATAATATCGAAAAGTACAATCTAGGAATAGAGATGGCGCTGATTAACATCCTGAAAATAATGTACCTCTTAAGAACACGAGTAGCACTTCCATCATCAACCGTAAACAATCCGATTGCAAGATGTTCGGGTGAAATAAAGTTATTTCCCATCGACCTCGAATACTCTACTGCTGCCTCAAACACCCGTTTCGCACTCGGTGAAAACGGCACATCAGTGGCTGAGGCCACCTCTGTTAGCTCAGCTCCCCGAACGGTCTCATCAGCCTCGGCATCACTACCGCCATGCCAAATACTCTTTACAGCTTGGCGTGCTGCATCAATCTTAATCCCAGAGCCCAAAAATCCCCCAGAACCACGATCCTCTGCGATGAGTCCTAGCAAAAGATGCTGAGCAAACACCATATCAGCCCCTAAAGCTTTAGCCTCTTTTTGCGAAAACATAACTGCTTTCACAGCTCTCTCCGTAAATTTCTCAAACACCCCGCAAGCAATATAAAACGATCGTTTTGACTTCGAAATTCTGCTTGACTTTGCGTATTTAGCCGAATTCAATTTCCGGGTTTTGTTAGAAATTGAAATCCCAAAATAGGACGACCCAGATGAGCTAGTAGATGCGGTGTTTGAGCTAACAGAAGACGATGAAGAAGAAGAAGAAGAAGAAGGATGGCAGTTGGGCCATAAAGACGCGACATTTCTACGGTGATTGTGGAGATAAACTCGAGGAATCGTGGAATGAATCGAAAGCGGGGACGAAGAACATGAAAGTTCCATCAAAACGGCTAAAAGGGAAAAAGGAAAAAGAAGTGAAAAAAAAAAAAGAGAAGCAAAAAATAGAAGAACTTGGAAGCAGGAAAGCTTGAAAGGTATTTATAAAATGGATGCGTGATAATGGGTACAAAGAAAGGGACCTTTTCACTTTAACTGGGAAAGGAAAGCAGAAAGAAGATCAAAGATGAAGTACAATTTGGCAATCCAAACTTAAACTACGAGTTAAAGTGTGGCACATTTCCAGGCTGCCATAATAATACTGCATTTGACATGATTTTTGCAACCCAATTAACCAATTCTCTGGAAAAACAAACATATATATATATATATATATATCTACAATTTCTGCTTCCTTTTCTTTTGTTTCTAGACTGGTACTGAAGAACAAGGATTTACTAATGTCCGACATCATCGTCATTACGAGGATTAAATAACAAGGTCACTAGATTTTTAAGGTTTACTTGCGGCTAATATAATCTTAAGTTCAAAGTCTTGTTAACAAAAATACTAGTAATAAATTTATGGGTCATTTTCACTGGAGATTTTTTTTATGGAGAATTGTCTGAGTAGAGGAAGGAAGGACCCGACATTCGGATGTAATGAACAAAGCTTCCCACGAATCCCTTCCATTCATCAAAGGACAAATGTAGTTGGTTGAGGTTTGAATCAAAATCATAGTACTAATTGAATTCCAGAAAGTTTGTAGTATGGCCGCGTGATAGTTCAGTACTTGAGTTTGTGTTACAAATGCACTATAATTTCTCAGTAGATAAAAGATTTGCAATCTTGACGTATTAATATATCCAAAATGGCAAATTCTTTCTGAATTTCTTTCATTTTAGATATGTTTATTAACCAGTTTATTTTAATCTCTCCGGTCCTTAATATAAGACATTTTAATTTATCATATATTTCACTTAATATGTATTTTTAATTGATGAAAAATTTTAAAAATATATTTTCATGTTCGTTGCGTTCTCTTGATTGTTACAAAATATTTTTAAGGTTTTTTTGTCAATTAAAAATACGTACTAATTGAACTTTAGAACAAATTAAAATGTCTTATATTAAGAACTGGAGGGAAAATATAATTTGACATATACATTCTTAAACAAACTGCTTCTAACTTTTTGCCACTTGATGATTCGATGTTTTACCATTTTTGTGGAGGCAGTTCTAGAAGATGTGAAAATTTTTGACATTAAAATTAATTATGTTAGTCTATATTAGTAATAATAACTTAGTAGGGGGGAAAAATGAAGGTGCTAAACAGAAAGAAGAAGGGATACCTTGCTGGCAGCATGATTGCCACTTGCAATGATTGAGACGTAGAGGAGCAAAGCAAAGGAAAGAAAGGTCTTTGGTCTAACTTGATAGACTTTTTATTTAAAATCAACTAGCAAGTCAATTCAAGCACGCTTCCTAATGTTCGTCAATACCCTAATTTAACAGGAGTCGCTCACGTCAAGAACGCCTAGCTCCCAAGTCCCAAGTTTCTGCATTGCGCCAAAATAAAATTTATACTTGTTTTTTAGATTCAATATCGAATCATACTTTAATAATTAGCGTGATATGTATGTAACTATAAAATTAAAGAGCCAATTTTAAAAAGCACTCGAAGTAGAAAGTTGAAAAATAAAGAAATAACGAACCAATTAAAAAAGGTTAAATAAATTGTTTTCGGATAAGAGAGGGTAAAAATGGTAAAACTTCACATATATTATGTGGAAGTCATGAAATAAAGAAAGAGTTGTTGAGACGAAACATATATCTCGAGAGACTAATTTTCCTAACAAATTACTCCCTTCATTCCAAAATATATGTCGTTAGAGGGAAATCAATTTTTTTCATAATAGATGTCGTTTTCGCAGATATAGGCATATTTTGTCAACTTCTTCCAACATTACCCCTACATGGGAAATTGTAATTGTATTTAAAATATAAGTGTATTAGTACTAAATGATGTTGGAAATAGAATTGTATTTAAAATAAATAAGGGTAGTTTAGTATTTTAACCAAATATTTATTGTTTCTTTAAATTTTGTGAAACTCCTCCAACGACATATATTTTGGAATGGAGGGAGTATATGATTTCACCAACAGCACAAGGTCCGAGTGGGCTACAATGGGCTTGATGCCATTGGGGGTAAACTATAATTGAAAAATGATATAATCGGAATAGTATCCTCGTAATGTGCTAAAAACTGATTTTAGGCCTTGTCACTCTTTCACTGTTTAAATTTCTTTTATTATTATTTTATTTTTTTAAAAAAAAATTGATGACAAGAGTGATTGAAAGTGTTCTTCTTCAGTTCGAAAAGTCTAATGGAAAATTGTACCCCCAACCCCCAAAAAAAAAAAAAAAAAAAGAAAGAAGAAAAAACTTCTTATGGGAGAAAGAATTTCAACGAGTAATTAATGAGCCAAATTGGTTTAGTCGCCTATTTTCCTCCCCCACGTTGGTGGTATTCAATTATTGATCTTAGTTAAAGACAGATTTCAAGTCAGGAGAGCCAATAATTGGCGACAATTATATGAAGTAGTAGTACTCCCTCCATTCCAAAATAAGTGTCGTCTTACACTTTGCATATAATTTAAGAAACTCTTAAATAGGGTAATAAAATTACTTGAATATTCTCAACCAACCCCATTATAAAATTGTCCACCAATAGCATTCACTTTTTTTAGGGTAATTTTAAAAACTTCTGACAAAAAGTGCATTGAAATGTGAGAACGACATTTATTTTGGAATTCTCCATTTTGCTAAAACGACACTTATTTTGGAATGGAGGAAGTACTAAATTACTAGATGAGTAAATCGCCACGAATCTCCTGCATTTTTGTCAATGCTTTTCTTAATAACGACATCAAGTAAGAGATTTGTCAAAAAACTTTTCCAATTTTAGGCCAGAATTTGAAGGATGGAAAATGTATTCTATGTGTTGAAGTTGAATGTTTTTCTAGTACTCCCTCCGTCCCAAAATTATTGTACACTTTGAGATTTCACTTTTAGTACAATTTGAACTAGAAATAAAAACTCAAATTGGACAATAATTATGGGACGGAAGGAGTACAACGTTTTTCAAAAATAAGTTAACATTAGTAAGCCACGACTAATCATCTTTCAGAGTTTCGCCGCAATATGCTGACCTAACTCTTGGACGTATTGTTGTTATACATTTACGTGGAAAACAAGGGCACATTTGTGCACGAAGATTAAAACAAAATACGGTCAACCTTTTGGTATTTTTCACTTTTATTTTCAATACAGTTTTGGCAACTTAGGTTGGACACCAGTTCATTCAATTCGGTCCAACTTATTCATAAGGTGCGATTTAAAAAATTTTACAAACTAAAAATTGTGTCTTATAAAATAAACCAAGTGAGTACATTATGAATTCACAGTTTTGATTTAATATATATAAGCTACTAAAGAACAAAATCCGTAAAAACTCAAAACCCAAAGGACTACGTTTCAGTTGCATGCCTTACAAGTAACTATTGCTTACTTTTGCCATTTTTTCAGATTCATTTCATACTCCACAGGTTCAGATTTCAGATGGACGGCGATGGTGAAATACGCATGTCGGCATGAACCGCCGTCCGCTTCGACGTGTAGGCTTCTGGTGTGTTTAATTTTATTCACGGTATGAACAAATGATTTGGTACATGGTTTGCTGTTTACTTTTTGCAGTCCTACATTGCTGTTACATCAAACACTTTTAGGTTTTAGCCGCACCTACAAACAACAAACAATTTGTATACTCTCACACATTTCACACTTATTTTTAGTCCTTCCAGAAATTGCAGAAAGACTTTCTATAACTTGAATCTTCATAACGATGTTGAATGTCTGATAACTCTGAACTATACATACATCTCCCCCCTCTGTTGTGCAGTTTTCGCAGGAAGTCACGCCCTTGTGTGTCTTAGGCTTAAACGGAGGCAATGGCCACCTCATATAATTCGTATTTACAGCTCCATCACTGTTTCTCCAATGTTCAACAGTACTGCAACATACTTGCCTGCTTCGTCCTCCAAGACCTTCACAATTCAGGAACTAACTTGACTCCACAGTTTATCTGCATAAGCTCTTTCCTCTTCTCTCTCTTCAGCAACAAAATCGTCGCCGGTCTCCAGTACTTCCTCTTCCTCATCTGGACACTCTCCATTCATTTCCACGAATTCATCAATCTCTCTATCCAGTTCGGTAAATGCTGCCAATGCCTCCCTCATTGCCCTTGCTGTGGCGGGCTCATCTCTAGGCCTATATTTCCGGGCAGGTGTAACAAATGGCAACACAATATCATCCAAGCTTCTACCAGTTTCATGCCCACGACCCTTGCTATCTGATGGAGGAACTGTGAAAATAATGCCAAGCTCGTAGTTACAGATATGAAGCCTTGAACCTAAAATAGAACTACTCATGTTGGTAGTAGTCTTCTTCCCATCAACTTTCTGTGGAAGTGGACTGCCCCACGCAGCAGCACTGAAGTTGTGTGATCCACAATAAACCCAACCGAATGAAGTACCATTTCTCTTTGACTGAAACCGTCGACGAGCCACCTGCTTATCATAAACAAAGCATAGCTATAAAACATGTGACCAGAGGAATGTTCCAGAATACCAATCAGTACAATCAGACCATTGGTCAACATTTTGCAATGAAACAGAACTACATTTTTCTCAAACTTGAGATAGGCTAAAGAAGTCACAACAATGCTCAGACACGAAGTAGAAAGAAAACTTTTAAAACACACTTCAAGCAAACTCCAATGTAGGTAATAAACCATCCATGAACAGACTAAACTCAAAGTAGGATAATAATCCCTTACCTTCACATGCATTGGGTGCCCAGCCCGCTCAACGGGACAAGGAACCGCATCATGGAGTATGCCTACGTTTTCCAATCTTTGCCAGGTTTTCTGGTGAAAAATATAAAAAAACTTAGACAGCCACTTGGATAGCAATAGCCTTCAGTTGATCTTAATATTAGTAATCGGGCATACTTAATAGTCTGTCCATCTGGATATCAGATAACTTTTAGCCTTTATTTCAAAACTGTGTTCTTTTACAGAAAAGTAAAAATTTGCATTAGCCAAATATTCCAGAGTAATTGGGTTCCTACTTTAAAATGGTGTCAAACTATTGAACTTATTCAACAAATAGAGTTCAAGAGAAACAGAGTTTACCTGTGAAAAGCACAGTAAGTACTTAGATGCCAAAATTCCAGAACTTGCACTTTTCACCCTTTCAATAGTAGGGAAAATAATTTTAATGGATGGTCTTTTCAACTCTTGACTTGCGCTCCAGCAACCCCACTGCCAACCCATCATTAACAACAAACCAAAATTATAGTACTGAATTTATAGTGCTAATAAGCAACTGTTAAATGTAACTAGAACTTACATGGGGATCTGACTCCTCCGATTCGGATTCTTCCACTGCTCGCTTTCCAGCTGCTGCTGAGAAAGCAGCTAGAAACTTTGCATTGACAGATCCAACTGAAGATGAACCTTACCAGAGCAAAAAAGATACGCAGTATAAGAGAGCAAGTCTTCCAGGCAAGGCCAAGTATTTATTAATGATTACTCACCAAAGCAGAAGTCAGTTTCTAAGTGCTCAGGCCATTTGTAGGTACCCAGAACCTGCAAGAGATTCAAATCAGATATTTGGGAACATCTGGAAATACAAACAATGTATCCATTAAGGTAAATATTCAAACTTCTGGGTATGCTGTTTTTGGAAAATTGACAAGGATCCAAGCACATAAAATGGATGTATGGTCCTAAGGCAACCAAATAGAACAGCAAACAAGAGCAACTACCTCGTGAAGACGCCATAGACCTACACATCTCTGAATTGATGCTATAAGTGAGCACAAAGCAGTTCCATGCTGACTTGTCATAGACTCTGAAAAGCTGGAAAAGCATGGGCCCTGTAAAGACAAACGCCCATCCACAATAAGAAATCCTCTCTCCAGCTTTAACATGCTTGACTTTTGTCACAAGCTAAGAAGTTCTCATTCACCAGCAAAAGAAAAAACAAAAACAAAAAAAAAGGTTTTCAGACTTACTTGTGATACATACAGTATCAACTCTACTTTGCTGGTGCTTCCCTCTAAGGCAGCTGAGAGGACATCCTTTGGACAGATATAGCCAGAAAAGGCAAAAAAGCCGTCATCTGAAAGTGGAGCTACCCATTTTGCAATATCTCTAGGAAGAAACCCGATTTGAATGCAATCTGAAAAATATAAAAGCAAAAATAAGTCTTAGAAGGAGTCACAAATTGAGGCTATCCAGCATACAAAGAAACTTTGGCCTACACGTTACAACAGTTCACGGGTTTCCATAGCAACAACTGTTCACCGGTTAAATCACTGGATTATGGCTGTAAAGGTACACTGACATTTATTATTTGCATTATCAAATGGTAAAAGAAAATGAAATCCAATTTCTTCCCAATTGGATTACAGAGTTAATCAGCATCATGTCTGATATACATTGTCAAAATGCACAACGACGGACATGATAGTCTTGAAATGTTCGTTGTGTAACGAGAAAACAAAGATATTGAAAATCTGCGAGAAGTGAAAAGAACAATTTTACCTTCTAAAGAAAACTCTTCTGGGTTGGGAACCAAAACACTCACGGCATTAACATCAGCTGATATATTAATCTCTCGCCTTAAGAGAATCTCTGACATTCCATAGACGTTCTCACGGCAATTCCTAAGAAAGGCTGCAAGTTTCTTCAACCTTAGGCCATTTGAATCAGCTGAAGTGCGAAACAAGTGACTTAAACCGACCACAGACGTTTCAACTGAACCAAGTGAATTAGCACAAGAGGACTTCGGCATCTTCTCATTACCCTAAAAACAAAAAATCACCAAGCAGCTATGCTTCATTATTAATTTCCCACACATAGATCACAACATAAAAGAATGGTGAAAGGATTATCAAACCCAAAGAGTTACAAATATCAAGAGCGTCAGAAAACACTAATGAAAACACAGTTGGGATCAAATCCGATAGTTTTAATCATGATGGTATTTTTGAAAGAGAGCACTTTAGCAGACAAAATTTCTGAAACAATAAAAGTTGCAGGTATTTTAAACTGTCATGAAAAAGATAGAGAAAGGAACAAAACGGAATTCCTGGGGTCTCGCATTTTTCTAAAGAAAAAACTGCAAAGGAATTTTTTTTTTTTTTTAAAAAAAAAAACTGCAAAGGAAGATGTCCATGAAAAAGTGTTTTGAAACGACGCTCGAGCAACACAGATGCAGGATATTGCAGGTAATTTGAATAGTTTTCCAAGGTAATGCCACTTAGGGATGCAACAAAAAGGGAATTCAATCAGAGACAAAGTGAGCATGATCCCAGAGAATGAAAATAAAGATACTTACAGACAAATAATGCTCTGAATGTGATATGTAAGGACTTCTAGGTGAATAGATACCAGGGACAGAAGCCACCAGATGTACAAGAGCGCCTTCATAATTATACTTGGCCAGTTCTGGAATCCAATATGCCTGACTTGGTATATCTATTACTAAGGAAGCAATAAATCCAACAAGCTGAGCACCAAAATCCGATTTTAATTCCCTGTTATTTGGCCCATAGGATGATTGAATGAAAAGAGAGAGATATTCAGGCGCAGTTGAACGAGGGAAATCTTGCCACCAAACTGTATTAGTCACATTATGCCACTGTAGGAAAATAATAGGAAAAACAGACAGAATGAACATAAGTAATAATACCACGGTCATGAAATGAAAATAGACCAGGCGCGTATTAAATCATCCCACCAAGTTTTTCATTTCCATTTCAAAAGATTATATTCACATTTCCAATTCCATGCCGTAATGAAGCAATTGAATCAGTGGCTTCATGAATACTTTGCATAATCACTCATAACCAGAAGACCTTTAAAAATCCCTAGAATTATTTTGATATGGTTTGTGAGGGAAGGCATCTAATGCAACATATACTAGGCATATTTTCAAGTTCAAATTCGCAAAGAAGAGACCATAAATGCCAGCATACCTCCTCCACACCCCCTCCCCCACCCCCACTCCAAAAAAAAAAAAAAAAAAAAACTACAGGTCCCAGAATAAAAACTACAAAATGCACATGACAACTCAGCTTCTTATCTTGGGGTGGAAGTCATATGAAAAAGCTTCCACTTTCTAGTTTCTAGCAGGTAGATGAATTGCCAATAATTTATGCGAAGAACAAAAGACCAACCTGTCTTGCTACTAGATTTGCTGAAGTAATCACAACCCGAACACAGTCTTCTCTTTGCAACACAAACAATTTTGGATGATGACAAGCGATACCCGATTTCTTGCGATCCTTACCAAAAGCTATGACTTCAGGAAAAGGAGGATACCTAACAAAATGGAATTTGACCTCATAATTAGGAGAAAGAAGAATACATTATGTACCATAATTTACGTCTCTGTCAATCAAAGCCAGTTAAAAAACGTGCAACTTACACTAAAACTAACTGGGGGAAATCTGAATAAGGACTTAGAGTTCTATTATCAGGACTTGCACTCCAGCACCTTTCTGCATTATGGCAAGCAATTGTTATAGGCAGATGATGAGGAATACCACAGTATGACAGGAACCTACAAGCAGGATACTCCACTTAAATCAACAACCCAAGGAATGAACAAGCATATTAGGTATTCTGCAAGTTCAGATGGATGCTAAAAAACAAGTGCCATGAACGAACCATGGAATGTCACTGGTAAATGTAGCAATGAAAACCCTCTGAAGACTTTCGACAGGATAAAAGACATCAGGCAGAGAAACGATGTCATGAGTTTCTGATGAGCAATATCCCATGTGCTGTAGCCGGTTCAAATAAAATTTCCTTCCCGGTGGTGGTATGTAAGCTCCCTTATTATCATCCTTACAACCGTTTTCACATAAAGCAGTATCATCCTTTCTGGAACTCTCTGAAGAAAGAACTTTGAGCTCGGCATTTGCATTAACACCATTCGCGTGCTGTACACGACTATTTTGAACTGGTTCTTCAGGATTTGCACGTCGTACACAACTGTTTACAGCTAGTTCTTCAGCATTTGCACGTAGTAAACAACTTGTTTCAACTGGTTCTTCAGCAATACCATCAACCTTAGATTTGGCTATTGTTTCAGGAACCACTAGAACCTCTTTGTGACAATCAATTGCCAAATCCCTACGCCTAACTAAGTCATCACAGCATGAGGCCCCTCTGCTGTTTAACCTTTTTTCCTCATTTGTACCAACCAAGTTTCTTCTTAAGAACCTGAATAAGCCTTTCTCCCATTTTCTAATGCATTTACCATCTTCAGCATCACCAAAAACAGTATATTTCTTGATTAAAGAAATGGGATCACCACTACATAATATATCTCTGCACATGCTTAACAAGAAGCCAACCTTGGCATCAAACTGCTGTTTTTCAAATGGCAAACTACCATGATCTAAGGACAACCCGCTTGCTCTTAATTTAGGGATATTCCTATCAACAATCTCCTCTAAGAAAACAATTCTTTCCACAACAAACCCAACATGATTATGCACATTACAAAAACTTTCATCACCACAGGCGAGTAAAACCTCATCCCCAACGCACAACCCAACAATTTCCCGTGCCCCAATCCTGACCCCATTAACAAAAACACCATTTAACGAAGCCTTAACTCTAGCAGAACATTCAAAATGAAGAAAACCGAGAAATCCTCCATCACATAAACATACCTTCTTACTGAACGAATCGAACACAATCTGAAAATGGGTTTTGCTGACTCGCTTATCGACGAACAAAAAATCACAAGAAGAGTGACTGCGGCCTACTGTATAATGTTTATTGGGCTCCAAATGCAACGATTTGCAGGGCAATTGGGTGGTTTTTGAAATTAAAGGGAGTCCGAGGGGCTTTATACAAATCGAAGCCGAACAAACAGTCCCTAATCTGGGTTTTTTGGGGGGTTTTACAGTAGCATTCAATGAGTGGCGTTTTGGCCCTTGATGAGAATAATCTGAAGGCATAACCATCTTAATCTCAACATCAATAATAACTGAAAAAAAATGAAAAATGATCCAATTCTTTGTACAAAAACTGGAAAAAAAAATTATGGGGGGGGGGGGAATAGAAAGAATGGGGCGGGAAAAAGAATGGAAAGCTGGGTTTCTGGGAAGAGTACGAGGGAAGATTGATGGAGGGAAATTTGGCGGAGGAAGAAACTTCTTCAGCAGTTACAATTCCAATATTCCCTCCCCACAAATCCAATTTTGACAGCGGATATCTTGGGCTCAGAAATTGGGCCTAAATGAAAATAAATACAATTCACTACTATTGGGCTACTAGGCCTTCTTTTGTTTGTCTGAGGTTTGGTGAGTTTTTTTTTTTTTTTTTTTCTCGGGGGTAGACTTTAATCAATTTGTTTGAAGTTTGAACAATGAAAACCGTCAAAAGTTTTTCTAGTTATATTTTTCCGGGGGGTAAACGTGTACAGAAACACAAAGTGGGCTCCCTTAAATTCTAGGAAGCGCCCCCTTTGAACGAATTTACCCGTGTCATAAAATTAAAACACAAAATCCTTTTATTGTTCCTCTTTAAATTCCCCAAACTCCAAAAAAAAAGAAAAAAACAGTCCTTTAATCATATGACTGTAATAATAAAAAATCGAAAAAGTATTGGTCGCTGTATAAATGTATTAGTAAATCAAGTACTTTTCCTAATTTTTTAAGTTTTTTTTTTTGTTTTGAAATGTATAAGGAACAAAAAATTATTTTGGGGAGTGTTTTTTTTTTTTTAAAAAAATTCAGGTTCTAATTTATTTTTAAAAAAAATAAACAAAAAGGTTTAGGCCGGGTAGGGCATTCGAAGATCGCGCCGTACCGACGGCCACGGCGTCCAACCCAGACGCTTCACCGTGCCGCCGGTACAGCGCGATCTCCGGACACTTCATCCGACTTGAATCGACTAAAAGGCGTTCGGAAGTTACGCCTCACCGTCTAATCAAGACGCTCCGCCGTACGTGTAGGCGTATGAGCCGAACGCTCCTTCCGCCGGTGAGACGCAATCTTCGGACGCTCTACCCGATCAAAATCCTCTTTTTTGTTTTTTAATAATGTTTGAAATTAAAAAAAAAATTAAAAAGGTTAGAAATATTATTTTGTTTGTTCACGGATTTTTGTCTCCACCACTTTTTTAATCATTCGTTGTTGAGGCCTCTGAATTGAAGAAATATTTTTATTTTTTGTTTGGAGTTGAGAGAATTTAGAGGTGTGAGAAAATAGTTTGTATGTTTGGTTTTGTGACGGGGACAAATTCGTGCAAAGGGGGCGCTCCCTAGGATTTAGGGGAACGACAATTAGCATAACCCACAAATATAAATCAGAAGTAGAGGGTCAAATTGTAAAGATTCTAAACCTAAGTCGGTTCTAAACCGTTCCCGCTTTCTACTTAGGTGTATATATTAATTTGATGTGTAAGTTGAGATTAGGACACATTTAATCTCTGTTCCAAAATTAAGATAAAAAAGAACCCTAATTTTTATGCTTGATTTTTACTACAGAGTAACCATCAAAGAGGTCCAGCCGATTTTGAATTTTCTAATATTTTAGACTTTGGGCAGCTTTCCACACAATGGATATTGACAACGTTAGAACATCTCCAACGAACACACCAAAACACTAAATTTGGTGTTTTGGTGTAAACTTTGCACTCTAAGTAAGACACCAAATCGGTGCACTATTTCAGTGCTATGTATAGTGTTGCACCAAATATGGTGTAAATTATCAACTGTACTATCTTTTGTGCACTATATTTTATCTAATTACATATTTGCTATATAGTTAAACTTATAAAATGAATTATGTTGTGAAAATTATATCATATTAAATATTTTCTTGAGATCTACAAAATAAGACCCATATTGAATATAAAAATTTATTTTTAAAATAAATTTTATTTTTAGTCATTATTAAAATTAAATATGTAAAAAAAAACTCCATATTTCTAGAATCAAATAGAAAACGATTTACAAATTAGCCATACCAAATTGTAAGATTTTAATCAACCACTAAGATAAAATTTAAACTAAAAATATTTAACATTTAGACCTTTTGGTGTATTAAGGTTGAAGTGCAAAGAATTTTAGGGTACAAAGATACTTAGAATATTTTATTTTTGTACCAAATTTACTGTAAATTATAATGTAATGGTTAGAGACGCTCTTAGTGGTTTTGGTGGTTTGGAATCTACTATTAAGCGAATTTTACCTTTTTCCCATTTTGATTGGGTTAAGAATTTTTTTGTCTATCTGGGGTGGGTTTAGGGTACATATATTTTTTGATTTCATTTCTCCTTTTTTATTTTCACCAGGAAACAACCATGTTTCGGAGGGAACAGCTACCTTCTCCAGTAGATTTGGAACTTCCTCAGAGCGAACTTGAAGAATTTTTTGTTGGCCTAGATAAAGTAAAACATTACTAGCAGCTGTTTATCATTATTATTATTATTATTTTGGTTGGGGAATTTTTTGTTTTGTTTCATGATATTTTTTTGCTTGATCTTTGCTTAGGAGAGAGAAGTGTTAATGAGACCGCTTCCCGTCATTGGTAATAGTCTTCGGTTCATATTCCGCCAGTTGACCGATCTGCAGAGTTGAACCATCATGAACCCGTTAGTTTTCTTTCTTTCTTTATTTCTGGTTTTGTTGGTTTTAGGGATGAGTGATCCACTAAAATGAACGTTTTTTATATCTAGTGAATTTTGTTTATTTTACTTAGGTTATTGATCTCTCTCAACCTGATAAATGGCTCCGCGGCAACTCTGGCTTTCCCAAACCAAGTATCAAAGCTGGTGTTGATGATGAGCCACCTAGCAAAGCTACTAATATGCTTGCTGGTGATAAAGGCACTAGTATTAATCTTTTCTCTCCGCTCTCCTTTCGTTTTGTTGGTTGGGAATTTAAGATCCATTAGAGTAAACTTTTTTATGTTCTGATTTGATTTTTTGTTTAGACCACAAATATTGCATCTGTATACCATACATCTGATCAATGGATTGAGGGTGATTCCCTAGACTTTCCCTTCTGGAATTTGCAAGGGACCAGAGCTGATGATCCGGAGTATCTTCAACTTGTTAGTTTTCTCTTTCTTTTTTTCTTTTTTTCCTTTTTTTCCTTTTGTTTTTATCGGGTTGGACTTAGGATTATTATTGATTCCCGCTTACTTTTTCTATTTTTGATTTGATTTGATTTTTTGTGTAGATAGAGAAGTTTGAAGCTGAATTTTGTAGACCTGGTCAAGTGCCTATTGATTTAGATATTGTGAATCCTGATATTCTTCGTCCTATCATCTGCAAGGAGGATCCCTACCAGTATCCAGTTAGTTTTTTCTTTTTCTTTGTGTTACTTTTTTTTTCCCTACTTATACTCATCGCCTTAGTTTTTGACCCCTTTTTTTTGGTCTTGTTGGATGTTGGTATTTTTAGTTGGCTTCTCTTTACCCTAAGAAAGTAAAGGGGAGGATAATTTTGGCGTTTCTTGTCAAAGAAGGGGTTATCGTGGCTGCTGATCATCAAAGTTAGTTAGCTCTAATTCAGCTATTTGTCCATAATTTTCCTTAATACTATTGCGTTATACCAACTCAACTTCTTTTACTTAGGAGGCTCTGTGGGCAGTGCCATTATTCCGCTTAATAGTCACATTCTCGCTGCTATTTCTTGATGACATTGACAAGGGACGAGCTTTGCTGCTTGATGTGCGAAATAAGGTACTCATTTTCTTGTCTTTTGGTAGTTTTCGCTAGGGGTTTTAGCTTTGAAGATTCGCATGCAAATATATGTGTACCTGGGATTTTTTACCATACAATTCTTATTCCCGATGCATATTATTTGTTGGTGTTATATTTTGCTTATGTATCTGTTAATTGCTTCCAATATGCTAGTGCTACGGTGGAATTCCTGTCGAAGACACAGCAAAGTTGGTGTCCGAAGCTCTCTTAACTTCTCATGGTAATGAGGAGGGTTTGTCATTAACTACAATAATCGCAGGGTGCAACAAAACGGTATATATTTTTAAGTACGTAAGTAATGCAACTTTAGAGTTGTCCCAAGTTGAAAAGATTTTGCCTCATTCATGTTATTGTTTTATGTTGTTGTGTAGAGTTGTAGCATGTATTGATTGGATGGCAAGGGGGCTCTGTGTAGAGGTGTAAAGTATACCGCTGGATCTGGTTATCAAATAGCTACCGTCAATGTCAATTTCTCGTACGCCTCCATCTCCTCGGAAATTTTCCTAGTTAATAATGATTCACAGAATAGATTTTTGTCTGACATTTTACTTGTCATCTTAGTCGATCATCCTGATTTATGTTTTTGGGGCTGTTGTGCAGTTTCCGCTCAGATTTGACAGCTGAGCGAGGTATAGAGATGGGCAAGTGTGCAATTTGCAGGGCTGGATATAGAGCTTGTGAAACTGGTGGGTTTGCCAGTGGTATGATCTTGTTTGTCACTTACAATTTTCCTCCTTTCGAGATGTGTTTAACAACAGGTCATCTCCTGTTTATGTCCCTGCTGAGGATTGTACCTCTTTGTGATGTTTTTAAGGTTACTACATCGGAGCTGGTGGTTGGAGGAAGGTGTTTGATAACATAAACATTGAAGACACAATCGAAATTCATTTCCCAGACCAATTTGATGGCAGGCGTGTCCCAGTCCCTCATTAACAATGTATTGGCGGTTTTTGCATGTTTTGGTAAAAAAGGCACTTACAATTAGAAAGGGCGTATATTCTTTTAATGTTATCCCTATCATAGTTTTACTAGATACTTGCTCCGGGCGAATACCCCGGGTGTCGTCTGTATTTTTAAATTAATTAAATAAAAAAATACGAATTATTCTTAAAAGAATAAAAAAAATTAGAAGAATAAAAAATCGATTGAAAGTACAGAAAGTGAGCTATTATACATAAATCTATGTCCAGATTTACAACATTTAATTTATAACAGTTAACTTATGCCTGGGTTTACATAAATCATAAACCAATATCTATAATAGAAGAATAAAAAAAAATCATCCTTAAAAATCAAATTTCTTTTATGACAGCTTATTTTTTCTCTGCTGTAGAAATAGATGGATTGATAATTGATGTCAGATTTTAAGTAATTGATTTAAATGCCCGGGTGTGAGATTCTTTCAAATATGACATTACTGGTGTTTCACTTGATTTAAGGGGATTTCCTTACATTTGATTTTATCAACTAAATATTGTTGTTTTAAAGGATTAGTATATACCTATAATTAAGATATTTTTATGTAACTATAATTAAGGAATTTATGTATTTATCTATTCTATCTTTTTCTTCTGATTAGTTAGAGTGCCACGTGTCAAAATGATTTTGTACTGAAAATGACTTTTGGCGGGAAAATAAATAAAAGTTCAAACAGTGAGAACCTATATACTTGACGCCCGGGTGACCGACTGAGATTTCATATGATTCAATAATAAAATAATTCACTGAATGTAATATATAGTATGTGTCTTCAAGCATATTTTAATAAAATTATGAGAAAACAATATAAAATTCTAACCTTAAACAACAACTTATGAGCTTGAATAGTTGGGAAAGAAAAGGCCGAACCAGATTCAGATCCGATTTCACATCCATCAAAATGATAAGTTGTTTAAATGAAAATTGTTCGATTGACCATTGGCAAACATTAAAACGTTGTCTCTAGCTAACTGGTAGTACAAATAGGCAAATACATATGATTCATATTTAATCTAGGAGCGGAAGCAGCTAAATGCACCTGTAGTAACAATTGGAACAGTTACCAGACCAAAATTATAACAAAAAATAAATACTCATGAACATCAATTTGGTGAGTGGGACTGCCTTTACTTTATTTTATGCTTCTCTCCCTTGTTTTTCCATGGAAATGCCCTACAAAGTCAGCAAGAGTTGGGATCAGATTATGTGGACATGTCAAGTCAAATTCCAAAAGTAAAGATGAAAGATATCACATGTATTTTTTCTATTATGGTTACAGAGAATTTACAAATTTACACGAACAACACCAATAACCGGCTGCTGCAGATAGAACAAACTTCACTTTAGGAGTATCAAAATAGATTCGAATGCTCTCATGGCTACACCGACTAACAGACTCTATCACTTTAAGATTAGGTAAGCCAGCTACAGTGCACAAAGGATTATCACAAAAAGTACTGAAGTAATTTCGATGAGTCAACACATTGGCGATTTCAGGAGTTTTAACCACAACACAAATTGAAATTCCATTTACAATGCCACATTAAGAATAAAAAGAGCATCTAATCAAGCAATACAACGGCTTCGTATAGTCAGAATTCTCAAACCTAAAATTGAAAATTTTTAACTTATCCATCACAGTGTCTAAATGTAGTGATAAAAAAAGACAATCATAGACGCAACTTCTTTAAGCAAGTATTCGTAAATCCAGAAAAGTTATTAGTAGCTGTATCAAATGCATATTTGAAAGCCCAAGAGAGAGAAAGTCTATGATAAAAGTAGAGATTCCAATGTTTGCTATTACTTACAACATCATCTTGGCACAAAGCTACTCCAAACGTGAAGTTCTTTATCGATTCTCTAATATGAAAAGAAAGAAAGAAAATCTGGATGAGGAAGATGATGTTTTGAACTTAATCCATCCTTAAAAAGCACTCAATTAAAGCATCATACAACTATAAATTCAATCAACTACGGATTCATTTTCCAAAATTGATAACTTCTTGTATGCTGCGTTAAGAAATTAGAAGTAGAAATACCCATTTCAATTGACCGTGGCCCTTGGTAAGATATGCAGTAGTAGGCACAATAGCCAATGAGTCAGATAAAGCACCAAGTAGATTTATCTCTGTACTATTAGTAGATGCTGGTGTAGTACTTCCAGTCTGGGGCAGCCACATTTGAAGTAGCTGCTGCTGTTTAAGAAAAAACATATGCCAAGTTCAACCCTCCTCTTCTCCGGAAATGCAGCAGGTTTACAAAAACTTCAAAATTTAGTGAAACTATTTTATGCCACAGAATTTAGAATGCTATTCTACCATCCTCCATATAAGGTATACAAATTGAAGATGCACTGAAAGAGGAGCAAAATCATACTCCCTCCGTCCTATAATTATTGTCCAGTTTGAATTTTCAGTTTTAGTTCAAATTGTATTAAAAGTGAAATCTCAAATTGGGCAATCATTTTGGGAAAGAGGGAGTAATACATATGAGCACAAGCAAATATGTACCTTATATGGAAAAACAAAGTCAATATTTCTTGTTTCAACTTTTCAAGTGAAAGGAGACCAATAAAATCAGGCAACCTACAAATCTGAAGGAGAATGAAAATCAAGTAACTTGGGGAGATAATAAAAAATATCGTATCTGTTTCTGGAAAGTCTATAATGATATCTATGAACGAAAAACATAGCACCCGGGCAGAACAAAAACGTAAACAATACCCCAAGTAAGAAATTCAAATATACTTGATTCCAACTTGAAGTTTCCAAGACCAAGTTTGATTCCACCGGAAGCCCCTGGCCAATCTCTCCATTACCTTCCTTCCTTCACAATGGATGGCAAAGGGTTAACAATTAGCAATACATAAACACAGGGAAAACAAAACCAGATTAAAAATAAAAAATAATTATGTCCAAAAGTAATCACCGGGAGCGATTGGGAAACACAAAAGAAAACCACCATTCACCAAGCTTCAATCGTTGGATCCCCTGTGGAATACTTGATTTGGCATACGAACACGCCGGTGCTGGCCCTTCAACACCCGAGCTGGTAGTCCATTGCCGCAATCCTACAAAATCGTCCAAAACCCCATTTTTATGTATTTTTCGTGAGAGGAAAAAGTCTAGAATTTCAAATTGAAATTTACTAAATACGAATTATTTTAGAGAGACTACAATTGAACGGATTAAGAGAAATAAAGGGAGCGAGGTTACTGTACTTTTGGGGAGGTGGAGAAACAGATAAATTTCCGAGAAGAAGCTGATTCTCTCGTGTTCGGTGACGGAGGAGAAGACGATGGTAGCGTCGCTCCCAACACTTTTGCTTCCTGATCCGACTTCAGAACCACAAGGGGATGATTTCCGGTCAGGCGGCATCGGCGCCGTCGTCGGTGGCTTCTATTTATTTCCCTTTTAGTTTAGATATAGGCAAAAGGCGCTGTCATCCAAAACCCCCCTTTTTTTTTGGCCTCTCACTTTCGCAGAAGAGGTGTAAAAGGTTATGCCCGTTATCCAACTTTCAGATATTCCTTTAAGATTTGAATTGATACGCTTTAAGTCGGAGAAGATAAGATTGAAATTTTGATTTAATTTGATGCAACTAAAATTGAGGGGCGGAGCTAAAATTTGGGAGTAGATTGATATTCGTAATTTATCTCTTCTCAGTACAATTGTGGTATTTGGGTTTCTTTATTATTATCTTATCTTAAATATTATTTATTATCTTTTTTTATATTAGACGTCACTTTGGCTTTTTTAAGGCTTCTTTTTCCTAAAAATCTAGAGTGGCACGTGTCAATTTTCATTTTGTACTAAAAAAGGCCTTTCACGGAAAAATTTTCATTATGGAGCTGACACATGTCCTTCTTGTATGTTGCTTTAATTAAGTACAATAGATTAGTAGTAGATAACGAAAAATATGGGAAATACATGTATGAGCTAAGGGGCTCACACTGTGACACTTTGTAGTTTAGTTAATCAAAAAATAATATATTAGTATCTAAGTTGTAGTGTCCTTTAATTTGTGTTTGGCAGGAGAGTGATATTTTCTATCGAATTGTCGATAGGAGATGATGTCTCAATTAGCGACTGGCAGGCAGGATAACAAGTTTTTTCTTGAAAACCGGAATAAGCTTTCTTCCCCGGTTCTAATGTGCTTATCCTCAACATCACCAAGAAAACAACATATATATATATATATATATATATATATATATATACTAGTGATGTCTGGTCGCGCAATGCGCGACCCTAGCCCAGTCTATCTATAGATCTTAGAAATATTTATATTTAAAATAAAATAAAATTTTGTATTTGTAGCAATATATTTTAGAAATGTTTGAAGGATTTAGAAATGTTTTATAAGTGTGATCATAGAAATATTTGTATTTCACACAAAAAAAAAGAAATTGTATTTCGCCATGTATGTTTTAGAAATGTTTTATAAGTGTTACTTATTAAATATAAATAGCCTTAATCGAATAAATGTGTTGAAGTAAATGTTAGATAAAATATAAAAGCATCCTAATAAATTTAAATATTAGTAAGATGATTTATTGATATTCTCCATTGGTCCTGCCAAATCAATACTTAGTTTTGGTGATTTTTAATAGTTTTGTAATAAACTTCATCCGAAGGGTATACGCTTAAAACAAAGTTGACATTTTGTAACAAAAACCTAATTGATCAATTCAATTTAAAAAACCACTCTAGTTGAATGAAACATAAAGAAAAAAAAAAAAGTGTCACGTAAAGTGCAAAGGGAAATTTAGTAATTTAGTTATTGTTAGACAAAAGGGCAATTTAGTACTTTCTACATGCCACGTGGCAAACATATGAGGTGTTTGAAAGGGAGGTTTTTGTTTCTAATATAGTAGGATATATATATATATATATATATATATATATATATATATATGAAAATTCTAGAGTACAGCCACAAGTTTTTGACTGAAT